TGGGGCCTGCCCGGGAGGAGGCCGGGGCGGGGCCTGCGCCACGAGGGCGGGGCCTGCGCCACGAGGGCGGGGTCTGCCCGGGAGGAGGCCGGGGCGGGGCCTGCGCCACGAGGGCGGGGCCTGCCCGGGAGGAGGCCGGGCAGACGCCACTTGAGACGCGCCTGCGCCGGCTCCCGGGGACGCGGATTTGACTCACGGAGCAGGCGCGCGCGCGCCGCAGCACTCTGATTGGCGGATATCCGCGCTCTGTCGCCCTCTGATGGGAAGAGCCGTGTCCGGGGCCGCGGGACAGCTCTGGGCTGGGTGAGCCCAGCGGGCGCTCCTCGGCGTCCCAGGCAGAGAATGTTCTCCAGGGCCCAGGTGAGGCGTGTGCTGCAACGGGTGCCTGGAAAGCAGTGGTTCGGCATCTACAGGTTCCTGCCCTTCTTTTTTGTCCTGGGAGGAACGATGGAGTGGATCATGATTAAAGTGCGCGTGGGCCAGGAGACCTTCTGTAAGTTCCCGTTCAGGGGCCCGTTTTCCCCGGGAGGGGGGTGATCCGACATGGCAGACTGCTCACTTCGCTGGGAGCGCCGAGCTGCCTTTGGCCGTACTCTGAAAGGTCAGTGCGGTGCCAAGCGCGTGGCAGGCTCTCCTCCAAGTCGGCCACTTTAGTGTCCGTGTGCCCTTCACCTTGCCGGTGACATTGGGTCTCATGCTCGGGAGTTACAGCCGTCAGAGGAAGAAGGGGGGAGATCCTGACTCACGGAGACTCCAGCTAACTGGCCAGTTCTCTTTGAACGAACCCTCGAGGGAGCTGATCCGCTTGGGACCAGGCCTTTGGCCTGCGGTCCTTGGCCCAGTATGGTGAGAACGCCTGGCATAGCCTTGCTTAGCTCTCACTCCAGAACCGGACAGTTCCTCCTGCAGCAAGACGTTCTCCACGCTTAGGGCTCTAGCTGCTCCGTCCCTCCCGTTGTGAACTGCCAGTCCTCATTTTTCCATCTGTTAGTGCTAAGGAGCCCACAGGATAGGATAGGACGGAGGGACCTGCACTCCAGGAGCGAATGAGACAGATGGCTGTGACCAGCTGCTGAGAGGAGAGGCCATCCCAGTCTCGGGCAAGACACCTCAACCGGGCTTGGTGCTGAAGGGAAGAACCTGAAGACCCAGCCGGTGTCAGCCAGCTGAGGGGAAGGTTTGTGGAGAAGCAAGCATCTGTGTGGCCAGTGGAGATCCCGTGGGAGCATGCACTCTGAGGAACTGAGGTCAAGGCATGACATGGCTGAAAAGGACCTGGGCAGGGCCACACAGAGCCTGGAGAAGAATGTACCCCGGGGACTGAAGGGTTTTACCTGGCCTTTGGAGAATGGCTTCCTGTGTGGTTATTCAGATTGCAGATGGTGGAATACCAAATGAGCAGACACTCCAGAAGTAGTGGCACGGACAAGGCCTGGTGACTAAGCAGCCCTTGGAAGTTAGGTGAAAGCTCTTTAACAAGTGACTTTTTTCTGAAAGAATTCATGGCTGAGAAGAGGGCCAAGCGTCAGGGTCATGGCTGAACAGGATCATCGGACTTGCTTGCTGACCTGGAGGCATCAGTCGGCAGGGCAAGACAGAGAAGCTGGAGGATGGCCTGTCCTGTGTTGGGGGTTTTGAGGGTGTCACAATGTTAAGAATAAGCACAAGCTGGTGAGCTCCAGAGCCAGTAGTGGGTTGACCCTGCACATGGCTGCTGTAGAGGTGAAGGGAGCTCCATCCCCACACTTGGTAGGGGTGCAGGGGCATAGGGGAGGGACAAGGAAGGGCCCCAGCCTGAGGTACCAGTGCAGAAGATGGCAGCTGCTGAGTAGCACAAGCCCAGAAGGAAGGGCAGCCCCTGGGAACAAGGGAACTGGCCTCCCCTCCCCATTGGAGGTTTCTGGGTGTGGAAGAGGGAGCAGCAGTCACAGGGCAAGACTGGAGTGAAGGGCTGCTTCAGAAAGCAGAAGAGAAACTGGAGGTGGGGAGGGAAGCTTAAACACTTCCAAGAGGTGTGCTAGGACATGATTTTACCTTGGAAGACATATGAACTCCATTCAACAGTCCTCAGCCAGCTCAAATTTCTTTCACATTTCTGTTTTGTTACCAAGATAAGCATTCAGGAACAAGTAGCAGACCTGGACTATGGGCTGAATGGCCTAATTTGAGTATTTTTAATTATCCAGTTACTTGAAAATCAAACAAACTCTTTGTTTTACACAGATGATGTCTACCGTAGAAAAGCCTCAGAAAGACAGCATCAGAGAAGGCTGGAAGATGCGTCCGAGGTTGGACTTCAGCAGCCGATAAAGTGACTGTGAGGACAGCCGCTACCACTCAGCCCTTGAACTGTTCAGCATTTTGGTTCTTCCGCAGCTGGGCTCTTGGCAGATACACACTCGTCCAGAAGCGCCTCACAGGGACTCCATAGCGTTGGCCTCTCAGCTCAGATACTTACCAGTTCCCTGTGGGAAAACACTGCCTCCTACAACACTGGCCCAGTGAATCTGACCCATCAAGTAAATACTAAGGAAATCAAGGGATCAGCATGCTTCTTGGTGTGGTGATAATTGTAAAGCCCTTTCTTTTTGGGGCACACATGAAAACTGCATTTACTTTTTACTGCAGAATTCAAAGTAAACCTTGAACATATACATGCTCTCCACGGCAAAATCATGTGAACAGAATCATCATGGAGAACCGTTTCCACTCCGAGTGTAGCCTAGACTACACATTACTCATGCTAGTGCTCTCATCAATTCATGGGCTGGACTTCACGAGGACTGTGGCTACCAAGCTTCCTACCCCCTGAGGAAAATGCTGCTCTTTTTGAAAGAAAGTCAACCTACACAATGTAAAGCAGCTGCAGACTTGAATTAAATTAAAAAAAAAAAAAAAAAAAGAAAGAAGGCTCAATCTATTGAGAGATTTGGCAAATATTTACAACTGGTGGAAAAAAGGAAAAGTAATTTTCCCATGTTTCCCAACATCCTTCCAAGCAAGGAAATACATACTAAAGGAGACTACATTTCAAAACAGTGTATAATTATTGTGTAAGAATAAATGTGCTGATCCTTAACATCATAATGTGTCTTCAGGTTGATTATCTCTGCCATAACCACTAGGGATTTGATTACTCCTAATTTGTCCTTTAGTATTAGAATCAGTTTGGTGTTATGACTCAGATAAGCAGGAGAGAGGGGCTGGCCTCCTGGTGCAGCAGTTTAGGCTGCTGCCTGTGGTGCTGGCATCCTGTATGAAGCGCAGCTCCACTTCTGATCCAGCTGCCTATCAACGTGCCTTTGAAAGCAACTAAACATGGGCCAAGGGTTTGGGTCCATGCCCTTCATGCTGGGAAATCAAGATGGAGTTCCAGAATGACTTCAGCCTGCAAATGGAAGGTCTCTTTGTTTCTCTTTCCCATTCTTGGTAAATTGGCCCTTCAAATAAATGAATGTTTAAGGAAAAAACAAACAGCAACAACAACAACAAAAAACAAGCAGCTGATCATCAGGGAATGGTTCCCTGAATCCTCACGTTCTGTGTCATATAGAGTTCTGGTAATTCAAGTTGGGGGATCCTAAACATCTCAGTGATTAGAAACTGATGAAGAAAATTAAATTGTGATATGAGTCTCATTTAGAGGTGGTCACATTCCCTAGGTTCTCCCCTTGCATTTGCTGTATCTAGGGAATATTTAACACAAAAACCATTTTACGAAGAGTAACAGTAAATGTTAGTAAAGCCAGTAGCCAACTTCTGCATCTGCCTGTCTCTATGATTAGATAGATATTTCCCAGGGACATTCACTGGCCTGAATTTTGTTAACCTTACCAATTCTTCCTCCCTCTTTTTCTGTAAAGTGGTTATTCATTGAAGGACAACATACGTTTAGAAAATGACAGGATCATGTATTCAGCACAAGTAATACTTTCACAGCATAGTAATTTGGATGCTACATTATCTGGGTTAACAGCAAAAATTAATGCATTTCAAAAACTACAACATTTCTTCTAGTATGATAAAAGCCTATTTAGCATCTGCACAGGAGTTCTGGAGTGTTTTCTTAGCATCTTAAGTGACAGGGAATGGAGGTTAGATACAAACTAAATGGTTAGTTTTGTCCATCTGTCAGTTCTTAATCACTCTGATTTTTATGTACATTTACATTTTTCCCACAATTATTTATCTTTTAAAAAATGCACTTCTGCATCTTTGTGTTTTCAAAATCTCTTAGTAAAGCAGCATCAGTGCTTAGTCTTCACACATCTATTAACCTTGGGATTTCTCGCCACATTTATGTGCAATCCAAAGTCATGAGCACCTCAAGAAACCCTAATTAGGGCAAAGATGCATTCCTTCGCTCAGCCCTGAACTTTCACCTGGCTGATCCAGCATTACTCTAGACTCAGGAAAAAGGTGTTTGTCTACTTAGTATTGGGCAGGGGTGTTTACATATCAGGCTGGAGAACAGGTGGCCTGGAAGGTCAAGGCCATAACTCTCTGCACAGAACCACAGGGATTTGCAAAGTGATGTTAGAGGAAAACGGTTGGTTGAGTTTACCTTTACTTTCCAATGGAAGCATTTCTATTAAAAACAACTGTTTATAAAAACTTCCCAACACATTAAGGACATACTGAGCTGTATGTGTCTTCTCAACACAGCCCAGCTGGCTGACTGAAGCTTTACCTTCGGGGACTTGCTTTCTTCATCTGCTCTTCTGACTCTTCAGTTCTGGCTTCAACCCACACTGCTACCTACACTAAGCACAGGAGGGAACTCTTGGCTGCCAGCCTCAGAGGCGTGGCCTGGGCCACTTTCAGCTTGTCTCCCTTCAACTTCCAGAACCCTGCCTGAACCACCTCCACTGAGTAGCTTTCTTCCTTTCAGTTGGCAGCCATATCCTTGTCAGCATGAAGTCTGAGCTTGAGAGTTAAATCTCCTTGAAACTAACATCTGACACAGTTTTAACAGAACAACCAAACCTGATTAATCCAAATCACTTTGCAAACTCCATTTTTATTTGGATTAAAAAGCTTTAGATGAACAAACATATGATACATACATGTTATAAGACTAATTACCACTTAAGCCTCCAAAGAAGATGATACAGAAATTAGAATAAACCAAATTTTAATCAGGTCTGAAAACCTTCAAGCTGAAAGTCAATGAACACCAATTTGGGGATTTTACACAAATAAATGTCCTCCTCCCCCCTTCCATTCTTCCTCATAGGAAGGGAAGGAGAGGTAAGAAAAAACAAAAACAGTTAAAGGCCCTTTAAATCTTGGCTGACAAAATAGACTATTTTAAACCTATAGGTTTTCCTGCATATAACAAAATTCTCCACAGGAACTTAAACTTTGAAAACATTTAGGCCATTATACTATCTAAGCCACATTACTACAATTCCTAAAATTAATGAAGAAACGATGTAGTTTACTTGTACTTTCTGAAGTCAGAATACTTACTTTTCTTTCTTTTTTTTTTTTGGGAAGATGGCTGGTCGGTCTCAAATCTCATATCTTAAACGCTAATTGATATTCTCCAGGTTAGTATGCAGAAAGACATGATTCTAAAATAAATACGCAAGTTTTTTTTTTCTTTTCCTTTTTTTTCCTTTTTTTACATTTTTAAAAAACATTTAATCAGGGCCTGCCTTCTAGTGCCCTGGGCCGGCTCTGCAATGTCTCAGGGAATGCCCTGGCTGGCCCCACGGTTCCCACAGCACCTGGAGACACTGGCAAGGAGCCTGGAGTGCTCTGGTTTCTAATGCCCCATGTGGCCCACAGGGAAGAGTTTATAGAGGCTCCCCAAAAAGTCTCATCCAGACCTTAAAAAGGGAAATAAATGCAGGAAATAAATAAATAATTTAACAAAATTATGTTCTTTGGTGTAATTCAAGGGTGTCTAGAAAGAAAAGACTCTTACTCCATGATGATTCAATGGCCCAAATAACCAAGAACTGAAGATTTCTTAATCTGATTGAGTTTAACAATAAGGTATTGACACTACTCTTGTAATGTATTTTTAAAAATCCAAAACTGCTTAAAATACGTGATGCAAATTGAGATCCAGTGGTTGACTAAAGGCAGTTAAGTTACAAGGGTCTCTTGTATTTAAAGTAACATTTAATACAAGAGACTTTTCCCCATTCTACACCCTTTGCCCTCATGATTTAGTAAATACGATAATTACACATCCGGGTATTGATTCATAGCATATTAAAAGGAAAATAGTATCCTTTGAGAGTCTCTCAATTGAGAAAGAGCAATGGAAGCTTCACCACCATGGCAACCACCCTGTCACAATGAGGTCAGTCTCCAAAACATACCACCAAGTTAAACACTACTGCGTGTTCCCCACTGCTTCCAGATGTTTATTCTAGGGCTGTATAGAAAGACATGGTCACCAAACCCAGGTGTGTGGGATATGGTATGGTATTTTTAGAGAGCATTTCTTAAATTATTACTCCTTTCTCTGTAATTCAAAAGCATAAGCTAAATTAAAAAAAATTTTTTTTAGAAGAAAATAATTAAACTCTGGTCAGGAATCAGAACCCTGAAATTTACATGAAAAAAAACAAAAACAAAAACAAAGCCACATTGGATAACAAGGAAATAAAACAAAACATAGTTGCATATGCAGGCAATCTACAGTCCCACAATTATCCTCCAGACATAGCTCATATCCAATTATATACTCCCTTTTTGAGGTTAGGTTAGGTGTGAACTTTAAAAATAAATCACCTCCAGGCACACCTCAATGCTTGAAGATTAATGTTTTTCAATGTAACAGATTTAAAATATAAAATCATCTAGCATGTATAGGCATAAACTGTGAATTCACTATAAACAGATCAAAAGTACCTTTAAACTTACCTGCTGGGCTAAATATCATTCAGGTGAGCACGTTCTGCAAAAATCACTGCTAGCAGAGAAGCCTTCCTCAGCACCAGACCAAGCACCCCGTGTCTAGCTACACTGGCTCTCGGCGGATGCGGAGCCCAGGCCCCAGCTTTGCGTAGGGAGCCTGAGAGAGCACAGGGCAAACATGCTGCCTGTCTACACCTGCAATCAGAATGACCACCTTTCAAAGAAAGCACTTCATGTCACCTGGAAGAAACTGCTTTAGTGGAAAGTGGCTTAAGAGCTTCAGGCACATGAAACAGACACTGAAGTACACTCCCCTCTCTATGATGTAAACTAGGATCAACTTCACATTTCTTTGTCAACTTAAACTAATCTGTAAACTCTTGTGATTTTTTTTCCATTTTGTTTGTTTATAAAAAAAGAAAAAACCACCTCCTCCCCCCACCCCCCAAAAAACACAACAAGAATCCCAAGCCAAGACAAAAACCTTCGATGGTTTCAGTTCCATGGCAACAAGTAAAAAGATAAAACTCCCAGGCTACATATACAACCAATTATGAAACTGGTTTTAAACGAAGGAAACATATGCAAAAAAATCTTTGTGTATTTGATAAAGTCAACTTAATATAACAAAAACCAAATTGAAATAGCTTATTAAAAGTGTCCGTATATAAAAATGGCCTTGTGATGTACAGTAAAATGCAATAAAAATTATCAGCCTTTGTTCCTTCCCCCACCCCCAGTAACTAAAATGGCTACTGTTCCACAACTCTGTATGCTTCTATAAAAGAAACGTAGGGATGTGACTAAACATTTTCAAGGTTGTATGCTTGGCGGATGTTGAGGGTGTCTCGGAGCATCAAATCCCGAAGGCGCCAGAGGGCATCTGCCATGGTGGTATGGGCCCCTTTGCTTTTCAGCCAGTGAGCGGGCAAGCGGCTCTCCTGCTCTTTGGACAAATGGACATCGCGTCTTCGAGCTAAAATTCAAGTGCAGAGAAACAGAAACAGGAATCTTAAGGTGACAAAACATCGCTCAGTTCCAAGTTCTGACAGTAACAAAAACATAAAACAATATTTATGAAATATTGTGAATTTTTACTACAAAATATTTCCAAGTAAATTTCTTACATTATTTTGTTAGGTATTAAAAGATATATTCAATGGGCCTGGCACGGTAGCCTAGTGGCTAAAGTCTTCGCCTTGAATGCGCCAGGAGCCCATATGGGTTCCAGTTTATATCTCAGCTGCTCTACTTCGCTTCAAGCTCCCTACTTGTGGCCTAGGAAAGCAGTTGAGGATGGCCCAAAACCTTGGGACTATGCATCCATGTGGGAGACCCGAAAGAGGTTGCGGGCTCCTGGCTTTGGATTGGCTTAGCTCCGGTTGTTGTGACTACTTGGAGAGTAAACCAGTGGATGGAACATCTTTCCTTTTGTATCTCCTCTCTATAAATCTGTCTTTCCAATAAAAATAAATAAATCTTAAAAAAAATGCATTATTGTTTTATCATATGCACCCCTGGTATTATTTTTCAGAACTCCTTTTGGGATCTCCCATGTGGATACAGCGACTACCAAAGGCCCATCCTCAGCTGCCTTCCCAGACCATTAGCAGGGAGCTGGGTCAGAAATGGAGCAGCCGGGATGTCAACCAGTGCCCAAATGGGATGCCAGCGCCAAAGGTAGAGGATTAACCTATTAAGCCAATGGGCTGCCTTCAAATATGCACCTGGTATTTAGGCAGGAATGAGGAGCTTCTAGGTCTCCCATGAGTGCAGGGAGCCAAGAACTTGAACCATCTTTTGTTGCTTTTGCAGGTACATTAGCACGAAGCTAGACTGGAAATAGAGCAGCCAGAACTCAAACTAGCATCTACCTGGGATGCTGGCAGCATAGGCGAAGGCTTAATCTACTATGCCATGACACCAGTACCAAGAAACTCAATTTCTCAAGCCAGCACCACTGACTTTCAGGGTCTGCATTAGTAGGAAGCTTGAAGTAGGCCATGGGAACCAGGGCTTGAACCCAGGTACTCCAATGTAGGATATAAGCACCCCAAACTGACTTCATAGTTTCTAGGGAAAGCACTTGCCCTGGGATAATGCCTGAAATATATTTGAAAATATAGTGATGGGACCTGGCGCGGTGGCCTAGTGGCTAAAGTCCTCGCCTTGAACACACCGGGATCCCTTATGGGCACCAGTTCTAATCCTGCAGCTCCACTTCCCATCCAGCTCCCTGCTTGTAGCCTGGGAAAGCAGTCAAGGATGGCCCAAGGCCTTGAGACCCTGCATTTGCGTGGGAGACCTGGAAGAAGTTCCTGGCTCCTGGCTTTGGATCGGCACAGCACCAGCCATTGCGTTCACTTGGGGAGTGAATCATCAGACTGAGGAGCTTACTCATTGTCTCTCCTCCTCTCTATATCTGCCTTTCCAATGAAGATAAATAAATCTTAAAACAAAGAAAAGAAAAGACAGTGATGTTTGTGATAAAACTTAACCTTGAAATTTGGCAAAAAGAAAAAAAAAAGCTTATTTTCAATATGTGATGCCAATATGCAAAGAAGCTCCAAACCATTTAGGAAATACACTATTTTATTTACATTAGAAGATGATGTCCTTATTATACAATATTCCAACAGCAGTGGGAAGGCTTTTGAGGCTTTTGAAAATCATGGATCTCATGCATTTCACACAGGCTTGTTCAGAAGGATTTTCCTGAGCCCGGTACAGTAACCTAGTGGCTAAAAAAGTCCTTGCCTTGGATCCCACATGGGCGCCGGTTTGTGTCTGGGCGGCCTCATTTCCCATCAAGCTCCCTGCTTGTGGCCTGGGAAAGTAGTTGAGGACTGCCCAAAGCCTTGGGACCTTGCACCTGCATAGGAGACCTGGAAGAAGCTCCTGGCTCCTGGCTTTGGATTGGGTCAGCTCTAGCTATTGTGGCCACTTTGGGAGTGAATCAGTAGATGGAATATCTTCCTCTCTCTTTCCCCTCCTATCTGCATATCTGATTTTCCTATAAAAAGAAACCTTTAAAAAAAATAAAAATTCTCCTTACCTGCCAGCGTCTGGTCCCACTTGCTAATGCTGTTGGACTCAGCACTGAGTCCTTCAATGTATTTAAGGTAGGCCTCTGAGTGGAGAAGTCGTTGGGTCTTCGGTGGAGGAGCCACAAACATGGGTGTTGTTGGCTGCTGTATGATAGGGGGGCCAGCAGGATGTGGGCCAGGATATGGAGGTGGTGCCTGCTGCCCAGGTGGTCCCAAAACTCCCACCTGAAAGAGCATGGATCACATGGTGAGACAAACAACACAGGCCACCTGCTCTAAGAAGGAAGATGACTAGAATTGTCATCCCTGAAAATACCTTTGGGAGGCTCACCTGTTGTCCATATGGACTTCCACCTGGAGCTGGAGTCCCTACCATAGGGGCCACTCCTTGGTTCATCACACCTATAATTCAGAATGCAATGGCACAATTAGAGGCTCTGGATTGAGGTGACTGAAAAACTGCTGACTGATAAGAAATGGTGACATTTATAAAGCCAACCTATGCACTTCTACCCTTGAGTGTTTATAGCCAGAGACCCTGAGGCCCCTAAACAGGATTCAAAGAATTTCTATTATTTTGGTTTTAGGTACTTAAAGCTCAATGCTATTATAACCTGTCAGTTGTACATCCATTGCTTAATGGCTCAGACAGGTTTTGAACTCTGTGCAAAATCCTAGTAATTCTCTAGGTAAGTCAGGAAGCATTTCTGTCATCAAGGTATGGTTTTCTTTCGACAACAGATTATCCCATAATTGGGGTCTGTACTTAATTTCAGCAGGAGTGGCACTGGAGTCAGGCTTAGCAGTAAGCAATGTGCTAGGACAGTAGGTTCACAAAGAAGAGGCTATGGAAACACAGGTCATTAGCTTTGTGGAGGCTGCGGCATAGCCTTGCTGTCCCTTCCCAGGTTAGCAGCGCCTGGTTCTAACTGCAGACACTGGGGCTGGTAGAGAGGACACTTCCATTTGACAGAGAATCACTGTGAGAAAAGATCACATGGAAGGGAATACTCTTGCTGCTATTGTTTCCTGAGTCAACCAACCAAGGAACAAAGAAATGGGCCTATTGTGTTTGTACCATGCTTCTGGTAATAAACCAGTCAACTTCCCTTGGAGAATGGTCCTGAGCAATCACTGTCTCACAGGCACTTGTTGATCATAATGAAATGTCCTAAATTTAGTGTCTGAAGCTATTTTTATCTCATTTGTGATTCTGATAAATAACCAGAAATAGGCAAGGCATCCACTTTGTGAAAAACTAACGAACCACAATCAAAACTGTGGAAAGTTGTTTAAAACTTAAATAAGTCCTGCTGGCTGTTGGGAGTCTAAATATTGATATTTTGGTCAGAAAGAAACAGTTTATTCTAGGATCATAATTGCTAAATGGCACTTCCAGGAAGTATTAAGCATTTTTAAATTTGCTATATGAAAAGCAAGCAAAGCATAACCTACTACTTTAAAGGCAGGAGTTTCTCTAGTCGAATGCCCATCAGTCTCCTGGATCAGCACAGCACGACTCTCTAAACGGCCTGTCACTGTTTGCAGGGCAGCTCACACACAACTGCAAACACCTGTGCTTCCTATTCACATACGTCATGCCAAGGACACGAGGGAAAATGTAAGTGGAGTCTCCACAGGCGCTTCCAAAGTCTTCTGCTCTTGTTATGCCTCTTTCAAATGCAATTTACAATCTGAGAAAGGGGCAATGGAATATAGCTATCCACCGACAGCTGCTTTACTAGAAGGTACTGGCTTTGGGTGTGGTTCTATTGAGTACCACATGCCTCTAGAAGGTGTCATTTCTACACCGTTCTTGGCATGACACCTTGGGCCAAGAGGAGAGGGCACAGACTGAGGGCCAGTTTGCCTGTCACCTAATGTATAATTAGGAACACCTAAGTTATATCTGACCCTTTCTACAACAGGAGCCACAGACAGGCCACAATTTTATAATGAAGCACCCACCCTCACAAACACTTCTTACTCCAGGAACATAAGGAAAAAGATACATTAGTGGAGTTACAGCCATTCTCTAAGAACATTCACACAGACTAGAGGCTGAGGCCAAGCAAGCCATTAGGTCTGCCTGCCTTGCAAACTGTTGGCTCAACCCTTGGAAGAATCATGTGGAATCCTGCAAAACCTAATGATCAACAGGCTTAGTGCTGGTGTTAGTGAATTTAATGAGTTTCCATCCACATTTTACCTGAGCCCAGTCCCTTCAGGTGATATTTTAAGTAATACACACAATGTTATTCCAGTCATCTAAAGGTCATATTTCATCTAACAAGATTTTAGCTAATAGTTGGTTCTTTTGCAGATATTGGCAATTAATGTGGGAGCATATAATTTTCCTTTTTCTTTAACACAGTGTTCCAACTTTTAATTCATTCTGAAACTGAATGTGGTTCTTTCTGGACCCCGTTTATATAATTCTATCTGAAAGAACTTCTCAATTTCTGCTGACACAGACGAGTGTTTATACAGCAAGTAGTGTCAGCCAAGTTCTTTAAAATGGTATACCATGCTTCTCCAGGGCTCATCCCTCCTGGTAGTTCCTAAACCACAGTGGTGAAGGACTTCTGAAGAGTTTTATGCTGGAGAGACAACCCATGGACCTTGGACAGAGGACTCTGTGAGGTAAGAATTGCACCAGAGGTAGAAACGCACTCACAGACAGTGCTTCCTATGTGACTCTCAACTAGATATTGGGAAACTTCATGCAAGGGACAGAGGGCACAACAACCTCCTAAGCAGTTTGTTTCTTTCTTTTTTCCCCAAGCACATGTCATATTGCTTGAGTGATGACAACAGAGCATGCCTCCGGCCCCTGAGTCTGCTTAGTCTAGCCTCTGTCATGTGGTCTACGCTGCTGCAAGGCAGCCAGGAGCACAAGGACACAGGTGCTGGAGCCATCTGCTCAATACACATGACAGGCCCTGCTGCTCACATCTCAGATTTTCAGTAAGAAAAGGCCTGGTCACAGTGGGCAGCAGGTGCCACCTGGAACGACTGGTTTAGGGAGGAAAAAGAATGTGAAGATGAGATTAATGAGCAAATGAGGATGAAATTCTTACCCGGTGGTGGGATGCCTGGAAGGCCAGGCACACCTGGCGGAAGATGGTGGGGTGGAGGCCCCCCAGGGTGAAGTGGCTGCATGCTGCCCATGCTAACAAGGCCATCAACTGGGCCCTGCAAAGGTGGAAGGCCTGGCGGATAGCCACCCATCATGCCTTGAAGGACACAACAAATTTCAGACATGCATCATTAACATGCAACATGAGCTAAGTAATAACAACCCTCCCACATGCACTACCAATGAACAAAGCGCCCTTAGTACTGCATGATAGAACGGCAATTAGTGCAATTATTTTGTTGCAATAATGAACAAAATAAGACATTACAAATATGAACCCAATATTTTTGGATGAATTAGTACTTAGTACATTATTGTTTGTAGTTATTTTCCCTGGGATACATATGCTACATATTTTCAGTTAAATAATAATAAAGAGGAGTTCTAGTAACAGTCTTCTCAAGATCAGAACTCTTCAAGTTGTCCAAACAGTGTGACCAGGTCTGCTGATTTCAATTCTAATCGAACACTACAAAAAAAAAAATCATTGCACTCTGCCCACACTCATATGCCTATCATGGGTACACATGAGGGGACACTGGAATGGAAGAAAATGAGGTGCACAGTCCTGAGCACAAAGCATGGTTCTCCAGCTTGGAGGCAAGAATTTTTCAGGACTTTTCCATTTCCTGTTCTTCTCTTCTAGCTACCACTGCTGGTAAGAAAGGACCGCACTAAGGCTTGAGGTGTGGACAAGCTTCTACGAGCCATTCCAATGAATGCAGTTTCATCTTTAGATCTCAAAACATGATAAAATACGGATAAAACCTAAACTCTACCAAGTCAACCAAAGCCAAGGTCACTTAGGCATCTCTACAAAGACTGTAAGGAAGAAGAGCTGGAGAATCAGGCTCTGATGACATGAGATAGGCCAACTGTCCTCTGTCTCCAAGCTCACAACTGTTCTCAGGGAAACCTTCAGGCAACAGGGAGCGTTTTAATGGAGGTACAGAATTTCTGGGAATGGAGGCTTTTAGTCCTTTATTTTCAAAGTGCACCTTAACATAACATAGATTGCCGGCAAGGGAAGAGGTCCAGCAAACAAGCATCTGTGGCCAAAGGAGTGGAAGTAATAAAATAATTTTAAAATGTCAAGAACTCACCCATCAAAAGATCTTTAAAATCACATGATATATATTTTTTTTTAAAAAAACAAGGCCAACATGACTCTTCTGGGATTTGCAATAATCATGACGAACAAGAACACAGAATTCCCCCTAACTTCAGTCACTTTTGGTCACAGCTTCTTTAAAAAGAAAAGAGTAGGGGACTAAACCTCATTTTCTGTAAAATGCTCTTTATGGAGGGACTCGAGAAAACTCCAGATTCTGCTAAGGGTTTTACTCCTTGATTTTCCCTAAAGAATTTTTTGAAAAACATTTATTATTTAAACAAGTCTAGTCTATTAAAGCTATGAAAGCATTCTGAGATTAATTCATCCTGCTTCCTTAATCATGAGCTGTGAAACTTACAATTATACAAACCAGTAAAAAAACAAAAACAAAATCAAAAACCCACAATTTTAAATAGTAGTATCTCTATACCTGAAATAGGATTATGAGTTTCATTAAAAAAAAAAAAAAGACAGTTCAGGTAATAAAAGCAACTTTTGAACAGATACCATCACCTTAAGCTTGAGGAGATTTGATGCTACCAAACTGCCTTTTAACCACACCACTAAACACAGCATTCAGGGGTAAGTAGGTGAGAAATTTAAGAACATTAGGAGGCTTTGCTTTCAATTACAAAAGCCCATCTGAACGCAGCCTATATGGGCTGTGGTTGTAGAAATTATTAAGAACTGAAAGACATGACACTTGTCTTCATTAAACTGTACTTTGGCATTTATTATCCCAGTCACATGTGTTCAAATGAGCTTCAATGCTTGTAAGCAAAGCTGGTCTCAGACAGCAACAAGGCTAAGACTCAGGCCCTAAACAACCTACAATAAGCCCATGAAAAATAATCCTTGGAGGTGTACTATGGACCAGAGACTGCGCACTATCTAGAACGCTTGCCCTTCACTCCCATGGCCCAGAAGTCTGGGCAGCACATCCTTATTAATAAATGGAAAAGGGGCTTTCCAAAGGGCCCACCCCCCTCACCCAAACAGCTCTGTGATTTATTCCCCAACAGGGAGCTAAAATGCTGCAGCTGCTGTTTTTTTCTGGTTTTAGCTGTTTGTATTCATTTTGTTAATGTGTCCCTGGGTTTTGTAGTCAAGGGCACAATGTCACAATATCACACATTGAATACAACAAAAGAGGCTGAATATCAGTGAGGGAATTCTAACTTTCAAAGTCCCCATGTTAGGGCCTGATTTCTAAAAACCTCCAGAACCCCATTAACCAAAAATGGGCCATGGAATAGAGCAGGCGATAATGAGATTTGTTAGATCAACATCAGTAACACTGACAGTACTGAGAGCCATGATTCAGATGTTTTGGCGAGTGCAACTGCTGAGTTCAGTGATAGTGCATTTGAGAACTTGCCATCACAAAAGTTAGGAGCGACAATGGAAAAGTTATGCTACTCTTCCTTAAAAAGCAAAAAACAAAACAAAAACAGCATTCCAACAAGCCTGCCTTGAACAACACTGTCTTGGACTCCTTACAAAAGAGGTCAACACTGCTTTCTTCAAAGAAACAGGTAGCTTGACCAGATCTCAGCAGGCTTGGAGAGGCCCCGAAGGAGGGGCCTGACGGGGGTTTGCAGGCTTCTCATTGGAGACACGTCCAACAAGGGTATTCAATTCAAGAATAGCCAAAATTGCTACGGCTACCAGAATCAGAGACAACACACACAAGCAAACCACATTCATCATTTTCTTTTTTGTTTTCTCTTACTTAAGATATGTGACTGGGATACTAACAGAAAATGCAGTTTAATGTAATTAAATAGAAAAGCATTACAGAGTGGGCACAATGAATTGAATAAGGAATTCGTATTCTACTTAGCAGTCATGCAAATTGGTGACCAAGAAAGGATTTACGATTCATTGCCAAAAATCCTTTTTAAATGGTCAGTCTTTTTAAGGATGGCTGCAGCAGAACAAGGCAAACTGAATACTGGAATGAAACAAGACAATCGACACCACCTAAAGACTAGCTTTGTGTTTTCTCTTGGGAGTCCTTCTAGAACAGAATTTGGGGTCTGTTTATATCTTCTGTTTTAGGGCTCTATCAAGCACAGTCTGGGGTAGAGAACACCACCAGACCTTAGCTATAGCCAGATAAGAGCTACTCCCTATCGATTCCCAAGGTTAGGGCCGGCGCCCATTTTTGGGGCAAAGAGGAAGCATTGCCTATTTGGGAAGGCAATACAGGACAACATGGATGACTTCAAACTTTGAAACTGTTATGAGAAAAGGCTATATAGACTGTGGCCTACTCCTTATTGGAGAAAAAAAAAATGAAGGAATTTCTTAAAGTGGAAAAAAATGGTCTTAGCTCCTGTTTTTACCTGCAACAGGTGTCAACTGCTGATTGAGCATCCCCATTGGTGTTGGTGGTGGCACCACCCCCATGAGAGCCCCCACAGGGGTGCCTGCTCGGGGAGAAGCACTCGGCTGCTGTTGCTGTACTGCTCGCTCTCTCTCCTGCTGCTCAGCAACTTTAGCTGCCCGCTCTGTAAAGGCATTTCAGATTTTCAATTCTGTTTTTAACCCAGGAATTCAAAATACCATCCATTGCATTCAACAGGACTAGTAAAAACACAGGCAACAGTTCTGTCTCAGTGGAAAAAAACAGTAGATGACTAGTCTCCAACACAGGAGGAGTCGGGCTGCTTTCACTTGGTAACCTAGAGTGCAGCTTTCCTATCCCATCTTGAGAACTGGTCTGCAAAGATTTCAAGAATGTTAAGACTGCAACACACATTCAGAAAGCACAGATTTTATTTAAACACGTCACCAGCGTAACCAACGTGGTTAATCTCGTGAGGCACCTTGAAGATGAGAAGCACTACCATTATTCTAGTATTAATAGCATTATAGATTACTTATAATTTCAACATGAAGCAATTCCATGGCCCATTATAATTTTGGCACAATTGTTACTTACTATATTTTCCTGATTCCTTGTACCCAATTTTCCTAAGATTTGAGTACTCTTTATCATTAGTGTCATAGAGTTTAGCAGCTGAAGAAAATTAACTCTGTAAGGGAAAAGCAACTTATTGCCTCTTCTACAAGGATTTAGGCAATATAAACAGCTAATTTCTACATTCCCATGAAGCAAAGAAGTTATGTTTAATAAATCTCAAAGGGGAAAATGCATGATATTTTAGGCTACAATAATCAGAAGCAGGGAACATATAAATATTTCTCTCTACATACAGATGATATACATACATATAGCAGTGGACAGTGTACTGAAAGAATCAGGTTTTCTGAAGCAGAGCAGCTAAATACTAACTATAAATCTACCTCAAGCAGTGAAAGTTCCAAAATCCACCTTCACTTTTCCAAAATGAAAGAGGGATATTTGATTATGGCAATTCTGAGCTATGGAACACACCCTGTTATATTTCTTGCTTGCCTGAGCTACTCTCTTAGGATTTGCAGAGCCAAGCACCCCAATGATCACATTCCTAGTCTTTTTGGGAGCTAGCAGGCTACTAGAAAACTCTAGAAATGCTGTTCATATTCCCAAAGCTCCTATCACACAGGATTTTTTCCTGAATCACCATTCATAAGTAGGAAATCCTCCCAATGGGCAAATAAAACAGGATATCAGTAGTGACTTGCCCAAGAACACAGAGAGAAATCAGCACTCTATGATCCTTACTCCTGGTATCACACCCCAACTGAAACACATTAAGCCTCCACCATGGCCTTCAAAAGGCTACCACTGAACAGAGGGGTAAAATAGCTCAACATCACTTGGCCTAAGAGAGAATCAAGAAGCAACAGCTCCAGTCCTCCTTTAGGGTAAGACTGTGGAAGTCAAGCAAGTCAAGGCCCTGACCCTGTGACAGTTACCCCTCTCTAGCACTGTCCCAGGTTACAGATCCTCTGGACACTCAATACAATCGAGTGTGACAAAGGCCATTTCAACAACCTATTTCCTGAACTAGTAGTAAAAAAAAAAACTGACTCTAAACCCCCCACATTAAGTTTTATATTTTGATTACAAATGATGCAGTAAAATGGGAGAAAAAATACCCAAAGCTGAAAAAACAAAAATATTCAAGACTGTGGATGGAATATTGGACTGGTTACTTGTTGGCTCTTTATGAGAAGCCCAACTGGACTATCTTGGAAAAAAGTTATTAAACACAGTCTCACTAGGTTCTCATAGAATTTCACATTCTCTTCTGACTGTGGAGAGAATGTCCGAAAAGCACTAGTCTCTTCCTCTTACCAGTTCTGTCCAACGTTTTTACCTTTACATATAACTTCCAGAGTAGCTCTCTGTCTCTCTATTCACACCCTAATTTACTTGTCATCGGGTACTGGCTTCATAGGCCAAGCAACAGGTATTAAACCCGTGTTAGTTTCCTTCTCTACTCCTTCTTGAATTGTGTGGCATACTGAACTTTCACTAAGGTCAGAAATATCAAAGCTTCTCCCAAGTTAGTTCTTATGGAACGAAATAGTTTCTCAAAGAATGTTCCACAAAGTGTTACTTTTTCATGATACTAATAGGGATTATATGACTACGTGGCCAAAATTCAGGAAAAGACAAATAACAAAAGGACAAGTTCTTTACTATAGCTTCCTAAGACTTTAACATGGTAATATGCACAGTGAGAATCCAAGAAACAGAGCTTGGAATGCTTCTCAAACTGGTTTTGCCACAGAGCATTTCTTTGTTGCTGCTGTTGAACATCTTGCAGGATTAGGGTACAACAGCAGATCTTTTGGGAAGCCTATCAGATGAATTTCCCAATTCATCAATTAAATCAATGAATGAATGGGATTTTTAAAAAAGTGTTTCTTTGGTGACTTCATAAACTTTAACAAAGGGGCCAACCTTAGTAATGAATATTTGCTAGAAAATAATTAATTTGGACTCAGCCAAGATGAATAATTGAATGCTATAAAGACAGCTCTGAACAGGAAAACAAACTGAGACATTAACCTCCAATGGAAAAAAATACAGCTCCAAGAGCAACAGTCCTGCCTAATATAATATTTACTAGTCATTTGTTAAAACCATGATTGATACTTGAAAAATAACAAAAAATTAAACAGAATCTCTCTGAAGTACTTATCCCTAATGGTAAGATTCACTAAGTCCTTGAATGATAGCTGATGGATCAATGCATTTTAATTAAAGAGTTATAGGAAAATATATGCAGCTGACCTTATCAGACATAACCCAGCTGCTTTAAAACTAGTTATATTCAGACACAGCACAGGGCATGACTGGCCTACAGAAACCAAGTACTTTACCCAAGCCTCAGTCTAGAGTTTAAACATAGGGCTTATAAACAAACGTAACAGAAGACTGCTAATTTTAAAAGCCCTTTTCTGATGAGTATGTTAATAAAAATTACAAATAACAGCTGTATACAGTCATTTTCCAGCTTAACATATGTGTGCTTATAGGGTTCAATGAAAGAAGAAATTCATGCAATTTTTAATAACAAAGTTTTCTTGCTTGAGAGATTTTGGGAGAGAAATACAATATCAGGATCAGAGGCCAAGTCAAGGGCAGCGCTCTGCTCAGTCAGTACAAGGCTGGCATATAAACTGCTGGTTGGGTACCACCTGGGGCAACCCCCAACACAAAGTTTATGTGCAAGTGGTTAAGAATAGAAAAGTAAAACCTGCCTATGCACGTGCATTTCTGTAAACACTCCCTTGTTTAGAAAGCTGAGATAGCTGTGCATAGCCTCTATTTACCTTCATATTCTGCTTTCTTGGCCGTCTCAAGGTTTCTCCATTCTGTCCCCACCAGTCGGCTGAGCTCCCCAAAAGAGTAGTCTGGATGCTGGGCCTTAATCACAGCTCTCATCTCACTGCTGAACAGGATATAGCCACTCATGTTGATTTTCCGTTTGGAGCTTTCTTTCTTTGCACTGCCTTTGGCAGACTTTGGGGTAGACTGTAAGACAGAAAGCTCTTATAGTACATCAGATCACTGCATCTAGCTAACTGCTTGGTTTCTAAAAGCCAGGAACATATAACTGGACAACTACTGCCATACAAATATGCTCAGTTTATTATTATAGCCTGTCATTTTCTTGGTCAAAACACATCTCTGCTTTTCCTCTTACCATATAAAATATAAATGAAAGTTTCACTGAATTCTATGACTGCAATCTCTAATGGTGACCTCATAATTTTGAGAAAATTCTAAACAACCAAAAATATCAACAGGACCATCTTAACAGTGGTTTAGCTCCCAGACAAATAGATATTAAAAAATATGGGTGATAAAAGCTGAAGAACAACGGGCTGATGCTGTTCCTTACTGCCTTTCTTTAATACAAGCAAGGGTAAGTCTTCTAACTAAACCTGACATTCAACCAGCTATGAAATTTTAAATGTATTGAATTTCAAATTATTAATGGGATAATACAATGAATTGCTAATGATTTAATAACAGGATATATTTAATTTGTGATCAATTAAAACTAAGTCAATAAAGTAATTGAGAAAGGAAAAAAATAATCTGCCACTTCCTGAGGCATTCGAAGCAGAAGTTCGCACATGGAGGAGCTGCATATTTCCTTACTTTGGTTTGAGTCTGCTGAAAACCAAAGCTGGGAATAAGACAGGTAACAGGAACTTGTCACCTTCACCTGTGGGGGAGTGTAGGGCATGAGGTCCAGCTCGCTGGCCAGGGAAGTCTGAAGCTGAGGTAGAGCAGGAGGCTCAATGACCTCACTATCTTCTTCCCCCAGCTCTTCAGCATCATCATCTCCACCTTCTAACTCTGCAAATTTAGCTTCAAGCAACTGGATCTTCTTTTCCAACAAAGGAGAGGGTTCCTTCTGAGGAACAATTGGTTTTCTGAAAGAAAATGACATAAAAATCAACTAATATCATTCCAGGATCAGTCAGAAGGCAGTATTCTACCTTAGAATCTGGAAATGGATTCCTGCAATCTGTAACATACACTCTAGGGGCAGCAAGGGAGTTTAAAAGTGTATTTAGGAAGGCATCTCTACTTTAAGATGCTTGTTCTATTTTTAAAATTAAATGTTAAAAAAAATTTTTTTATTAGAAATACAGTTTTCCAGAGAGAAGAAGAGATAGACAGAAAGATCTTCCACCCAAGGATCACACAGCTGAATCTGAGCCAGTCCAAAGCCAGAGGCCAGGTGCTTCCTCCGGGTCTCCCACCTGGGTGCAAGATCCAAACACTTTGGGATCATGTTCCACTGCTTTTCCCAGGACACAGGCAGGGAGCTGGATGGAGAGTGGAGCAGCCGTGACACCAACTGGTGCCCATATGGGATTCCAGAGCGTGCAAGGCAAGGATTTAGCCACTGAGCCACTACGCTGAGCCATAAAAGATTTAAAAACAAACAAACAAACAAACAAAGAAACAACTTTGCAAGGGGTCAAATGCAGCAGCTTAGTAGCTTAAGTCCTCGCCTTGCATGCACTGGGAAAACAGTTGAGGACGACCCAAACCCTTGAGATCCTGTACTTGTGTGGGAGACCCTAAGGAAGCTCTTGGTTCCTCGCGTTGGATCAGCTCGGATGTGGCCATTACAGTCACTAGGGGAGAGGACCAGCAGACGAAGATCTTTCTGTGTCTCCTGCATTCTATACATCTACTTTTCCAATTACAAATAAATAAATCTTTTTTGGAAAAGATTTCCCACACTAGTACAGGGTCCCAAAGCGTTGGGCTGTTCTCAACTGCTTTCCCAGGCCACAAGCAGGGAGCTGGATGGGAAGTAGAGCTGCTGGGATTAGAACTGGTGCCCATATGGGATCCTGGCACTTTCAAGGTGAGGACTTTAACCTCTAAGCTATCACGCCGGGCCTACAAATAAATAAATCTTTAAAATTTATTTGGAAGGCAGAGTTGCATAGAGAGAAATATATATATATTCCATACATTGGTTTACTCCCCGTATAGCTGCATATAGCTGTGCTACGGCAAAACCAGGAGCCAAGAGAGCTGCTTTTGGGTCTCCTACATGGGTACAGGGAGTGAAGCTCTTGGGCTGTCTTCTGCTACCTTCTCAGGCACATTAGCAGGGAGCTGAATCAGAGGTGGAGCATCTAGGACATGAAGTGCCATCCATATGGGATGCTGGTGTTACAGGCAGTGGCTTAACTTGCCATGCTGTAATGCTGGCCCTGAGATGCTTGTTTTCAAATAATTCTAACTATCATCCACAAAAGCAATGAATTTAAGTTTGATCTAGTTGCCTAAATATGGTGAAAAGGGTCTTTTTCAATTTGTGTAATTGAGCTATCTCCTAACAACAATATGAAGGAGAACCAAGTATTTCTGCTTCCATTCTACAATCACCAAAGCCCAAGCCAAGGCCATTATGAGAGCAGTTAGCATGTCTCAGCAGGTGATGAAATTGTTCCTTTAATCGTTTTTTTTAAATCTTTTTTTCTTCTTGTGAAAGTCAGATATACAGAGAAGAGGAAAGACAGAGAAGATCTTCTGCCCACTGATTCACTCCCCAAGTGACTGCAATGGCCAGAGTGAGCTGATCTGAAGCCAGGAACCAGGAGCTCTTCTGGGTCTCCCACGCAGGTGCAGGGTCCTCAACTGCTTTCCCAGGCCACAAGCAGGGAGTTGGATGGGAAACATGGCCGCCAGGATTAGGTCTGGCACCCATATGGGATCCCAGCGCATGCAAAGAGAGGACTTCAGCCGCTGGGCTACTGTGCTGGGCCCTTCTTTAATCTTTTTTTTTTTTTTTTTTTTTTTAAGATTTATTTATTTATTGGAAAGTCAGATATACAGAGAGGAAGATCTTCCATCTGATGATTCACTCCCCAAGTGAGTGCAACGGCTGGTGCTATGCCGATCCGAAGCCAGGATCCAGGAGCTTCTTCCGGGTATCCCACATGGGTGCAGGGTCCCAAAGCTTTGAGCCATCCTCTTCTGCTTTCCCAGGCCACAAGCAGGGAGCTGGATGGGAAGTGGAGCTGTTGGGGTTAGAACCGGCGCCCATATGGGATCCTGGCACTTTCAAGGCGAGGACTTTAACCGCTAGGCCACGCCGCCGGGCCCCTCCTTTAATCTTTACCTGAATAATATCTTCTTTAAAATTGAGACTGTTCAGGTTTAAGAATTAGTTAAAATAATGGGTTAGACACTGTTTTGTAATTATCTGAAGTGCTTTTCTTTCTTAGTTATACTTTACCTGAAGTAGTAAATTTCATCATCTACCACTTTAGCAGAGAGTGAAAACCTCTTCAAGCCCTTGAATTTTTTCATCTGCTTGTCGCTTTCATTGTAGCGGCTCTCACATAGCAGGACATCATTTTCTGATATTTCAGTTGGCCTGCAGGAGAGGAAGTCCTTGAATGACAACACAGCACACTTTCCTGAAAAAGCAAGGTGGAGAGGAATTAGAGTAAACTGCTGTCCGATTAAGAGCTGCTTTGTTTTTTTAAACATTTATTTTTATTGGAAAGTCAGATATACAGAGAGGCCAGAGCTGCTTCCGGTTATCCCATGTGTGTGCAGAGTTCCAAGTTTTCGTGCTGTCCTTGACTACTTTCCTAGGCCAGAGGAGGGAGCTGGATGGGAAGTGGAGCAGTCGGGACACAAACTGGCACAAACATGGGATTCCGGCACATGGAAACTAGGACAGCCACTGGGTTATTGCACTGGGCCCTTAGCAGCTGTTTAAAATTTTTTAAAACAAATATATTCACATGTTTCAAAAGCTTCCCACGTGGGAGCAGGATCCCAAGGCTTTGGGCCATCCTTGACTGCTTTCCCAGGCCACAAGCAGGGAGCTGGATGCAAAGTGGAACTGCTGGTATTAGAACCAGCACTCATATGGGATTCCGGCGCATTCAAGGTGAGGACTTTAGCAGCTAGGCCACCGCACCAGCCTGCTTGTTTTTCAAAGATCTATTTATTTGAGGGGTCGGGCGTGTCTGCTCAACTGGTTCAACTTTCCAATGTAAGAACCACTCTTCTTGGCCCAGCGCGGTGGCCCGGGAAAGCAGTCGAGGACAGCCCAAAGCTTTGGGACCCTGCACCCGCGTGGGAGACCCAGAAGAGGCTCCTGGCTTCGGATCGGCATAGTATCGGCCGTTGCGCTCACTTGGGGAGTGAATCATCGGACAGAAGATCTTCCTCTCTGTCTCTCCTCTCTGTATATCCGCCTTTCCAATAAAAAAATAATAAAAATAAATCTTTAAAAAAAAAAAAAGAACCACTCTTCTGTAAACAGATATTAAAAACACAGCCTCAAAAATTACCATCACAGAAGTTTATAAGCAATTTTTCAGATAATGGAAATAACTGTGGTGACTATGACAAATAAGGGTCTAGGCACAGAAGGCAGATTTCTGACCTTTCTCTGTTCCACTCCTGGGTAGGTTACTGCAACTATAGCAGACAGTATGGGCTGAGACATGTGGTTCAAGATTTGGAGGTTTTATTGATCAGTGCAACGACCAACACAGATTATGGATCATTCACCCACAGGGTTCTACTTATTGAGTTCTTTACCCTGTCTTCAAATATCAACAACATTTTGGTTTGGTCACAACCAGGGATATTACTGAGATGTGAATTGAGAATTCTGTATGTATCAAGAACATTCTTTAACAATGAAAGAGAACTAGATTTTGCCATACAAATAAGAGGGATTTTGTCACTAGTACACCTGTCTTACAAGAAATGCTAAAGGACATTAGCACATGACTTGAAACCATAGAAAGAATCTAAAGACAGCAACAGGTTACCACAAAAGAGAATATTCAGCTGCATTTTACACTGAACATTCTTATTTCCTATATGATTTTTAAAACAATACAGAAAATAATTTTATAAATCTGTCAACTGGCACACAAATGTGACAAAAATATCACAAAGAGCAAAGGCTAGATCAGTACAGGAGCAGTCTCTATGTACAGCTGAAACTAAGCTGACATCAATTCAAATAATATAATTTTATAATACAAATAAGATGTTACTTGTGAATTCCAGGGAACCACTAAGAAAAGAACTAGAGAAACAATGATCTGATTGTCTAATCAAAAGACAATGTTTAAGATATTACAAAAAAATACCTGTTTACAATATTTGTAATGCTCTTTTTGGGTGTCCTTTGGGGTTTTGACTAAGAAGTAAGGTTCTTGGGCAATGCTTCAGGACTAGATCATAACTTAAAAAGACCTTTTCTGTTAAAAAACTCAAGAACTGAATGATCTCACTGGTCTTTGTGCCCTCCCTCCACAAGGGAAAAGGAAAATGTGCTTAACTGATAGTTGGATATATTTATTATGTCCAACCTTGAAAAAAAACCCCAAAAAACCCAAAGAACCAAAACCAAGTAACTACAAAATTTTAAAAAGTATGAAAGACTTTTTAATCTGTCAACTTCCTTTTTGGTTGTTGTGGCTTCTTTAAAACAATAAGCAATTAATGTAAAGCTTCTAATTAGTACTATTTTTAAAAAGATTCCAAAAAGACGAAAGCTGCAGAAGAAATTCAGGGTCAAAAGAAACACGATACGGAAAGAACGCTGTAATGAGCTGGCTATGCAAATAGATCTCACAAAATGCTACTGTGAACACTAAGATGACTAGATGGAAAAACTGTGTCACCAGGGCTGAGAAGCATTTTTTGAGTGTGTGCCTCACTTGTTTCATATTCTTAGAACATATGCTCTAATGTGTCACCACTTTGCTCAAACCCCTTGCACCAATTCCCAAGCATTCAACATCCAATCTCTGTACTGTCCATATAGCCTACCATGATTGAGGGCTCATCTCCTAACATTCCCATTGACCAGCTGTAGCCATTCAGTCTCCTCACTGTGTCTCGAACATGTCTGGATGCACTACCTTTAGGTCTTTGTATGTGGTTACTTGTGCCTACAGGAAGCAAAACCTCGGATATTAACATGATTATCTTTCCCACTTCCTCTAGGACTCTGCTCTCATGCCACCTATTAGCAAGCCTATCAATGACTACAGGATCTCACTTTAACACTACTCTAATGCCTCTTACTCTGTTTAACTTTCGCTCATAACCCTAATTGCCATCAGATGATCTATACGACTGTTTTTCAAAAATCCAACTGCTCATTTCACAATCTCTGCCGTGATATGTTTTTTGAGAGAGATTTTGGTTTGTTCACTACTCTAGCACAGATGTATTACTCAATCAATTTTTACAGGATGAATATGATCAAGTAAAAACACTAAATTCTTACCCAGAATACATGTCATGGGGCAGGTTTCTTCCAGATTACTCAGGAACACTTCTTTTTTGTAGAACATTTTTGTGGGTTCATGTTCTGTTTCTTCTGGGTGAATGAAGATGGGACCATAAAAATATGCAGCTCCATCTCGGACCCACACTTTTTCAATTCTTAGAAAAACAGAGAAATTAAAATAGCTTCATTCTTGAAAAATTAATTTAACAAAAGGTTTGTTAACCAAAAACTTAACAGTTAATGCCACTTAGAGAACTTCCACTGGCTGTTCTGGTAGGACAATTCAATGCATTTTTTCCAGGGTGCCCATGATGAAAAATAACTAGCATCTGTCAGTGACTTTTGAATAAAAGCAAACATAAACCTTCAGTATTTGAGGTCAGATCACATGAGTGGCAGACTTCCTTTATGATAATGGTTCATCATCTTTTTTTTTTTTAAGGATTTATTTATTTATTGGAAAGTCAGATATACAGAGAGGAGGAGAGACAGAGAGGAAGGTCTTCCATCTGATGATTCACTCCCCAAGTGAGTGCAACGGCCGATGCAATGCCTGCAATGCCGAGCCAAAGCCAGGAGCCAGGAACTTCTTCCAGTTATCCCACTGGGTGCAGGGTCCCAGAGCTTTGGGCCGTCCTCGACTGCTTTCCCAGGCCACAAGCAGGGAGCTGGATGGGAAATGGAGCTGCTGGGGTTAGAACCGGCGCCCATATGGGATCCTGGCATGTTCAAGGCGAGGACTTAAACCGCTAGGCCACGCCGCTGGGCACGGTTTATCATCTTTTAACATTTACTCATTCATTTTTACTTATCTGAAGGTTAAATAAGAGACATCTTCCATCTGCTGGTTCTTGCCTGAAACGCCGCCAATAGCTAGAGCTGTGTTAGACTGAAGACAGGAGTCAGGAACTCTATCTAGATCTCCTGAGTCAGGGAACCAAATAATTCAGCCACTGTCCCAGGTGAATCAGCAGGAAGCTGCATTGGAAATGGGCATATGATTCAAGGAATTCCTATAATGGATGTGGGAGCCCCAATCAGAAGCTAAACTGCTGTGGCACTATGTGCCGCACAGTGTTTTTAAAAACTGTGATCTTTACCATCTGCGAATCAGATGAAAATAAATTTGCCATGTCCCCAGAAACAAAGAAATCTGGCTGACATGTATCAGATATGATGTTGTTCCTTATGACAAATCAATAAGCTGTTAGTATTGTCCTACATTCTCAGATTCCTGACATGACACAATATTTTTTTAAAAATTTATTTTTATTGCAAAGTCAGATATGCAGAGAAGAGGAGAGACAGAGAGGAAGATCTTCCGCCCAATGATTCACTTCCCAAGTTATTGCAATGGCTGATGCAGCGCTGCTCCAAAGACAGGAGCCAAGAAGTTCCTCCAGGTCTGCCACATGAGTACAGGGTCCCAAGGCCTTGGGCCATCCCTGACTATTTTCCCAGGTCACAGGCAGGGAGCTGGATGGGAAGTGGAGCTGCCGGGACTAGACCCGCACCAATATGGGATCCCAGTGCATTCAAGGTGAGGACTTTAACCGCCAGGCCCTGACACAACATCTTTACATTAGTTAATGATAATTCTACACTTATAAGCCCTCGGGTCAAATTATAGAAATAAGGCTTTTTTAAAAAAAAATTATCCATTTTTAAAATAATATATATATAAAAAGATTTATCCATTTTTATTTGAAAGGCAGATTTATAGAGAGAAGGAGCGACAACAGCCAAGGAAAAGCCAAGGAACCTGAAATTCTTGGAATTCTTCCTGGGTCTCCTACATTTGTGGCAAAGGTCTAAGTACTTAAGTCATTTTCTGCTGCCTCCCAGGTACATTAGCATCGAGCTGTGAAGCAGAGTAGCTGGAACACTAACTAGCAATCCAGTATGGGATGTTGACAACGCAAGCAGTTGCTTAAGTTACTATGTCACATTAGTCACTCAAAAGGAGGAATTTTAAAAAGTATATAGTTAGAGGTGAAAGGTGAGGTAGCCAGAGAAACTCTAGAAGAACTTTTGTTATCCTAAGAGTGATGAATCTTTACTGGCTCCCAGTCTCATTTTACCTGTTTCAAAGACACTTACCTGCCTACACGAGGGCGTACTAGACCATGGGACTTGATGAAGACACAGTCTCCAACCTTCAGCCACATGTCATTATAACGGAGCTGCTCAAAGTAATGGCAACCGGGCTCACCATTGGGCATTTCCACAGGCACATCTTCCTTTTCCTGTGGCAAACAAAAGTGGTTAACAAAAAGGGCATCTAGCAATCTGGAGGTAGACAGAGAAAAACCTTAAAGATACACTAACATAAAAGATAAAACCACCATAAACAGAAGGCTAGGAACCAAAAGCCTGATGCTGTTGAAATCAAACTAATTCTTATTAAGAAGTCTATTTTAAATTTATAGTGAATTTTCATAAAATAACGTGGTCCCTAAGATGTTTTTATCATCTCTTCCTGGTTCCTGATTCTAATATACTTTGGGGGAAAAAATCACAAAGACAAGATAACTAGCATGCAGAGCCTATTCACTCATGTGCTATTACACAGTGTAAGGAAGATAACACTCACAAACTTCTTCATGTTTTGAGCTTCCTTAATTTACTTTAAGATTTCTTTGAAAGGCAGAGTTAAAGAGAGCAAGGGAAGGAGAGAGAGGGAGAAAGAGATGAGAGTAGAAGAGAGAGAGAATGAATGAATGAATAAGTACCTTCCAATGGCTGGTTCACTCCTCTACTGGCCCAAATGGCCAGGGCTGGCCCAGGCCAAAGTCAACAGATTGGAACTCCATTTGGTCTCCCATGTGAAGCACCTAGGTGTTGGCTTTTAGATTGAAGTCCAAGCTATTGCAGTCACGTGGAGAGTGAATCATAGATGGAAGATCTGTCTTTCCTTCACTCTATGTAACTGCCCTTCAAATAAATTTTTCTTAGAGATTCATTTATTTTTATTGGGGCCGTCCTCTACTGCTTTCCCAGGCCACAAGCAGGGAGCTGGATGGGAAGTGGAGCAGCCAGGATTAGAACCACTGCCATTTGGGGTTCCGGGGCAGTTAAGCTGAGGTTGTTAGCCCCTTGGCTAATGTGCCAGGCCCTGGGTCTTCTGTGTTCTTTTCTTTTTTGGGGATGTGGTGTTTCTAAATAATAATGGGAATATGCCCCATTCTGCAACCTGTTCATTATCAGCTTATCTGTTTCCCACATATTTGGAAAGTTTTCTTCTTTTTTTTTCTTTTTAAAGATTTATTTATTTATTGGAAAGTTAGATACACAGAGAGGAGGAGAGACAGAGAGGAAGATCTTCTGTTCAATGATTCACTCCCCGAGTGAGTGCAACGGCCGATGCAATGCCAAGCCAAAGCCAGGAGCCAGGAACTTCTTCCAGTTATCCCACTGGGTGCAGGGTCCCAAGGCTTTGGACCATCCTCGACTGCTTTCCCAGGCCACAAGCAGGGAGCTGGATGGGAAGTGGAGCTGCTGGGATTAGAACTGGCGCCCATATGGGATCCTGGCATGTTCAAGGCAAGGACTTAAACCGCTAGGCCACGCTGCTGGGCCCAGTTTTCTTCTTCTTCTTCTTCTTTTTTTTTTAAATGTATTTGAAAGACAGAGAGAGAAAAGAAATGACAGAGATAGAGACCTTCCATTCACTGCTTGGCTCCCAGAGGGCCTCCACACCCGAAGCTGTTGGACTACCACTTTATGTTTCTGCTCTTTTTCTAATTCTGGGTTTTTGTACTCACTCCCGCATTTTCTGGAGTAGGTTTTTCTGTGTGGTTAGGACTAACATACCTTTTCCAAGTTAAGACTGTCTTCAGCACGACTGTCTTCTGAATTATCTGTGTTCTTCTCATCATCCCCTTTATCTGCATTTGCAAATACGGAGGCCACTCGAACCACAGGCAGGGGTACATCCCGAGGGACAAACCGAACTGAGCTGATGGGCATGGTCCACAGTTTAATTTTTTTAAAAGATTTGGTTTTGGCAGAATACCGTGATTCACAGACAAAAACATCCTCATCTCGAAAGTTTTCTGGGCATAATTTAAAGTATTCCTGTGGAGGACAAAACAAAAATCAAATGGGTAAATCTTTGAAGATCCGTCCACTAAAGCCAAAGCTAGACTCCCAACCAAGCAGCAAAATGCACAAAAATAAAACTGTTACGACTTCCTGGCAGGTAACAGTAAATAGTAAACAGCTAGAGAACTAGACTTACTGGCTACAGAACATACTTATTAAATACACGCCCTTTAACATCTAATACAAATTGTCCCATTCAGTTTATCCTTTTTTTTTTTCATTGAAAATACATTAATATTTCATATAGCTATAATGATCCTTAAGTCTTTGGAAAGGGCTCATGCCTATTGACAGATATAGGGAAAGTACACTTTATTACCTAAAATCAATCTGATAATTTATACTGATTATTTCTCAGAAAACATCATTTAAAAAAATTAAACTAGCAATACAAAAATTTTAAACTAATGGGAAGCTCAATAGTATGGGCAACAAGTATGCTTTCACAACATACTCAAGTTAACTTTTTAACAAATCTTTTTCATACAACCATACAGCTTTAAAAACAGTTTAAAACAGAGTTCCTGATTTTGTAAATATAGACTTTTGTGCCTCAATTTTATCCCCAGGGAAAGATAGGTAATTTTGGGACTAACGCATTTCTTACCTTGACAAACATGACCACACATTTGCCTAGAATTTTACTAACAGGAACTTTATTGTAATAATCACTCTTAAAAACCTCCTTTTCTAGAAATTTTCGTGTAGCCAGGTGGAATGTTTCGTTTGGCCGATAAAACCAACAGCCATATAACCATTTTTCACCTCAAAGAGAGAAAAGAAATGTCATTAGCAGAAACCATGTATTTGTTGCAAAATAGTAAATAAATATTCCGTCAAGATATTCTGCTACTGTATGAACTAGCATTGTGATTTTTTTGCTTTTAATATTTACTTATTTATTCTGAAACAGATACAGAGAAAGGCAGGGAAAGACAGATGTTTTTTTCCATCTGCTGGTTTATTCCCCAGATGGCCACAACAGCCACAGCTGGGCCAGGCTGAATCCAGGAGCTTCATCTAGTTCTTCCTCACGGATGTCAGGGGCCCACATCCTTGGGGCACCTGCATTTCCCACACCATTAGCAGAGAGCAGTACCGGAAGCAGAGCAGCTGGAACACTAACTGGTACATTATGGGATGCTAGTGTCTCAGGTGGTGGCTTCACCTGTAATGTCATGACACCAGCCCTAACGTGCTTTTTAGAAGTTTCTTAATACAGTTATGTCAGAAGAAACAATAATTAAAAACAGTGAAGCGTACTGAGGCCTGAATAATGCTGCTTTCTTTCATATCAAGACATGACTAGGGTGAGGAACGCAGAGGCTTCTTTACTCCAGTCTCGTTGGTATGCAAAAACAGCTCTATTTTCTCAAGGAAACATGGACTGAGGATTCATTTTTCAGAATAGGTGAAAGAATTAAAAAAAAAATTTCACATCATGAGCAGCTGAAAGAACTGGAACTGACTGGATCATATTTCCACCTGTTTTCGGTTTCATTAACTTACATATTCTCCATGTCTCAACTTAAAAAAATTTGTTCTAGGATACCTTTACAAAAGCAAATTCTAAGCTAATGCACTAGAGCTCCCTGTAATTTCTGTTTTGTTCCTCACTGGTGAGTTTTGCCAGGGGCAAAAAACATGAATCCCTACTATCCTAACTAGAGTTTTGCTCAGTGTAGTTTTAATACTGATTAAATGAATGGAATTTCCACTACACTTAGAAGGAAGTTGTGTTTCCTCTGAACTGCGATACCGCCTAACAGTACCAGATGTCATTCAGTAGGTGCTTGCTTCTCTTTGCTGACACAAGAGAACAACTACTGTTGAAAGCAGAGAATGTTTACGTTCTCATCAATTTGTCCTCTGATTTCAAACCTACCTGCTGAATCTTCCCACAGTCTCTCAATGCAGACTATATGTGGCTGTAGGTTGGCTTCTGCAGGTTCCACATAGACATAATCTCCAACATGGTACATGCTGTTCTTAAAGCTGCAGTCCTGGCTGTAAGTGCGATGTAAGCCCGAGAGGGCTGCAGCACCCGAGGAATCTTCACTCTTTTCAGCTTCTTAGGTTTAAAAAAAAAGGAAAGAAAATAAAAAAAGATACTTACTAAAAGGATGTCAGAATCAGATGCAGGATTCCAACAACACACACCAATAAATTTAATTCCTTTTGTGACACTAAAAGCAAAACATGTATGGTTTTCATATTCCTATAGACTCTACATAAAATTGCACAGATTGCGTATTTTGATCAGAGTGCTCAGCCTACTTGTATTTAATGTAACTGCGTAGTGCTGAATTGCTCCTCTTCTCCTACCCTTGTACTGTCAAGTAATACTGAATTCCTGGGTTCACTTTTTGGGATATTTATCTGCTTTTGTAAGGTAGCCTAAGGCAACATGCATCTTTAACATCACTATCTACTTAATTTTGGCAATATTGCAACTTTGCTCCAATATAGTTCCAATCTTTCTCTCTATGCTGGCAAATATACTTTTCTATAAATGTTATAAACATAACACTAGAGTGTGCTTGCTTTGAACAATTTAATTTTTTTAAAAAGAAACTAAGGAGAAGTGAAAACACTATTAATATTTACCATTTCCAATGCTCTTAGCCTTGTTCATGCATCCATGTCTTCATTGGGTATTATTCCCTTTACGCCTGAAGTTCTTCCTTCAGCTTTTTAATAGGGCAGGTCAGCAAGCAGTGAAATGTTTTCCTTTATGTGGAAATGTGTTCAACTTCATTTTTTTTAAAGATTTATTTTATTTTTATTGGAAAGGCAGATATACAGAGAGGAAGAAAGACAGAGAGGAAGATCCTCCGTCCAATGATTCACTTCCCAAGTGGCCGCAATGGCTGGTGCTGAGCCAGTCCGAAGCCAGGAGCCTCTTCTGGGCCTCCCACGCGGGTGCAGGGTCCCAAAGCTTTGGGCCATCCTCGACTGCTTTCCCAGGCCACAGGCAGGGAGCTGGATGGGAAGCGGGGCTGCCAGGATTAGAACCGGCGCCCATATGGGATCCCGAGCGTGCAAGGCGAGGACCTTAACCACTACACCATCGCACCGGGCCCTCAACTTCATTTTTAAAAACCAATTTTACTGTTTATACAAATTTGGGCTCAGTCTTTCAGCATATCAAGTATCACTTCACTGCTTTCTGGGCCGCAGCATTCCCCTCGGCCGGGCGAACCTGCAGCCAAGCGAGCACACACTGCTGGAGGAGCGCATGGGCTTGTGGCATCCGGCTGCCATTGGCCACAGCAGCATCACTAGTCACTTTCAATCTTACTTAATCTGATGACCAAATTAATACTAATAAAAACACTTCTATTTCATCCTATTTTGAAAAGCCCAATACCCTGAATTTTTATTCACATACAGGGGGCTTTTCTCCACAGCTGATTATGAAATTAAAACAAACTATAATACATCTTCATATTTAATAAAGTCAAAGAAAACCAACCTCTTTTTTCTTCTTCTCGCTTAAGCTTATCTTCTTCCATTTCTTTTGGTAATTTTTCCTTTTTTTCTTTCTCTACATCATTATGTAAATGTTTTGTGGTATAGCTGAGTGCTGGTGAAAGGAGGATCTCCCCATTTTTGCAGAGTTCATCACGGATCTTAATAAAGAACTGCTGAAGTTCTACAGCATCCTCATAGATTTCAGAATCTGTCCTATAACAGCATAAACAGTATTCATCAATACATCAACATTCTCTTTTAAATACCTCAACTATATAGCAATTTATATTAAATACTTCTTTAACATTTCAAGAACATTTAAAAAATTAAGATAGATTCATACATTTTATTAGAAAGGCAGATTTACAGAGAGAAGGAGAGAAAGAGAAAGATCTTCCATCTGCTGGTTCACTCCCCAAATGGCCACAATGGTCAGAGCTAAACTGAGCCAAAGCCAGGAGCTTCTTCCAGGACTCCCAAGTGGGTATAGGGTCGCAAGGTTTTGGACCATCCTCCACTGCTTCCCAGGCCACAAGTAAAGAGTGGGATGGGAAGTTGAATAGCTGTGAGATGAACCAGATCCCATATGGGATGCCGACACCTGACCGGGTGTGTGTGTGGGGGGGTGGAGTGAGGGGAGAATTAGCCGATCAAGCCATTGCGCTGGGACCAAGTATATTTTTGTAATGTGTATTTTTCTACAGTTCTTAGAAGTACATTTCGGAGAGGTCAGGACAGAACATGAGGTGTCACTTTTACCAGAGCCCCATGCCCACCAGTCTCCTTTTCCTCAAGGCTTCATCCTCGTAAAGCTCATGTAATAGGGAAGGCCTGAGATTTTCCCTGAGACACAAATGACACACATGTCCATCAGTTCTGACAAAAGAAGGTGGCTTGCAGAATCAACTGCTGTACCAAAGCTCCAGATCCTGTCCAAATCTTACTTGTATCTAGTCTCTGGTTAGTTTGTCCTTGCTATAATGGTTACAGGTCCCAGAGTTATGTTCATTTTAGTTATCCACAAATAATAGTAATTTGGGGGAACTGGGAGAGACAACAAACAAAAGATGGGGGAAAAAACCTGTCACATTCAGGATATTTAAAAGTAAGGAGACTGGGCAAAATAAATTGTAAAATTTAGATTGGAAATCATTTTATTACTGCCTGTAATGTACTCTGGATTAAGGGAGGGTTAAACATAATCGTATTAACTCAATATACCAGTGTCTAAATATTATTCAGAAAACTAACCACAGATACATGTCTTATCAGTAGGTACGGAAACATTCCTGTTAGGACAAGGTGACGGGTGATGCAAACCCACCCAGTCACTTGCTGACACATCTAACCAATTTAAATTCAGCAAGGTCTCTAGAATGCTTCTACCTATCAGCAAACATAGCTAATAAAAATTTAAAAAACACTGCCAATAAGTACTACCGAAAAGGTTTTAAATGGATTCAGTGGTTTCAGAAACAGCAATAAAGAAAAGCAATGAAAAAAAAATCTTCAAATAAATAAAACAAATTTAAAAGAAAAAAGAGGCCCTCCTACAAGTAAGTGTCTAACTTCAGATCAATAACTTAGCTATTTAAATCATCTAAATAATTGATTGATATCAGACATAAAAAATTCCTGTTACTATTTGTAATTCCTATTATTATAATATTTACTTATTTTTATTTGAAAGGCAGATTTTAGAGGAGAGAGAGAAGAAGAAAGAGACAGATATCTTCCATGTTTGTTGACTCCCCAAATGGTCACACAAGCTGCAGCTGGACTGAGCTAGAAGCCAGAGGCTGGAGTTTCATCTAGGTCTCCCATCCTCTACTGCTTTCCTAGGCTGTAAGCAGGGAGCTGGACTGGAATTGAAGCTGAGACTGGAACCAGTGAACTTACGAGATGTTGGTGCTGCAGGTGGAGGATTAGTCTGCCATACCACTGCACTGGCCCCTAATTTCTATTTTATGATTTATTTATCTTTATTGGAAAGACAGATCTATAGGGAGATACAGAGGGACAGATCTTCCATCTGTTGGCTCACTCCCAAAATGGCTGCAATAGCCAGTGCCAATCTGATCTGAAACCAGGAGCCAGGAGTCTTCTCTGGGTCTCCCTTGTAGGTTCAGGGTCCCAAGGCTTTGGGACATCCTCTACTGCTTTCCAGGCTGCAAGCAGGGAGCTGGATGGGAAATTGAGCAGCCAGGATATGAACCAGTGCCCATATGGGTTAACGGCGCTGAAAGGTGGATAATTATTCTGTTGAGCCTGGGCCCTAGGTCCCCTAATTCCTAAATAAAGTAGGAGTGTTTATCCTTAAGAAGAAAAAATGTCCTATAAAAGGCTGTATTTTAAATTTATGCTTCAAATAATAGATTCTCATTTTTACTCTCCTTCTCCTCATTAGCCCCAACCTGCATCAGTTAAAATAGCATTTACCCAATTGTCTGGTCTGAAGCATCATCACCTCAATTACAAATGGTTTTGAAAACATACCGATTCATCCTTCTTGCCCTTTCTAATACTTCAAACATATGTTCCTGAAATAAATCAAGCCGCCGGTAGCGATTATTTTCAACATTTTTTCTAATTATGTCGAAAGTAAGGGGAGGTTTGGTTGGAAAGTTAGGATCCACCGCAGGAATTTCTGCTAGGGAGTCACTGTAGCATCTTCCCTCATCATCCTGATGGCTCATGACTGACACAAAAAGATTGTGGATAAGCTCTTGGATTAGTAAGGTCACATTCGGGACATGGGAGTCTTCATCTCCCTCCAGGTCTCTCCGAGTTTCAAGCAGGACTTTGTGTAAGACAAGGGCATCTTTGTAGATCAAAGACTCAGGTTCGTTGTATGTACAGGCGTTGTTAAACATCATGACAAAGTCTTCTACCATAGAGTCTACATCTTGGTACTTGTTGGCCATCATGTGACTTCGAATTTTTTCCATGTCCATGGGCTTTTTGATGGTGAGATAATAGTCAGGCAGCTCCGATCTGGAGGGGAGTCTCAGAAATATGGCACTGAGGCGGCGGCCTCGCTTATCAGTGTAGTTCTTCACAGCTTCATAAACTTCATTTAGTTTCTGCTGCATAGGAGTCATGTATTTTGATTTTTTAGGAGAAATGCCACTCTTCCTACCTAGAGAAAGAGGTGTAACATTAAATGGATGAAATGTTATAAATGAACCTAAATTTGTACAGTTGGCAGCATAGCCTTAGAAAGGAACAAATAAGTTGTAAGATATAGTAATTAGCATGTCTTTAGTGAAATACAAAGAATTCTAAAACTGTTTTCATAAATCTTATTTTTGAGGGGACATCAAGTACTACCATGCCCATGCACCTGTGAATAAGGCAGAATAAAGTGGCAATATGGTATACTCATTCCATCATCTCTGAAGTTCCTGAGAAGCGAGACTTTCATCACAGGAGAAGCAGAGAACAAGTTAAAAACGTCATAGCCTGGAACCTCAAATGAATTTTGATGCATGAATTATGATGCATTTTGTTTTTAAATATGAGTGCGCATGCTCTAATTCTCTAATTTTTTTTTCTAATTAATGTCCAATTCAATAGCAGTATATCTTAGGATTAGAACTTTAAAAGTTTATTTGTTTCCAAGTAACCCTGGTCTTTTAGCAGTAACACAAAAAGTTTAGTAATTCTTGATAAATTGCTAATTATAAGTCTGGTGTGTTCTGAAATAAGATACAGTAAAAACTAAGTTAATAACTTTTTTTTTTTAAAAAAAGTCTTATTTTAGGTTTATTTGGAAGGCAGAGTTATGGAGAAGACAGACAGAAATATTTTCCATCTGCTGGCTTACTCCCCAAACACCTACAATCGCCAATCCAAAGCCTGGAGCCAGGAGCTTCTTCCAGGTGCAGGGTCTCAAGGACTTGAGCCATTCTCCACTGCTTTCTCAGGCCACAAGTAGGGAGCTGGATGGGAAGCAGAATAGCTAAAATATGAACTGGTGCCCACACGGAATGCTGGCATCGCAGGCAGAGGCTTAGCTTACTACATCATGATACCAGTTCTCTAGCCATAAATTTTTTTAAATAATAGTCATGTTAACAGAACAGAGGAGCTGGCCTAAGACAGTATGAGCACTGATGAGTGGAATAACTAAAATGGATTAAAACTCAGAAAAAAAAAAAAACAGTCGTTCATAATGATATGTAGAAAGGGGCCTGACACTGTGGTTTAAATTGCTAAACTACAGCCTGCAGCAGCAGCATTCCACATGACATAATTATATCTACTATTAAAACAATTTTAAAAAGAAAGCAGAGGGAAAAAAAGGCGTATAGAAAGTAAGTATGGCATGGTCTTGATAAATGTTGAATGACAGGCAATACAGAGGCTCGCTGTACTACTCTTTTTACATCCACGTATGCTTAAAATTCTTCACAGGAAAATGAACATTCCACACTAAAGTTGCCTTTCCCTAAATTTTAAAGACATAAGGAAAGATATATTTAAATACAAATATCTGGATATTATTAATTTATCTAAGCTCTCCACTCAACTTGGAGAAGTACAGTAAGAGAGGAGCTGAGAAGAGGGAATAAGTTCTATGCTGCAGGATGAATGCGTTAAATGTATTTGCCACTTAGATACTGGTTCTTTCAGAAAACTCCTAGCGTCTCCTTGAAAGGTTAAATGAAAATACCAATAGTAAGAGGCTGCCTTACTTAGCTTGAGTTTGGGAGAAGCTATGTCATCGTCGTCAGGAAGTGGGCCCAGCTCTTTCCTTTTATCCTTGAGTAACTTCTCCAGGATATGGGCATCATTATATACCTGTAGTTTACAAAAACACTCAAAATTATTTTCAGTTACTACTATATATGAGGGAGTTAAAAAAAAAAAACAAATAAATAACAAAATCACGGTCTCTGAAGGGAAGACTTTGGGTTCTCAAATGGTTGTTCTGTAAGCTTCCTAAATGATTCTAACACGTAGACATGCATGCAGTTTTTGAGAACTGCTTTAGAAGCATCATTGCAGTTTTAGCTTTCCTTTTTTTTTCTTTAAGTTGATTTATTTATACTGAAAAGCCAGATATACAGAGAGAAGGAGAGACAGAGAAGATCTTCCATCCACTGATTCACTCCCCAAGTGGTCGCAACGGTTGGAGCTGAGCCAATCTGAAGCCAGGATCTAGGAGCTTCTTCTGAGTCTCCCATGTGGGCACAGGGTTCCAAGGTTTTCGGTCATCCTCTACTGCTTTCCCAGGCCACAGATAGGGAGCTGGATGGGAAGTGGGGCTGAAGGGACATGAACTGGCGCCCATAAGGGATCCCAGTGCGTTCAAGGCAAGGACTTTAGCCACTAGGATACCATATTGGGCCCATTGTTTCCTTTTTTTCTGAGTTTTTTTTTTTTTTTCCCCAAAAGTATTTATTTTAAAGGCAGAGTGATGGAGAGGTAGCCATGCACACACCCACCCACTCACATACCACCCACTCCATGATAATAACAATTTCAAAAAATTGTGACCAAAATAATTAAAAAAAAAAAAAAAAAAAAAAAAGAACAACTACCTAAAGTTAGGTCTCCAAAGTTGAGTTTCTCAAAATACATTATTTATCAGTACCCAAAAGAAAATGTGCCACCCAAAGACCACCTCCTGCCTCATCCTTACCTGGGAGCCCTCCTCATTGTAGTGTCTGGCATTTCGGAACATCAACTTCATGTCTTCTATCATTCCCTCTTCTCCTGCATATTTGTCATTGCGGATGTTATGCTCAATTATTTTTAGGTCCATTGGCTCTAAGATGATTTTATAATAATCAGGATAGTCCTTTTTGGATGGTTTGACCATGAACAGATCACAAAGTCTTCTGCCTGAACCTGGCTCTCGAGCTTCAAGAACAACATTGAATAAGATTTTCATTCGCTGCTTTCTTATGTTCTTTTTACTGTTTGGGTAGGAGGAGGGCAGAAGAAGAAAAAATGAGAAGAGGTTCAGTTTCCTTTATATAAGGATGAACATGAAATGAAACAAATTAATCTTGTGGGGAGGCGCTTCATAATGATTAAAATTTGTTGATTACATAATGCCACAAACACAGCATGCTGGAAGCTATAAGTAAACATTAGGAAAATTTTAAAACAGTAAAAATACAGTGACACTGACAGGAGAGGCCAAATCTATTTAGAACATTTCACAAAATGCAATGTTTAAAAAAAGAATCTGACACCAAAACAAAATAAACTTCTATAATCAATTGAAATACTATTTTTAAGACAAACAGAACAAAAGTTTAAGGAAACTGATGATTCCCTATTGTTAACATCCTAACTTACAAACAAACTAACAAACAAAAGCAGTCTAACAAAGAGAAACATTCCATCTCTCAAGACAATCACCCCTGAACACCTATACATCCTGGATGCCAGAGAACAGAAGGAGACCACCTTGGTGTCTCATAACCAGCATGTCTCTCTTGCATTAACCTTGTTAGGGATAGCCCTTGCTCCTACCTACCTGTTATCTCACAGTCCCAACCTAACTTAAAGAAGAAATGCTCTGTGATTCACCTGAGTTTTTATTTTCATCCTTGATATGACCCCTGTTTTCTTCTCAAACTGACCACCATGAAATGCGATGCTGAAAAAGTGATGAGTGGTAGGAAAAAGTACAGGGAATTACATATTAAAACTCAAAGTTTAAAAGGGGACTGGAGAAATGTATTGGGCACAGAAGGTAAACTTGCTGCCTGGGATGCCCACATCCCATATTGGAGTGGTCAGCTGAGTTCCAGACTCTAGGCTTCTGATCCAACTTCCTGTTAATGTGTCTGAGGCAGCTGATGAGGGTCAAGTCTTTGGGTTCCTGCATGTGACTGGCCTGGAGATCCAGGCTTGTTGCAGACATTTTCAGGGAGTGAGTTGGTAGATTAAAGACTTCTTTCTTCCCTATTTCTTTCCCTCTTTCTCTTATTGGTATTTCCAAAATACCAATGAAATCATCAGAATTAAACAAATTCCTGATAGTTCTTGTACATGACAAGAACTATCAAGGGGAGCAGAGTCTTGTGACCCAAGTGTTGAGAAACTCTTTGAGGTTAGATCATTGGTTCAAGGTAAACTGCTCAAGAGTTTATCAGGAGAGGTGATCTTCTAGTATGATTTACAACTAGCTGTTCTTATGCCTTGGGGACATCGGTAAAGAAATTTTAGCCATGTTACAGTTAAATAGGAGGAACAAATTCTGGTACTGACAGAATTTGTAATAATACTTATTTAAAAATAGCAAGGAGAGAACTTTTAATGTCTTTACTACAAAGAAATAATAAATGTCTGAGGTGCTTTCCAATAAAAATAAAATAAATCTTTAAAAAAATGTCTGAGTGACAGATATACTAATTACTGATTTGACCATTACACAATGTATTAAAACATCACATTGTGGTGCTGGTAAATAGACATGTATAATACCAAGAAACAAATTCTAGCCATTCTCTAACCAAAAAACTACGAGTATGAAGGATGATTCAGGATTTAATTTCTCTTTGACAAACTTACTAAGCTCTCAGAGCAGTAATTAAAGTAAATTTTAAAACATCTCTTTCCTACCCTCATAAGTTGAATTATTACTAGATCAAACTATGTGGTTGTAGTACTTATTTCAGTCCAGTCCTTAGACTACATGAACTACTGCTGAGCCCTGAAGAAGTCAAAGCCACAATTTTTTTCTCCAAGACTCAAGATATGTTTCTAAAAACTGGAGACAAAACTCAAAGAATAATCACAAATCAAAAACTAAATATTCACTATTAAGATTTTTAATTGTCTCAGAAATGCCTATTTCTCCAACATCATGGAACTCAAAACAAACTAAAAATGAGATGTTCTGGAGAGAAGAAGAAAAGATCACCACTGGTAGGTTGAGATCATCCTCATCACTTGTTCCATCTGAGGTCCTACGGTCGCGCTTGCCAGCTTTTCTTGTACCACTTCCCTGTTTCCCTGTGTATCCGTGAAATGTCTGCTGGATTGTCTAATAAATGGACAACAGGAAGCTTCAACAAAACTAACAATCTGAGCAGACGATTAGAGGACAAATGACTGTAATCCTCAAAGGAAAATTTTAGAATTTGAATTCACTGAAACTTATACTAGGGACAGTTGTGATTTGTGCAGGTCTCACATGTGAACTGACTTTAAATTATAAGACTGAAGAATTCAATTTGCAGGTCCTGTGCTTACAAAATCTCTTCAATAATCAACTAAGAGTACAACCAATTCTAATTTCAGAATCCAGTCAATGCAACAGAGTTTGGTTAAGATCCAGACCTGGACTAGGATTTCTATTTCTTTCCAGATTTTAGCAAGCCACCAAATTACTACTAGGTCCTTTTTGTTTGTTTGTTTGTTTTTTGTATGAAGCTGCTGTAACTACTCCCATCTGAAAGTGAATATAGGACAAACTTTTATGAGACAGAAGAGGGAAGGTCTTCAATTGGATTTTGCCAACAAAGTACAATAACTTCAAATAATCTATTATCTCAAACTCAGTAAACCACACTTAGTAGTTCTGAATACGACATATTCAGAAGCCAAATCTACCTGCACATAAAAAACTTAGGACCTGGCATGATGGCTCAATTGGCTAATCCTCTAACTGCAAGTGCTGGGATCCCATATGAGTGCTGGTTTATGTTTTTGCTGCTCCACTTTCCATCCAGCTCCCTGCTTTTGGCCTGGGAAAGCAGTGGAGAATGGCCCAAAGCTTTGGGACCCTACACCAATGTGGGAGATCCGGAGGAAGTTCCTGGCTGCTGGATTCAGATCAGCTCAGTTCCAACTATTGCGGCCATCTGGAAAGTGAACCAGCAGATGGAAGATGTCTTTCTGACATTTCTCTCTGTATAACTGACTTTCTAATAAAAATACATAAATCTTTTAAAAAAGAAAACAACCTGTTCCACTGTTCCAATAACTGAAATTTACTGGTTAAACACTCATATTACTAGTATCCTTTCTCCATTTGTATCATTTATTCCCTAAAAAAGAGGGAGTGATATATAATTTCTACCTTCATGTTTTAAGTTCTACTTAGTATTTCTACTACTAGGTTCACTTACTACCTTCTCCACACAAATACAATTATCTTATTCTGTTTACATTTTTCCCTCAGGTCCTTATATTGCTTTTGAGAGGGAGCATCACCAGTAAACTAACTCTAGCTAACAAACAAACCCACCCCTCAGAATTGAACTCATTTAATAACTGTATTAGCTTTGGTTGGCCAATATGTTTGCTTTATCTTTTTCCAGTGTGGATGATGGATCTTATTATATCTGTGAGTGCAGAAAGCTTCAACTGTTTCTTGAAATGATATAAACTGCATTACAAAAAATTAGTTACCAAAGGACCCTGTTTGATACTTTTTGGCTGTTGTTTTCGATGTCATTTTACTTTTTAGCTTCCTCATGGAATCCTCTATAAATCCTATCTCCCTGTCAGACTATTAACAGGGAATAGCTTATTCATTTGTCTCTGCTTTTGGAAAGGTACATAAAATTAAATCTCATTTTTTCTTAAGCATCATCTTACAGTGTATGAAAGCAAAATATATGTTACAGGAATTCAAAACCAAGGTTGGTCATCCTCAAGGGGCCCATTTATGGGAAAACCAATTAAGATCATAAAATTTATTTCAATAAACATATGCTTCTAGGATTTTCTAGATGAGCCATAAAGGCGTTGTGCTAACAAAATCAGTATATTATAGCAATTTTTTAATATATGTCAGTGCTTTGACAAACGAGTATCTTATGATTGTATAAAGAGTATTAGCCAGTAGAGGCTCTGTTATGAATTCCTAGGTTTCTAGGCTCACCCCCAAAACCATCCTGCCTGAGTGAAGCCAATCTGAACAGAGGAATGTCAGTTAAACCCTGATCTTCACTCATCAAGTTCTAAAGGACTTCCGCAGTGCTTTTTGACCTGATTTTCCTTTCATTTTTTTTAAATAACCTTTAGTTCCGAGCCTAATATTCTGGCCATCTTTTCAAATGTACTCATTATTCTGTTTCCAAATATACTACTTATTACATTTACATGTATAAACCATTCTTATTTATAACCACATCTACCACTTCTACCATGTCTAAACATTACACACTGTCATTTAATTTTTCAAACTCTGAGAAGCAAATGGAACTACCACTACAACTCTGTAATGTAAAAACAGATTTAGAGAGATGAAATGAGATGAAACCTAAGGCCACAGAGTGAATCATCAGACACTCCTATCAGCTGCCAAGCACCAGGTTCCTTTTATCCTGTCCCTCAGTTTTCCCAGAGTTGCTGCTTACCAAGGACCTTCTAATCAATGTCAACTCTGTTCATGGGCCTTAGAGCTGCAATGGTACTTGCAGCTAAGCTAAGTAAATGGAAAGGTTCTTCACTTTACAAGCCTTACTACATTTACCTTCAAGTTTTTAAGACCTAAAATCTTTTGTTTCAATGAGTCTTCCAGACTGGTAACCTGAGAAAAACAAAATAATATACCAAGTTCCAATGTCAACAGGAACTGCTTCAAAATACCCAGAACTACAATTACCAAGTACTCACTGCATCCAAGTGCAGTTCTGAAAAGTGTTACACATGTTAATCAATTTGTCCTCAGAGCAATCCTGTGGAGGTACTGTCACTGCCTCCCTCTAGAGAGGAAAAGCTAATACGTGGTCTAGATTACAGAACTTGCAAGAACAGAGGGTGGGTGCTCAGGCCAGCTGTTAAAAAGCTGATTAAGACGGCCCTATTCCACCTCAACTGTCAGGGTTCCATCAGAAATTCTTATCTTCTGATTTTGTATTCCTGTTAATCTGGGAGGCAATGGTGGTGGCTCAAGGAACTGGGTTTCTGCTACCCCATCAGGAGACTTGATTTAAGTTTCCAGCTCCAGGCTTCACCAGGTTGTCTTGGTTATTACGTGCATTTGGGGAGACCAGCAAATGAAGTATTCTTATCAAGCTTTCTCTCAAACAAATGAAAAACAAAAAAGAATATGGGATTTGAACTTGGGCAGCTAGGCTCCAGAGGTCAGGGATACAATCCTACTTAATTAAGATTCAACATTCCTGTTTTTACTACCACCTAGAGATAGTATTATACACTGTACAAAACTTTAAAAAAAAATAGGGCCCAGCGGTGTGGCCTAGTAGCTAAAGTTCTCGCCTTGAACGCGCCGGGATCCCATATGGGTGCCGGTTCTAATCCTGGCAGCTCCGCTTCTCCTCCAGCTCCCTGCTTGTGGCCTGGGAAAGCAGTCGAAGACAGCCCAATGCTTTGGGACCCGTGCACCCGTGTGGGAGACCTGGAGGAAGTTCCTGGTTCCTGGCTTTAGATCGGCACAGCACCACGGTTGCACTCAGTTGGGGAGTGAATCATCAGACAGAAGATCTTCCTCTCTATCTTGCCTCCTCTCTATATATCTGACTTTCCAATAAAAATAAATAAATCTTAAAAAAAAAAAGAAAAAAATGACTTAATCCATCTTTTTTCTTATTTAAGGATGTATATATTTATTTGAAATGTAGTTATAGAGAGGGTATGAAACAGAAAGAAGATCCTCCATCTACTGGTCCACACACTAAATGATTGCAATGGCCAGGACTGGAACAAGCTGAAGCCAGGGACTATGAGTTTCATCTGTGTCTACCCTATAGTTATATGGGCCCAAGAAATTGGGCCGTTTTCTATTGGTTTCCCAGGTGCATCAGTAGGGAGCTGGGTTGAAAGTGGAGCAGCCAGGACACCAAGTGTTGCCCTTAAATTAGGCGAGCATCGCAGGCAGCAGCTAAAATTGTTTTGCCAGAATGCTGGCCCCAAGGCCTTTTTCTTGAATATACCATCTAATTAAAAATATTTTCTTAATAAAATATTAGGAATATGACAATAATCACTTTCTAGTTTTGTAGAATGGATTACATATGGCAACAACACGTAGATAACTATAAAACACTAAACTTTCAAGAAATAGCATTGTGGGGAAATATTCTTTCCTAAAGCTATTTGGGCACTTGTACAACACTCCTATGCAAGCACACAGTTGTGTACCTCTTGAAATTATTTTACTACAGTGCTTCTATGCAATTTCATGCTTTCAACCTGCTTCTCTCCTTGGTCAGTAAGCTCCCGGAAGATGGAAAACTGAATATTGTCTTTCATGACTTGTAAGAATAGAGTCTCTTGATGTGTAAACAACTGGCTGTGAATGTCACACAGCAAATGTGAAAACAAAAATGCTGCACAATTATCACTAGCACTATGACATGGCAACTCACAGCTTGGTTTTAAAATCCTAAATAAAGAACATGCAAAAAAAAAAAAAAGTGGGTGATATTTAAAGAAATGAGACTTTGACAAGACCAGAGATGAGGAAAGGCATTCATGCTTGTGCATCAACCCAGAGCACAGGTGCCCGCATGCACTGACATCATTTGGATGGTCAATGGTTTTCATCCCTCCACCACCCCAAACCAGTAAAATATAGCACTGAGAGGGATAAGCACCTGCCTGCTCCTGGACACTGGCAACGCTACCATATTGGCTCTTCTTTTAGTTACAGGAGCATAGCCATAATGACTGGTAAGGGAGTTTTCCGCCTTAAGCAAACCTAACAATAAATTTAAACTACTCCTGAACTTATCTAGTTGGGCAGAATTTATTTCACTAACTAAACTTTTAGCGGTGTTGCTTCCCTTATTCAAATAAACTGGTGCCCAAATACTTTTTTTTCATATGCTTACGGCTTTGCTTTCCCCCTAATAGGTACTGAACATGCCGAAAAAGAATTACACCTTTTACAGTATGTTTATGCATAAAAAAGAACTGCACACCTGGATAGCCTCCTGAGACCCAACATCTCACTGTCATGAGTGTTCCTGGGAAAGCAGAAACAAACATTACATGTAAAGAGAAATAAAACAAGCAACATTGGAGGGTCATGCAAAAACCAAATATGGTTGAGAAAAAGAGGATTATTCATTCAGTCTGAAGGATAAAAGATCGTAATATTTAGAATACTTCAACATGGAAGACAAAATGAATTTTTTGGGTCGTGTGGTGGGGAAAAAGAATGCACTCCCAGAAGGAAGAGAACATACCCATATCCAATTTTTCTCACACTTTGTTATTAAAACAAAAACAAGGCAAAGATAGAATCATACACACACAGTATCTAGGAGTGAAGTCAACTGGCCCTCACATTTCTGGCCAAGCTGTCATTTCCCTGGCTTCTGGAGAAGCTGGTTTCTTACTGCCAAAACTTCTCACCATAACTACCTTCTAAAAGGTTCATAATGCTATTTTCTTTTTGATAGCCCAAAACACAAGACTTAAATTCTCTCAGTCACTGTATGCCCCTTCATGCCTTCACACTGCATTTTGTCTTTTTCTGTTCAGGCAGAAGATTATAGCTGTTCTTTCTCTATTTGGGTACTCCATTTTGTTTTACAGAATACTTCCTGGAAAATCTGTTCATAAGAGACTTTCTGTCTGAAATGGGATTTTAGAATTTCAAGAACATAAAGCTTATTGTTTTTCTTAATTTTTTTTGGACAGATTTTAGCGCAATAATTTCATCTGAGTGTCCCACAAACTACAAGCCAATAAAAACTTTATGGATCTGGCTTGGGTGAATGCTTCCTTAGAAAATTCTTTTTGTAACACCTGCTATTTTAAGATCTCTCTGTTTTCATCTAGTGTTGGCACTAACTGTACCATCACTTTTCCCTCCATTACCTTCTTTTGCCTGAGAAGTATTTATCTTTGATTGGTGACTGATCTGGAAAACACAGGTGATGTTGAAGTAGAATTATATAATTACACTCAAAGATGTTCTTGATGTGATGTCTCTGATCTGGTTTCACATTTTTCCTCCGTGGTCCCTGGTATAACAAGGAATTAAGAACTTGGAAGGATGAAATTCATAGGCCAGTAATGGAGGAGACTCACATCTCACAGTACACCAATCAATCTAGTTACCATGGCATAGCACAGCAAAGTTAAAAAACAAAAAACAACAACAACCAAAAAAAAAAAAACCCTTTCCCAACTGTTCTTTGTGAGAGGGACAGACAAGACAGCTTATTCTTTCTAATTCACTTTTTAAAATCTTCTGATCTTAGTAGATCTTGCAAAGCATCTACAGAAATCTGTCAACAGCTACAAATGACTTCATCATTGATTCTGAATGTGACAAGCCCTGCTATTAGTGTTTAGTTTATTCCTTGTTTGGGATGTATCTTCCCTGGAAAGACTGCTGCTGCAAAGATAGTAAGACAATTAAGGGTGAAGGAGAATGTGTTCCACACAGATCAGGCCAGATAAACTCTACTTGGAAGGCATACATAAAGAGATGGCTTTGTGTGATCTCTTACAGTTGTCTAGCGTCAGAATCTTACAGTAAGGTTCCATTCCATAAAATCCATTAGGAAAGAAACAGAGGGGCTGAAAAAAGTTAGAAAGAAACAAACAAAACCAACCCTATATCTATCTTAGCACTGTATGAACTATTAACAAATTATGATCTGATAGTTTTCAACCTTATATTTTTAGAATGGCAAAGAAACATCACAGAAAAAGGGAAAAACAAAGGGCAACAGCAATGATGTGGCAGCACTGAAAGTCTCCTTACCTTTCCTACTTGGAATTCGCCACGCTGAAATGACCTAAATCACATTTTAAGTATTCTTAAAAATGCCATAGAAATAAATAAAGAAAACAGCCTGAACAGCTCAAAAAAAAAAAAGAGTGCTTTCAAACTACATATGATAATGTCCATCTACGTCATCCAAAAGCTTTACAGTACTCACAAAGCAAAAAAGCAAATAATCTGTATTATAAAAAATATGAAAGGTAAGTATCAAATATTTAAAGCTTGAAGAATTATTCCTACTTGATAGCTTAACTTATTTTTTTTTTTTTGCCTCTGCAATTGTCTAAAAAAGAATAACTAGCAACAGAGATGTTTCTGAAGAGAAAAAGTATATACCTTTTTCTTTTGGCACTACCAGTGTCAGAGGTGGCTGACGAGATCATGCTGTCTCCGTCCTCAATGTCGTCCCTTCTCGCGAGCTCCTTCTTCTTTGCCTAGAAACAGAGCAGATTCTGGGAGTCAAGCTCACTCAGCTGAATGCTGAATGTTAAAGACATATTAGATATACTAGATTTACTCAGAAAAACACCAGCCTCTTCCAGGTCCTCCATGGGGGCGTAGGGCCCCAAAGCTTTGAGTCATCCTCAATTGCTTTCCCAGGCCACAAGCACGGAGCTTGATGGGGAGCAGGGCTACCGGGATTAGAACTGGAGCCCATGTGGGATTCCAGCATGTGTAAGGCGAGGACTTTAACTGCTAGGCTACTGCGCTGAGCCCTCAGATCTAGTTTTTAACACATGCATTTTAAAGACATTGTGCTAAACAGAGCTGAACATACAAGCACAGCTGACTCAGGAAATACATGTCCACAGAGCACTGAAAAGAAGACATCTGAAACAGCTCTAAGGATCATAGTGCTGAGCACAAAAAATGATTCTATGGGGGATCTAAGACTGCCTTTATTGCTTCCTTGCTTCAAGATTCTCTCAAAAACTGTGATACACTCAATTTGTATTTCATACTTAAAAAAAAAAAAGATTATTTGAAAGTCAGAGTTAGAGAGAGCAAGCTCTTTCTCTGGTCTCCCACGTGGGTGCAGCAGGGTCATACTCTTCTGTTTCCCAGGCACAGTAGCAGGAAGCTGGATGGAAGTGGAGCAGTTGGGTCTTGAATTGGCACCCACACGGAATGTGAACTTCACAGCGAGCAGCTTCACCCACCAACCACAATACTGGCTCCTGTCTCAAAGCCCCTACTTACCCATGACCTAGGAATTTTCCAAGTGTGCTTCACAGTGAGGCTCTGATAAAGTGACGGACTACCCTACGATAGGATCAGCTCCACTTTAAGAAAGCCCAGAACCCAAAGGAATAAAATATAAATGATGGGGCCCAGTGCAGTGGCCTAGCAGCTAAAGTCCTCGCCTTGAATGTGCCGGGCTCCCATATGGGCATTGGTTCTAATCCCGGCAGCTCCACTTCCCATCCAGCTCCCTGTTTGTGGCCTGGGAAAGCAGTCGAGAATGACTCAAAGTCTTGAGACCCTGCATTTGCATGGGAGACCTGGAGGAACTTCCTGGCTCCTGGCTTTGGATTGGCATAGTACCGGCCGTTGCAGCCACTTCGGGAGTGAATCATCAGACTGAGGAGCTTACTCACTGTTTCTCCTCCTCTCTGTATATCTGCCTTTCCAAAGAAGATAAATAAATCTAAAAACATACACACACACACACACAGCCTAAATGATGGAATACTTGTGACTACAGAGGGCATCACCCAGAGACAAAATCCTGCTGTCTTCACTCACAAAACTAATTCCTTTTAAAGTATCACTGTTATTCTATATGGGCTTGACAATTCAAAAATAAACAAGAAACAAAAATCTCAGCATTATTTGTGGTAGAAATGAACAGTATGATACAGCTGGGAGGGACAACCAAGCATCTTAAAAGAACATGTGTGGGATTATTTTATACATATATACAACACATTTAACAAGAAACCATACCTGCATGACTTGCTGTAATTTTAGAACCCGCTTGTAGATGGCCGAATTGGGAACATTATAGCGTTTGGCATTTTCAAACATTAAATTCAGGTCACACTCCAAATGATCTAAAGTTTCATATTCTTGGTTCTTTAGCTTTGTTCTGTGAAAGACAAACAAGGTTTCTTTATGAACATTGTGAGACGTTCTCCCTGAAAATCCAATGCAAAAATTTTGATAGACTAGATGGTCTCTTTACCAGTGATACTGATTAGACAACTTGAAAATAATTTTCCAGACATAAAGAGAGGAAGCAAAAGCACCACCACATTCAGGCTGTACGAGAGTTTACTTAAAAATGCAGAAGTAATACAAATTACATAATCAATTTGGAAACACATACACAAGGAAAACATTATTGGAAAAACTCTAGTAATGGTAATATGCAAACTTTGAGAAGGCAAAAATTTAGGAGATTTAGAGCCATTAAGAAGAATCTGGGTGAACTATCCAATTTGTTTAACTTTCAAGAGTATTTTCTTTATTTAAAAAGTAAAGATAATTGAGAGACAGAGAAAGAGACAGAGGAAGCAAGAAAGAAACATATAACTGACATTCTCCACCTGTTCGGTTTATTCCTTAACTGCCCAAAACAGCATTATATTTCCATAGCACTTAAAATCTAACACCTGAACTGAATTAGCCATTTCATGCCACTCAACAGCACGGCATTAATGTCACATTGGACACTATAAGACAAAAGAACAGTTTCATAAGCAGAAAGTTCTAGTAAACAGCACTGCCCTAGACTTTATTTTTCTGTGGAACACAATAATGGAAGAGAACAAAGTACAGTGAGTCTGCCAAGGTACTAGGGGACGGTGCAGTGGCATAAAGTACAGCGAGTCTCCCTATCAGACACCCCTGGTTCACTGTCCTTGGAAACAATCAGACACTCTGAAAACCAAACCTTTCAAATTGCAGTGTGTTCAGCCTTACTCACTTTCTTTTCTTCATACTCCTCAATTTGCATGCCAAGAGGAAGGTACAGAATGACTATTTAAGTAGCAAAGTTTACATCAGAAAGCTCTCTAACTTGAAAAAAGGTGCTGGTTAGGGAATTAGGTAAGGGGAGGCAGCACCATGGCATAGAAGGTTCAGTCTCTGCCTGTGGCACTGAAATCCCACGTGGACACTGGACTGAATTCCAGCAGTTCTGTCTTCCATTCAGCCTTCTGCTGGTGGCCAGGAAAGGAGTGGAAAATGGTGGTCCATGCACCTGTCTGGGAGACCTGAAGAAGCTGCCAGCTCCTGGTTTTACACTGGCCCAGCTCTAGCTGTTGCACCTATTTGGAATGTGGGTCAGTTGCTGGGAGATCTGATTCTCTTGTCTCTGTAATTGTGCTTTACAATAAAATGAAATAAACCTTTAAAAAAGAATAAGGGCTGGGGCCGACATAGTTGATTAATAGGTAATTCTCTACCTGCAAGTGCCAGCATCCTATATAGGTGCTGCTGGTTCATGTCTTGGCTGCTTCATTTCTAATTCAGTTCCCTGTCTATGTTCTGGGAAATCAGCAGAAGATGGCCTGTACCCGCGTTTAGAAAGCTTATTTACCTGCCACAAAGACATCACATAAACACACCACAGCTTATGCTAACCTCGCCCAGTGAAGATACTCTACTCTGTTTCTTGACTATGTTTATACTCCAGAATTTAACTCACATTGTGGGAACTAAAAATGGCATCTTTTATAGTAGTACTTATTTCCTACTGTTTTTATCTTTTTAAAAAAGATTTATTATTATTATTATTATGTTTTTACTGCAAAGTCAGATTTACAGAGAGAAGGAGAGACAGAAAGATCTTCCATCTGCTGATTAACTCCACAAACAGCCACAATAGCCAAAGCTGAGGTGATCCAAAGCCAGGAGCCCAGAAACTCTTCCGGTTTTCCCACGTGGGTGGAGGGTCCCAAGGCTTTGGGCCATCCTCGACTGCTTTTCCAGGCCACAGGCAGGGAGCTGAATGGGAAGTTGGGCCGCCAGGATTAGAACCAGTGCCCATATGGGACCCCAGCACGTGCAAGGCAAAGACTTTAGCCACTAGGCTACCGTGCTAGGCCCCAATAAATACTTTTAGAACCCACTTTAAATTTTTCTGAATATATACTTTAATTCTAATTGTTGAATCATCTAGTAATTGCTTAATCACTTTTAAAAAGACTCATTTTTTAATATATGACAATTAGAGTGACAATGGAGAGAGAAAGAGATTTTCTACCTGTTGGCTCATGGCCATGACAGCTGGGGCTGGGCCAGGCTGAAGTTGGGAACCAGGAACTTCATTCAAGCCTCACATTTGGGAGCAGGTACACAAGTGCTTGAACCATCACCTACTATTGCTTAGGTACATTAGCAGAAAGCTGAACACAAAACACAAACCACTGCAGCAATACGCGATATGAGCATTCTAAGTGTTGGCTTAACTCACTATGATACAACACCTACCCTACGCTTCAATGTTTAAAATCAGTTATTTTATTTATTTGAAGGCAGGAAGATAAAGACAGACTTTTATTAATTGGCTCACTCTCCAAATGCCTACAACACTCAGGGAAAGCCAGGGTGGAGCCCGATTCAGGAACCCAGAACTCAACCCAGGTCCCCCACATGAGTGGCAGGGTGGGGATTTCAATGACGGCGGTGTCCCATGTTGCAGCTTAATGGCTGCATTAAATGCCCATGCCTAATTTTTTCTGAAGAAGTACCATGTTGTTCTACAGACAATTTACATTGCTATTCCCAAGAGAGGTTCCCATTTCTTCATAACCTCATACTCATATTATTTTCTGGTTCTTTTGCTGTTGTTTTAGCCACCCTAACAAGTATGAAGTAGCATCAATTATAACTTCAAAACACCAAATACTTTTACTTGAAAGTTAGTTACAAAAGGAGAGAGGGAGAGAAAGAGACCAAGAGATCTTCCTTCCACTAGTTCACCACCCAAATGGCTGCAACAGCCAGGGTTGGGCCAAGCTGAAGCCAGGAGCTAGAGGCTTCATCTGCATTCACTGCTTTCCCAAGCACATTAGTGAGGAGCTGGCAAACCAGCACTCATGTAAGATGATAACATGGCAATTAGCAGGTTAACCCATTGTGCCAACACTTCTCCCAATCAAAACATTAATACAAGGTATAGGAAAAAATAATTTGTGCACTTTGCTCAATTGTAACATAGATGAACTGTTATATACTCAGGTAAAAAGCATTTTTTACCTCTAAAGTCCTTATCCATTTTACCAAAAAACATATATGTGCAGGATCAATCATGAGTTAATGGATGTAGACTAACAAAGAAGAGGTTGAAGTTTTATTTAATAAGCTATGTTGGTTTATTTTAGACATTGGCATCCATTTTATAGGATATGTACACTTATTTAATATCAGGTAGAAAGGGCATGGGATACTTATGTTTAAAACTAGAGTGGGCACTCATCTTCTGGACCATTCAGGAAGTCAGCAAACAGTTCCACGGAATAAAAGCTGCCCCATTGTTTTGGAGCCTGAATGTAACCTAGAAGCATTAGGTGTGAATTTAGATCAAATGCTCTCAATCGGCTCTATGGACAAGTCAGTAGAAGATGACTAAATTCTAGTGGTGGGCATTTCACACAGCAGTTAAACCACTGCTTGGGACGTCTGCATCCTGCGTTAGAGCTCTGTCTTAGTTCTGGCTACTCTGATTCCAATCCAGTTTTTTCTAATGTGCTCCTTGGGAGGTAGGATCCCTAACACCCTTGTGGGAGATCTGTATTGAGCCTTGGGATTTTGGATTTAGCCTAGCCCAGTCCTGGATATTGCAGGCATTTGAGAATATGCAAGATATCTTCCTTTCTGTTTGCCTTCCAATTAAAATGAAAATAAATGTTTTTAAAAGAAAAGAAAAAAACCAAAGAAGAAATCTTACCTGATCTGTTGTAGTGATATGGGCATTTTAATTTGCTGATAATAATCAGGGTACTTTTTCTTTGAAGGCAAATGGAAAAAGGGTTCAGCTATGAGCTGCCCCTGATTATTCCGACAGCTCCTAACTGTGTCATAAAGCTGATAAAAAGGATTTGAAACATCCATGAAAGAAGTGATGCTCTCTGCTTCTGACTCTCCTTCTTCATAACGTGCAGCTGAAAAGACAGAAAAACAGCATCCATAAGGGGAAGAAAGGACAAAAGAACTAAACTTGAAAGCTTTTAACACTTTACATATTTAACTACATACGCTTGAAAATATTGTTTTGTTTTGCTTAATTTTCAATTTTCTTCCTAATATTGTTTATATAGTTGAGAGGGACGCACACCCATTTGGGTCTTCAATTAGGGTGGGGAGGATCAGGTAGGAAGAAAGGAAGGTGGGTGGGACAAATGTTTCAGCATTGTGTCCACGGGGGAGGGGACCGCTCCTTGCTGTCAAAGTCACATCAGCAATGGGGAACAGGGAACAGTCGTTGATGCCTTAGAGACCCGGGATGCGGGGAAAAGTGTTTGGGAGGACTGTTACTTGAGGAACATTGTTGGCTTTGTTGCACCAGGATTGAGAAAATCTTCCCAAGGGCTACTGGCTGACCAAGTCCTCCTCAACGCACATTCACAGGCCCACAAACACACTGCAAAGCTTGGCCACGAGAGTGGTCTAGCCTGTTCTGCTGTCCATCTTCTGACAAGGCAGAGGAATTCAATGTTCTCTGCTGATCCAGACAAGTGGCTATTATGCCCACCGTGTGCATCTGGGCATGCTGTCCACTACCCAGGCATCAGCAATAGAAGAGGCCCAGACCTGACACAAGTATTCCAAGGTCAAGACCACGTAACTTGTGATTTTCCCAGTGTCCAGGGTCTAAGTCCAGCAGTCTAGTTATACAGTCCCCCAAGAAACCTAACCTAGGATGACCTCAGACTTGATTCTTGTGTGCACCAGCCTGTGCAGGGTCAGATTGCTCTGTCACCAGTACCAGTCAATGCATATTGGAGGATATAGCTAAGCATTCCACTTGAGTCCCAAATCTCACATGAACTGACAGGTGTTGTTGCCCAGCCCAGCCAGCCAACCACAGACCCAATTCTCATGCATAGCAGCAGCTGCTGCATCCTAGTCAGGGCGACCCCAAATAATCCCTATCAGGTCCACCTGGTTTTTGTGCATGTCAGCTTCTGCTGTGGTATAGCCCCACCAAACTTACATCCCTTTTGGCTCTGGCTGCTGCAGTTTTGCTCAGCTTGCCATGCCTCCCAGACCTGGCCCTCACATATGCCAATAGATGCCACCTCCTTGTCCAGCCTGGCCTGCCCCTAGTCTTGGCTCTTATGCTCACCAGTGGGAGGTGCAGTCCAGCAGAGGAGTGTCCATAATTCCCCTACAAGACCAACTTTCACTCTTAGATCTTGTGCCCACAAGGGGATACTGCAGTCCAGCCTGATGATTCGTACCCAGTCCAGGCACTTGCCAGTGGGTGTGACAGCCTAGTTCAGCCTGGCTAGCCCTAAGACCAGCCAGGCCCCAGTCTCAGCTCTCATAATCAACAGAAGTAGTGGTTCAACAAGGAAGTTCCTAATGCTCTCTACCAGGCCTGCTCCAAGCCCTGGGTCTGGTGCATGGCAGCAGGTACCATGGCCCAATCTGAGATAGCCTGTCCCCAGGCTTGGTATTTGCAGTAGGTGCTACAGTCTGCCTCAGCTCAGCTCATCTCCAGTCCCAGCTCTTGCCACCAGGTGCAGTAGCCTAGCCCAGCCTTGCCCATTATCACCCTCATGTATACTGGCAGGTATTATGGTTCAAATGGTTCTGCCTGTAACCCATCCTGGTTCTCGTGCCAGTGTATGCTGTGGACTGACCCTGCCCAACCCACCTCCAGACCCAGCTCACACATGCAACACATATGCTACAGCCCAGCCTGGTCAGACCTGCTCCCAGCCCCAGCTTTCACACTCACCCGCAGGAACTATGGTCTAGGAAGGGAGTTCATGTACCAGATCCACTCCCAGGAACAGATCTCACATGTGCTGGTGGGTGCTGCTACCCAGACTAATACGGCTGGCCCTGGCACTTAAGGGCAGGCACTGAGGCCTAGTCCAACTGGCCTACCCCAGATCTGGATCTCAGGTGAATCACAGGTGCCACAGCTTCCCTGGCTCATCCCATACCCATTCTGGCTCTTGCAAGTGTTTAGTGGGTATTGGATCCTAGCCTAGCTTTGCCTACACATAGACCCAGACCACATGCATGTTAATGGGTGTTGTAGCCTTGCTCAGCCGGAACCATTCATAGTCCTAACTCTTACACTCACCAGTGGGAGCTGCCAGACAGGGAAATTCCCAGAGTTCCCCTATCAGGCCCATTACCAGTGCCCAGACTTGCGCATGCTAGGGGATGCTTTGACCTAGTCTGGCATGGTCAGCAACATCAACTGGACATAGTTCACAACTTGTCCTAGCTCTTGTGCATGCCAGTTGGTGCTGTGGCCTGTCCCAGCCTGTCCCATTCACAGATCTGGTCCACACAAAATCTGACAAGTGCTGTAGTCTTGCCTGGCCTGGCCCACAGCCAACCCTGGTTCTTGTGCTCCCCAACAGGAACTGTAGCCTAGAAGGGGAGAACCCCAAGTTACCCTGCCAGGTCAGCTTCCAGCACTAGATCCCATGCGTGCTGGCAGATACAGCAGCCCTGCTTGGTGTAGTATGTCTTCAGTCCTTGCCTTCACATTTGTTGGTGGATGCTGTAGCTTGCTCCCACCTGGCCTGCTTCCAGGGCCAGCCACAGCTTTTGTGAGCATCAGGAGAGTTCCCTAACAGGAACTCTGTGAGTTCTGTAGTCAAGCCTGGTTTGGCCAGTCACCACCTCCAGCTTTTTGCATAAACTGGCAGATGCCACAGTCCCAGTGGGGACCCCACAATTTCCCTACAGAATCTGCACCCAGATCTGGTTTTCTCACATTCTGGTGAGTGCTGTGGCCCACCCTGACGTGGCGCAACCCCATGCTCCAACACTGGCGGGCAGGTATTGTGGCCTAGCACAACCAGGCATGCTCATCTGCCCCAGCTTTTGCATGCACCAGTAGGTGATAATATTTAGCCTAGCCCAGGTCTTCCACATGGTTGGTGCCTTGGCCTGATCCAGACATGGCTTCTGGTTTCCCCCTTCTAAACCACTCCATCTCAGCTCCCTTGCTTTCTTGAGAATGCAATGGCCTGGTCTGTGGAAGAACCCAGAAGTCATTCCTCTCCTGTCAAAAATGGTCCCTAGTCACTTCTACTCCAATACATCCCCAGACACTCTTCCCTCACCAATGCACAGCCTCTCTGCCTGGCAGCTGGAGTGATGCGTGTACCAGCCTAGCAATCTCCACCTTCCCCACTTAACTTTCAAAGAAAAGAAAAAAGCAACTATGATGGCATACTTGTATAGTTAACACAAATGTGGCATTAATCAGGCTCACAATGCCCACAAGTTACTGGCTGCCTTTTTCCCAGGAGTATAATTCTTGCCTAGATAAAAAGGTAACCTAGGCAGCTGTGTATAGCTGGAGGAAAATAATGATTTAAAAAAAACAGTTTGCGATGGCTGGCAGTATGTTTTGATTAGAGTTAATCCTCCCTTTGCAAGTGCTGGGATCTCATATGGGTGCTGGTTCATGTCCCAGCTGTTCCATTTCCCACCCAGCTCCCTGCTTATGGTCTGGAAAAGCAGTTGAGGATGGCCCAAAAATTTGTGACCCTGCTCCCACACTGGAGAGCTGAAAGAAGTTCCTGATTCCTGGCTTCAGATTGGCTCAGCTCTGGCCATTGTGGCCATTTGGAGAGTGAACTAGTGGATGGAAGAGTTTTCTCTCTCTGGCCTCTCTGTAAATCTGTCTTTCCAATTAAAAAAAAATTCTTAAAAGAAAAACAAAAAACAGAACAGACCATCACTGTGGTAAAATAGGTTTAGCCACAGCTCGTATTGTCAGCATCCCATATGGGAAGTTGGGTTGAGTCCTGGCTACTCCACTTTCAAGCCAATTCCCTGCTAATACTTCTGAGGAACAGAATAGGGCCGATATGCCTGAGCCTCTGTGCTGCATAGAGGAGGCCCAGAAGTGGCTCATGGCTCAAACATGTCTGTCCTTTGGCCATTGTGGCCATTTGGGAAATAGAGTGCTGGTGAAAAACTGTCTCTCCCTCTGTAATCCTGCCTTTCAAATAAAGAAATTAAGTTTTAATAAACACATCTCCTTTACACTGATTTTTAGTGCTTCATCTCCTCTATTGGCTTGTTTAAATGTCAATTTACCAAACTGCTCTGTGGATATTTATATCTAACTTTAAACTATGAGCTGTGATCAAGAAACCAGAGCCCATTGAAGACAGAGGTCAGTAGCTTGAAAAAAATCTCACATGACACACATTTCTCTGTGGGATACCCTGATGTGGGATACAGTGTAACACGTATTCATTATCATTATTGCTAACATCTATTTTATTTACAGCAGGGACTCAAGTCAGCATACATATGGAATGTTGCATCACAGGCAGAGGTTTAACATGCAATGCCACACTGGCTCCAGGTATTCACTACTTACCATTGTAGGTTTTAAACTGCTACATTACCAAAACATTGTTTAAAGGTTTATGTTTATTTATTTGAAAGGTACAGTTACACAGAGAGAAGGCAACAGACAGACAAGTCTCTCACCTGTTGGTTCACTCCTCAAATGGCTGCAGTGGCTAGGGGTAGGCCAGGCTGAAGCCAGCAACCAGGAGCATCTTTGATACTTCACACATATAGGCAGGAGGACCTAAACACTTGGACCACCTTCAGCTGTTTTGCAAAGCATATTAGCAGGGAGCAGTATTGGAAGTGGAGCAGCTGGGACTAAAACCAGCACCCACACGGGATGCCACCATTGCAGGTGGTGGCTTTATCCATTACACCACAGTACCACCCCTAAAACACTTGCTGCTGTGAAAGTATTTATCCCCCCAGACATGGGTTTTTACACAAAGGAAAGCAACAAGCTTTTGGGTAAATCTGCAAATCAAGTAAGTGCCATAAAATATTACATTCCCCAAGAACCAGCAAACTCCAGGCCAGGTCAGTGACTGCACCATTGCTTACCCAGAAGGACCCATGCAGAAAGCACATAACTCATAATGCCCTAATACCTACCAGCTAGAGCAGCATCCTCTTCACTCTCTGAGCCATACTGAAGTGCCATGGTAATTGCTGATAAACGACCCCCTTGCACTGTTCTTTTATTCCTACAAAGAAAAACAAACTATTAGAAGACACAAAATGGTATTATAATAATTTGTTTACTCATAAGAAACAGGAATAGCTAACAAAACATTAATAGAGAACTAATTTCTATTCAACTGTTTCTTTTGCTTATCTTTGTGCTTCCTAATATGTCTAATAAATGATCTTAGTCAAGAAAAGCACTTTTTTCTATTTCAGTAAGGAGGGAGGGGTATAATGAGGAAAGTGTAATAAAGGAAGAAGTTACTTGCGATTTGCTATTGATTGAAATAACATTACTTACCCCCTACTTTATGGAAAATAATAATTCAGTTACAGTCACAGCTTATACCTAAGATCCTTGTTTTTACAATCATATAGTCTGGTATGAACACAAAACCTTTTAGTATTCTGTGAGCGAAAAGAGTAGATAGGAATCATCTATTTTTCTGTCTCTCAAATAGGAAAAAAAAATCTTTTTTTTTTTTGCAAAAAATTTGAAAAGTCATGTATAGTTTTGCTTAATATATACTTCCAAGAACTTTATGAAAATTACTCATAGAACTCCACCCTATTTTTTTGTTGTTATATTTGTATTGAACTAAAACCTTTTAAATAAGGAATTTTATAATAAACCCTACAATATCTCAATTATAGTAAAAAATATTACTTCCAAATAGGTACCAGGTAACATTAGTATGCCTGTCCTTATAAACTTGGGTTAGCTTTCAGACCAAATACTGTCTCACCGGTAATACTTGCTAGTGGAATTTCTCTCTTCACTAAGGCTGCTTTTACTATGTGCAGGACCTGTCAGTCTGGCTGCAGCCAAATGTGATGAAGTCCTATCCAGAGACAAGATAAAAAAGTTGAGAAGACTGACAGCTGAAACCATAATGCTGGGCAAACAAAAGGGAGACAACTATTTCCTTCTTCTCTAAATAGAAACGTAAACATATTCTGAACCTCTGCTATGCAGCAGTCCCTGCTCTTCGACCAGGGAACATAGCAGAGAATGATCTGGACCAGTCCTATAGAGTGACCAGAGGACCTGAGGCAGGAACAAACCTCAGGGCCAAAAGAAAACTTGGAAGGTGGTCAGAAAAACTGCCCACTGCAGAGAAAGAAACTGAATCCTAGAATTAAGACTTGCTCAAAGGCCCAGTCCCAGTTTCAGATAAAGCCAGGGTAAGATATCAGATGTTCTGCCACCTGGCTAAACATAGTCACTACAAATAAAAGCATATACCATTATACAGTACATGCACGTGACTGATAATACATATATATTCATGTCTTTATAAAGCAATGAAAGCATATAGTGATACTAAATCTTATACATATACATATTTTAAATAAGGACTATGGGGGTGCCTGTAGACCACACTGAAGTGTCTGTATTTAAGGTTCTAACTCTGCTCCCAATTGCAGCTTCCTGATAATGGTATTCCTGGGTGGCCGCATGCAATGGCTCAAGTATTTGATCTCTTGACACCAATGTAGAAAACACGGACTGAATTCCTGACTCTTGGCTTCCGCCTGGTCCTGCCCTGGCAATTGAGCACACTTGCACAGTGAACCAACAGATAACGATCTCAGTATGTATGTCTCTTACATACATAAACAATTTTTAAAAGATTTACTTAATTAGCTGAAAGAGAGTTACAAAGAAGGAGAAGCAATGTGGCCTGGGAAAGCAGTCGAGAACGGCCTAAAGCCTTGGCACCCTGCATTCTGTGTGGGAGACCTGGAAGAGCTCCTGGCTCTTGGCTCCAGATTGGCACAGCTCTGGCCACTGTAGCTTCTTGGGGAGTGGATGGAAGATATTTTTCTATCTCTTCTCCTCTCTGTATATTTGACTTTGCAATAAAAATTTTAAAATCTTAAAAAAAAAAAAAAGAAGGTAAGCAGAGAAATAGGAGGAGTGAATCATCTGCTTGTTCATTCCCCAAATGGCCACAACTGCCAGGGCTGTGCCAGGTTTACCATGTGGGTAAAGGGACCCAAGCAATTACAGTCCTCTGCTGGTTTCCCTGGCAGATCAGCAGAGAGCTAGACCAGAAATGGAACAGCCGGGTCCTGAACTGACATTCATATGGGATGCTGGCATTGTAGATAGTGGTTCTACCATTCACACCACAATGTTGGCCCCAAATAAACAGAATTTTAAAAATAATAAATGAAGACCATCAGCTACTATGCAAGGGCTGCAAAGGGGTTACCTCTGTCTTTAGAATTTCATTATCAACTATAAAACTAATCTGTAAATCAACATAAATCTTGTTTTCTTTTTTTTTTAAAGAATTGTTTATTTTTTTAAAAAGATTTATTTATTTTTATTACAAAGTCAGATATACAGAGAGGAGGAGAGACAGAAAGATCTTCCATCTGATGATTCACTCCCCAAGTGACCACAATGGCCGGTGCTGCGCGGATCCAAAGCCAGGAGCCTCCTTCCGGGTATCCCACGCGGGTGCAGAGTTCCAAGGTTTGGGTCGTCCTCTACTGCTTTTCCAGGCCACAAGCAGGGAGCTGGATGGGAAATGGAGCTGCTGGGATTAGAACCGGTGCCCATATGGGATCCCGGTGCGTTCAAGGCTAGGACTTTAGCCGCTAGGCCACGCTGCCGGGCCCCATAAATCTTGTTTTCTACTGTACTGATTTCGTTAGCTAGAAAATCTGGCAAATGTGACTACACAAAGACTTTACATATTTTAACCTACCTTATTCGAAGACTTGACTTTGTCATTTCATGATGTTCAATTTCCGCCTTTTTCATGTAAAATATTTTTTTAATTGAATTTGCATCCTGTCAAGATAAAATTACTAAATTTTAGAAAAAAACTGAAGAAAGTATACTCTTACCCATTTCTATGGGACTCCTTCCCTAAGCAGCAAACTTCCTTTCACTATCCACAAACATAAAACATTCATAAAAGTTGCCTATAATTCAATGTAAGTTAAAATGCTCACGGTTCTTTTAAAGCTAAGCAGGAAAACTGGTAAACAAAGATCTGACGGCAAAGCACAGTGAATCCTATTGTAGTACTCTGATCTAAAAGTTGAAACAAAAGATGTTCTTCTGGTTCAAAGTCTATGCACACGAACTGAAGAGCTTAAATTAACAGTATATTAACATATCAAATAAAAACTTCCTTTGTCTTCAAAGTTAGGCTTAGGAAAAATAACCAGATCAAAAGTAAACTTCTTAATCATATCAACTAGCAATTAATATTGCACATTGAAAATATCTTATCAAGCAATGAAAACACATGGATTCTAGAAATCTTACTTGATTTTACAAGTTTCTTAAAAGACAAATGATAAAGTTTTACTAATAATTTTTAGCATTTGTGTTAGCATTCAAAAAGTCTAAGTGATATTACTACAAAAAGGTTTCTGAATACCTCTATTCACTTAAGCAATTCTTCTAAGTTGTTCTTTACAGGATTAGAATAATTTCTAAAAACTAATTAGAAAACAATGAAAGTCTGCTGCACTGTAAATTACACCTCAGATCGTTTTTCATATTTATGAAGTTTGAACACAGGGACTAGCAGCAGAGGTTGTCCTGTCCTAGGTGTCGACTGGTCTGGCTGGCAGAGGGTCTAGGATCCAGAGCGACATGGGCAGGGATAATCCAGGAGCACTGCTGCCCCTGTCCTCACAAGTCCTGGAAGCCAGTCACCTGAGTCTTCCCGGAACACCTGCCTTTATATAACTGTCCTTGATCCCATCGATGGCCTTTAGCATTAGAAAGTGGTCAGCAATGCTTTCATATCCAGTTGGCCTTGGATGCCCCCAGATCTCAGACATCAGGGAACCGAGCGCATGAGCCATGACCTCAGCGCACACATTGCATGTTGCTCTACCACCTTAGAAAGCTCCCGTATAGAGGAAAGGAACACACCCCAGTGCACAGGAAAGATAGCCTGACTACTCCAGTTAACCAACCGAAGACTTATTTCAAAGTCAAAAAGAATCCAACAACTTCTCAGAGTAATGAGGATCATACAGGGAACACAGACACTGGCACTGACTAAAAATTCTCTGGTTTAGGCCCAGCGTGGTAGCTTTGCCGGTAAAGTCCTTGACTTGAACGCGCCTGGATCCCATATGGGCGTCAATTCTAATCCCGGCAGCTCTACTTCCCATCCAGCTCCCTGACTGTGGCCTGGGAAAGCAGTCGAGGACGGCCCAAAGCTTTGGAACCCTGTACCTGCTTGGAAGACCCAGAAGAGCTCCTGGGTTTGGATTAGCCAAGCTACTGCCATTGTGGTCACTTAGGGAGTGAATGAGAAAATGGGAAATCTTTCTCTTTGCCTCTCTGTATGTGTTTATATATATATGACTGCAATAAGAAAAAAAATCTTAAAAACAATTCTCTGGCTCAAGAGATGGATCCATTAGATGAGACAGGCAAGGTCTGCAATCCTAATCAGCAGGAAGTAGCTGCAGAAGATGCACCCTTCAGCAACCTTTAAGATTAAGGGTTGAAAATTTCCTGAGGGGAGAATGAAAATGCATATAGGTAGACAGGTAGCTTAGGGTCATGAGCTGCAAACCATACCCCCTCTACCCTATGTAATCCATATGCCTATCTTTTTTATCAAACGTCCCCTTCCCCAGAAAGTACTTCCTCTCAGCTGGGACCTGGGGGTGCTATACAAGAAGCCTCACAATAGGGAGGGACACTCTTCCCACGAACAGGGATGGGAGGTCTTTGCCATTTGAGGAACATGTAATTAAACCAGAATATGTTGGCATACCAGGCCAGTCAAACCAGTTCTTCAGTAGATCCAAATTCCATCTCACTAGTTTGCACTGAAGATAAGCCCAACATGTTGGAGTACCTCAGCTCTGCAATATTTGCACTGGCTCTCTGCTCATGGCCTGGGGAAAGCAGGAGTCCAACTACACAGGGCCTTGTCACCTATGAGACTTCGATGACACACCTAGCTCCTAACTTCAGCCTGCCCCATCCCCAGCAGCTGCAGCCACATATGGAGTGACCAGCAGGTAAAAAAAATCTCTCCCCAACTCTTCCAAATAAATAAATAAATCTTTAAAATAAATAACTCATGTTAAAAACAAAAGATAAATACAGGGACCGAATTAATATTTAACTAAATAATGGAACAAAAACTAACTCTGGCACAAGAATAGACTTCTGGATTAATAGAGATGATCAACTGATTTTCACTAAAGGTGTCAAGAAAATTTAATGGGAAAAAGAGTGGTCCTTTCAGAATAGGCCCTGGGATAATATCCCATGTGAAAGAATGAATTTGAGTTCCTACCTTACCTCCAGAAAAAGAAATTCAAATTGGGGCAAAGATCTAAATGTAATGGCTAACCTATGAAATTCCTAGAAGAAAACAAAAGTGCTAAATCTTTATGACCTTGGGTTAGACCAGGATTTCTTTGATAAGACAACTAAAACATATCAGCCAACCAACCAAACTTAGACTTCATAAAACAAAATCATTTTTATGAGTCAAAGAAAAGTAGCATAAAATTGAAAATATAGCAGGTGTTTAAAATCATCTGATAATATCCAGTATAAAGAACTATTATTAGTAAAAAAAAAAAAAAAGCCTAATTTAAAATTTGCAAATGGGCAGACATTTCTTTAAAAATACAGAAAGAGCCAACATGCACATGAAAAGACATTTAGCATCATTACTTATCATGAAAACACAAATCAAATTCACAGTAAGAGTATTTCACATCCACTTGGGTGCTGAGTATAAAATAAAAACAAAAATAAAAACAAGGGTTGGAGTAACAAAGAAACTGTAACACTTGTATATCACTAGTGGGAATGTAAAATGCCATGCCTTTTAAAATTTGTTTTTAAAGCTTTACTTATGTTTGGGCCCAGTGCAACAGCCTAACAACTAAAGTTCTCGCCTTGCATGCACCAGGATCCCATATGGGCGCCGGTTCTAGTCTTAGGAGCTCCACTTCCCATCCAACTTCCTGCTTGTGGCCTAGGAGGGCAGTTGAGGACGGCCCAAAGCCTTGGGATCCTGCACCCATGTCGGAGACCTGGAGGAGGCTCCTGGCTCCTGATCGGCACAGCTTTGGCCGTTGCAGACACTTGGGGAGTGAACCATCAGATATAAGATCTTCCTCTCTGCATATACGACTTTCCAATTAAAAAAAAGCAAATTAAAAAAAAAAGATTCATTATTATTATTTTTAAAAGATTTACTTATTTTTATTGGAAAGGCAGATTTTTACCATCTATTTTGGACCATCCTCCCCAGGCCACAAGCAGGGTATCTGCATGGGAAGTGGGGCAGCCAGGACATGAACCAGTGCCCATATGAGATCCCAGAACTTGCAAAGCGAGAATGTAGCCACAGAATCACTGTGCCAGGCCCCAACATGGCTATTTTCAAAAAGGTTGGTTAGTCTTCAGCAAATGCATAGTTATCACATGACAGCAATTTTATCCCACACCCCCCATAAATTAAGGTATAAATCCACATATAAACTTACATATGAATATTCACAGCAACATTATTCACGATAGCCAAAAAATAGAAATGACTCAAATGTGTAGCAGTTGAAGAATGAGTAAATCAAACACAGCACATTCACATGATAGGACATTACTCAGTAATAAAAAGAATAGAGTACTGGGACACAATACAGAAAACCGACCTTGAACACTTGAGAGCCGGGCTCGTTGTATGTTTTGGCATTTTTTGCTAGGAGATCTATATCTTTGGCCATTGCATGAATACTTTTGTAGGTTCCATTCTATAGTAAACAACAAAACACAGCAGTTCCTCTTAATGAGAGTTAATCAATATAATCTCTAAAAAAAGAACACATATTTTAAAAATTCTCCACATTTCCAATATTCTGGAAAGTAAAATCATTTTCCCTTATACAAATTATTAGTATTAACCATTTACAAATAATTTTTTGCTATAAGTAACATTTTCATAAAAAGTTTTAAAAAATAAAATAAGGTAAAAAAGTTATATTTAGCAAACACAAAGTGGTTATAACACAAGAAAAACTTAAGTTCTTCCTAAATACTAAATCGTTGAAGTGGGCTTGACAGTAAGAGATAAACCCTTCCTGAAGTAAAACATAAAATCAGTCAAGCATACAGGCTACCATTACATCACTACCCACAAGCTACTGTATCTGAAAGTTCACTGTTTCAAAATAATCCAGAGATATTCATACTTTCCTCAACTGAAAAGGAAATGAAGTGAGGAGACACTCTTGGTACATAGCACATATGACTAGTGATAAACACACAGAAGTGAACAGCTCAGGTTTGAGACTAATGCAATGAACTTGAAGGAAGATGGGGAAACTGCAGAATCATAATATAAGCTACACAGATAGGATGAGGACAAATGAGGTAGGGTCCAGGGAGCCTGGCAAAGGAGAGGAAAAAGGTTATCTGCTATGTAGGACCACCCAACATCTGGAAGAATCTCTGGCAGGGAGTACCCTCCGTCCAATGAGATGGTCCAAGAGGGAAGGCTACTGGCAAAGAACCACATATCAGCAAATTCATGCTTAGAGGGCAAGTGACCATAGCAACTGCCAGGGAATGACAGTAACTTGTTCCTGACAGCTGCAGCAAGGAAAAGCCTAGCAGAGGAGCAGCAAGCATTCGGGGCCTGAAAGGGCTAGGGACAGCAACGGCACCCCAAGGGGCTGTGCACAAGCTTAGCTGCACAGTGCAAGCCTGAGCTCTGCATGTTTCCCAGAGTAGTTGCTCAGTCGCCGTCCCAACAATTTTGACCTATCCAATACCCTTTCCATAATTTGTTTTCTGCTTTAGAGAGAATTACTATTAAACTGGCACAAGGAGTTGCAGTATAATAATACAAGTAAATCCCAGCACAGTAGCCTAGTGGCTAAAGTCCTCGTCTTGTATGTGCCAGGTTCCCATATGGGCACCAGTTTGTGTTCTGGCTGCTCTGCCATCCATCCACTTTCTGCTTGTCACCTGGGAAAGCAGTCGAGGACTGCCCAAAGCCTTGGGACCCTGCACCCACCCGCATGGGAGAACCAGAAGAGTCCCCGGGCTTCTGGCTTCAGATCGGCACAGCTCCGGCCATTGCGGCAGCTTGGGGAGTGAATGAGCAGATGGAAGATCTTTCTCTGTCTCTTCTCCTCTCCGTATATCTGACTTTCCAATAAAAACAAATAAATAAATACAAGTGATTTCAGTCTGAGTAGCAGAAAGGCAGGAAGAAAGACAAGGTGAGTGAAGAAGATGCAGAAAGTACTGGAGAGATTATTCCAACAATTTGGACATAAGAGAACAAGGATTCGCTTACATACTAATGGCAGTAACAACAACAAGTGGTTCTGGAGTTTTTGGAAAGAAGAAAGACAAGACAGCATCAGAGAAAGTGGGGCTGAGGCATAGGTGCTTATTCTTTAAAGATTTATTTAAATTATTTAAAAGACAGAGTTACAGAGAGAGAGGTCCATTTTCTATTGGTTGGCTCACTCCCCAAAGGGCTGCATCGGCTGGAGCCCAGCCAGATCAAACGCAAGAGCTTCACTGGCTCTCCCATATCATCGCTGGGGCACAAGCACTTGGGCCATTCTCTGCTGCTTTCCCAGGCACGTTAGCAGGAAGCTGGATCAGAAGCAAAGTATCAGAACTCAAACCAGCACCCATATCTGATGCTGGGGTTGCAGGCAGAATCTTAACCTGTCACACCACAACACTGGTCCTAAGGCAGAGGTGTTTAAAGATCTGATTTGATTTTCAATATTGTGAAACATTAAACTTCCTGGACTTAGGAGATCGGCATCATTCTCAGTAACCCAAATTATTGAGCTGCCTTGAATGTCAGGTGACACATTAGCGAATCTGTATCTTAACATTCTGTGAAAGTGTATTCATAGGAGCTGACATAATGTATGGCATAAAGTCAGTACCTGAGATGCCAGCATTTCATATGGGCATTGGTTCAAGCCCCAGCTGTTCCACTTGGGATGCAGCTCCCTGCTTAGGAAACAGGAAAAGCAGAGAAAGATGACCCAAATCCTTGGGCCTGTGCTCCAGCTTTGCCTGGCCATTACAGCCATCAGGGGAGTTAACCAGCTGATAGAAAGATTTCCTACTTTTCCCTTTCTCTGTAACTTTGACTTTGCAAATAAATAAAAATACTTAAAAAATAAAATAAATCCAGAAAGCATACCAGTAATTACTACATTGTTAAGTCTTTACTCTGGGAAGTGAAAATAAAGGCAGAGTCTCCCTCCCAACACTGCAGCCCACTGTCACTTCTCAATGAGACCCCGCAGCGCGCTTACTGCCCCCGACCATCTCCCGGGAGCACTAAGGCCCACTTCCCCAGGAGGCGCAGTGACTCGCACCCCTATGACTTCCCATCATAGGGGCCATGCGACATGCTTTCCTTGCATTATTGATGACTTATATGACTGCAAACATGTAATCTTACTCCCAACACACAGGATAGGAAGCAGGTAAAGTACCTGACCAAGGTGACAGCCAGAAATAAGCCAGTGAGGAAAAGACACATGTCAATTCCAATGTAAAAACTGGATTTCTGGTAAAACTTAGCTTTCTCTCTATACTTTCCTTAGCTTTTGATCATCAAATTTTAAATCTTAGTCAAACATGTACTCAATATTTACTGACCATGAACTCTGTGGAGATAGAGCGGCAGCTACAATCAGATTCTGCAGAATGACTTCCCACATTTAATCCTTGCTCTTATCCTTACCTGGTGATGATGTAAGCAAGTTATTTAACAATACTGTGTTTCAATTTTCTAAGCTGTGAAATGGGAATAACAACTGTTTTCTTCTGAATGCATTAGCATTAGCTAACCCACAAAGCATTTAGAACAATGCTAGGTGCCAGCAAGCCTACATGCCTGATAATTGTTACTACTGCTGCTGCAGATACAGATGAAAAGGAGACAGGAGGCCAAGGACAAAAAAGTATTTTATACTGCCATAGCAGCATTGTACACAGCTTTTACTTCAAGATATCGAAGTTGGGGGCAAGGTGGTGACATAGCAAGCTAATCCCCTACCAGCGATGCCAAGAGTGTCCTGAGTGTTTCATTTCCAATCCAGCTCCCTGATAATGAGCTGGGGAAGAAGAGCCCTAGGTCTTGTATCCCTTCACCTTCATGAAACATGGAGGAAGCTTCTGGCTCCTAGCTTTGGATCACACCAGTTCTACTTGTTGCAGCCATTTAGGGAGTAAATCAGCGATGGAAGATGTGTCTCTGCATTTTTATGTAAATCTGCCTTTGAAATAAAAATAAATGCATCTTTAAAATAAGTAAAAAGATAACATAAAGCTTTTGGAAGCAGATAATATTGAAGAACTAAAAAAAGTCTCTACTGTCAAGGTACCTTTCACCACCAGAAATCTCCATAACTGATGCTTTCAAACAATCTAAAGCTACAACCGGTGATGTTATCACTTATTTATATTATTTGCTAATAACTTTTTAAAAAGGATTTATTTATTTTATTATTTTTTAAAGATTTAGTTATTTTTATTAGTCAGATATACAGAGAGGAGGAGAGACAGAAAAATCTCTGTTCAATGACTTATTCCCCAAGTGGCCACAACGGCCAGAGCTGTACTGATCTGAAGCCAGGAGCCAGGAATGTCTTCCAGATCTCCCATGTGGCTGCAGGGTCAGTACCCAGGGTCTTTCCCAGGCCACAAGCTTGGAGCTGGATGGGAAGTGGGGCTGCTGGGATTAGAACAAGCACCCATATGGAATCCTAGCACATGTAAGACAAAGACTTTAGCCACTAGGCTATCACACCAGGCCCAAAGATTTATTTATTTTTTATTGGAAAGGCAGATACATAGGGAGAAGTAAAGACAGAGATCTTCCATCTACTAGTTCACTCCCCAAATGGCTACAAAGATTGGGGCTGTGCTGACCCAAAGCCAGGAACCAGGGGCTTCTTCTGGTCTCCCACGTGGGTTCAGGGGTTCAAACACTTTAGCCATCCCCTGCAGCTGTCCCTGTACATAAGCAGAGCGTTGGTTTGGAAGTGGAGCAGATAGGATAAGAACTGGCACCCATATGCAATACCACTTCTACAGGCAAAGGATTAAACTGCTGAGCCACCACACTGTCCCAAGGATCTGCTAATAACCCTACAGAGACATATGCTTCTGCCTTTTCTAAGTCTACAAGAAAGAGGAATTTGTCACCACAGACCATTACAAACAGCATCTTCATACCTGTATCCTCTGTGCAATGGTCTTCAGATCTATAGGCTCCTTAATTATTGCATAATAGTCTGGATATTGCTGGAAGACAAAAATGCTCAGTAAATGTTAGCATTCATTAAAAATACGCACACTGAAAATTTGTTGCTAAACCATTGAACAGTTAGACATGGCTACTCGCGCATTATGTGATTTTCAGAAGCCTCGTGAAACATCCAATAGCAGAACGTGAGTTTATTTACAGTTGGCATTGAACATACACCTTCATATGGCACATATGCTATGACAATGTTTAAAAACCTCCACATTCACAGAATTATACAACTGTATAATTTATGATCTCCTGTCCTTAATGGGTTTGTTACAAAATCTTTTAATTTTGCAACTTAAACAATTACATAATATTTCATATAAACATTCCTTCACTAGAATCTATAAGATGTCAGAAATAAGATTTTGTTGATCTCATGCATAATGCTTTATTTCTGTAAAAATATATTTTTTCAAAATGTACCTTTTAAATGAAACTGTTGAAAAATAGCAAAGTCAGGCCCAGCGTGGTCACCTAGCGGCTTAAGTCCTTACCTTCCACACGCTGGGATCCCATATGAGCACCAGTTCTAATTCCGGATATTCCACTTCCCTTCTGGCTCCCTGCTTGCGGCCCAGGAAAGCACCTGAGGACGGCCCAAAGCCTTGGGACCCTGTACCCACATGGAGTACCTACAAGAAACTCCTGGCTCCTGGTTTTAGATCAGCTCAGGTCTAGCTACTGGAACTACTTGGGGTGCGAACCAACAGACGGAAAATCGTTGTCTCTGTAAAATCTGACTTCCCAATAAATAAATAAATAAATAAATAAATAAATAAATAAATCTTTAAAAAAGAAAAATAGCAAAGCAAAATTACTAGGAACTTCTGAATTATCAAGTATTAGCTCATCTCCAGATGAATATGGTGGGGACATCCTTCAGGCTTTTTTTCTGTTTATTTTTTTCTTAAAGACTTATTTTTATTGGACAGGCAGTTAAGATTTGCAGAGAATCAGAGAGAAAGATCTTTCATCCGCTGATTCACCTGACCAAGTGGCCACAAAGCTCGAGTGGAGTTGAGCCAAAGTCAGGAGCCAGGAGCTTCTTCAGGGTCTCTCATGTTGTTGCAGGGTCCCAAGGCTTTGGGGTGTCCTCTACCAGTTTCCCAGGCCACAAGCAGAGATCTGGATGGGAAGCAGAGCAGCTAGGATAGAAACCAGTGCCCATATGGGACGACAGTGCTTGCAGGGTGAGAAGGTAGCCTCTGAGCCATTCGTAGGCCCACGTCCCCCTCCCGCCCCCATCCTTGAGGTTTTCACGATTCCCTGACCTCAGGAATCCCAACAGGGTGTGCTCTACATTGGAAACAACTGAAGTTAATAAAAATTCAGAAACTGGTTTTCTCAGTTATAAAGGATTCCAGGGAAGTCAGACTTGCTTTCTCAGCAATTCCCATCTGTGCAAGTCAGCCATCACTATATCACAGCAGGCAAGGGAAAACTTCAGTGATACTTTATCATGTAACCGCCACTTTGACCCCACTAGTCTTTGCATCAAAACCCTCCCTAACTCCCTTCTGAAAGACAGTTCAGAGGGATAACTATAGTGGTAAGACCACCCAGCAGGAGGTGAAGAGAAAGCCAGGCTGCTGACCGACAGTTCCCAATCCTTCTAGTCAGCATGCCTGGAGAGATTTACAAAGGCAAAAACAGAACAGCTCTGCCCCTCAGGTTTCTCACCAAACGTTTCCTCCCTGTCCTTTATAAAAATCTGGAAAGCCACGAGACAGAAACAGATAGTGAGCAGTCATTGGTCTGGTGCCCGACAGGCCAGGGCTGGGCCAAGGCTAAAATTGGGAGCCAGAAAGCCAATCTAGTTCTCTCACGTGGGTGGCAAAAAATCCAACTACTGTAGCCTCCAGAAAGCTGGAGCCAGGTACCATGAGTCTGTGAGTGCTGGGCCCTCTGCTACAGGGTGCTGGCATGTTAACCAGCAGCCAAATGGCTTGGCTCAGAATCATAAATCTTCTATCATACCCCTAAGTAGGTTAAGAGTGGTCATGTGCTTTACATGTTAGTCAATACACAGCATTGTCAATAACTGGCAAGGAAAGCTGTACACTATTCATTACTCAAAAATCTTTTCTCAGCCCAATGACATGCTGGATTCTAACCAGTGACATAAAGACAAACAGGGATAGTTTCTGTCCTCAAGAGGGAAGGAGGTAGATACAAAAGCAACATATCACAAGTGCAATAAATGTAGTTAATCAGGAATATTGAAATGCTGAGGACATGGAAACTTTCGCTGTGCAAAGAGGCTACAATGTGAGTTGCATCTGTAGCTATTCATTTTCCAGTGTCAAGTCACAGGGACCCACTTTTTTTTTTAATGGAGCAGCACTGTGGTACAAGTTAAGCCACACCTGGGATACTAGTAACACATGCGATTCCTGGTTGGAGTATCTGTTGCTTCACTTTGCATCCAGCTCAATGCTAATGTGCCTGAGAAAACAATGAAGATGGGCCAAGTAACTTGGAACCCATGTGACAGACTCAGATGGAGTTCTAGGCTCCTGCAGTCATTTCTCTCTCTTCTCTCTCCCTCTGTCTCTAATTCTTCATTTCAAATAAGTAAATAATTTTTTTGAAAAAAGAAACCAATGAACACATAAAACACCTAGTTTGGGTGCTTTTTATTTTATCACAAAAGTGCTAAACTTGGAAATAATCCAAATTTCCAGTGACATGTGAATGCTTTCAAAAACACGATGCTTATATGCCAGGGCTGGGGAACTTTTCCTTGCAAGGAGTCATTTGGATATATATAACATACATATTTTTTCAAGATTTTTTTTTTTTTTAGTTTTAATTGGAAAGTCAGATACACAAAGAGAAGGAGAGACAAGAGGAAGATCTTCCATTCGCTGATTCACCTTCCAGGTGGCTGCAATGGCCGGAGCTGAGATGATCTGAAGCCAGGATCCCGGAGCCTCTTTTGGGTCTCCTATGCAGGTCCCAAGGTTTTGGGCCATCCTCAACTGCTTTCCCAAGCCACAAGCAGGGAGCTGTATGGGAAGTGGGGCTGCTGGGACACAAACTGGTGCCCTTATGAGATCCTGCCATGTGCAAGGTTAGGACTTAAGCTGCTAAGCTACCAAGTCAAGCCCCATTTGGTTATTTTTAACATCACTTATAAAATTACCAACTTAAAAATTAGCCTGCTGCAGATTTATTGCACTTCAATTCCCACTTATAGCTGCCTTGGCCAAATCAAATGATTTTTTGGGCCTCAAATAACCTGCAGCTCAAATTCCGCATCCCTACATTATTATTCATTGTGAAAAAAGAATGAAATCCTGATACGGAACATGGATGAACCTGCACATACACTTAGTACAATCAGCCAGTTACAAAAGGTCAAATATTTATACGACACACCTAGAATCATCAAAACCAAGATGATAGCAGAATGGTGTAAGTAGTAGCCAGGGGACAGCAGGGCTATACTTCCTGCCCTAGGGCAAATGAGCTTCAGTTTTGTGAGAGTAAAAGTTCTAGAGATATAGAAAGGCGAATACTTAATTCCACAGAACTGCACACATAAAAATGGCAACAATGTTTTGTATATTTTACCACAATAAAGACAAAAAGAATTACCAAACAAAAAATGAATAAAAATAAAAAACACAATCTTTTAAAAATCCATAACCTGGGGCTGACATTATAACACAATGGATCAAACCACCTTCTGTGACAGTGTCACACTGTATGAGCCTCAACTGCTCCACAGCCCATCCATCCAGCCCATCTCTGGAGTGAACCAGTGGGTGGGAGATCTCGGCCTCTCCCTCCCTCTCTGTAATTCTTATCATTCAAATAAATATCTAAATCCTAAGGGGGCAAAAAAGAATCCATAACCTCCTGGTCAAGTGCAATGAGAGATAGAAAAATCCCTTTGTGTTTGACCCTGACACCATGAGTACCTGCTCTGGACTGCCTCCAGCACTGTCTTTTTAACCTTATTTTATGTATTAACAACTCAGAACTATTAAAATTCTTGTGCTACTTAACACAAAAGTAGACATTTAATTCACCTGCCTCCAATCATATCACTTACCACTTTAGAAGGCAGTTTCTGAAAAAGTTCACTAATAAGATGCCCAGACGGGTTTGTTGCCACAACTATGGCTTCAAGAAGCTGCTCCAATATCTCCTTCAAATAACCTGGGGAAGACTGGGGGGGTGCAGACGGAGAAGAGAAGAAAAAAGTATTTTGTGACAGAAATCCATAAATACAAGCCCAATATCAAATAGCTTCTGAAACGGAAAAGCTAATTCAAAACAACAGTTTCTAAACAGTAACTATTTTAAGTACAGGTTCAAGAAAACAGAAATGTTCTAATGTTGGTCCATGGGGTTGCACTGCTAGCATGGCTTACAAGGAATGAAGGAGACTCCTTACATCAATGCAGTGACTAATCCCTTGGCTCAGGTCCTTGTACTGAACTCCATTCTGCAGTGAACACTACAATGACACAGTTCAAGCACCATATGTATTGAAACACATGATCTTTTCAGAGTCTGTGACTGAGCTGGAAGGAACATGCACTGGAATGCTTGGCCATTTCTACATTTGTCATTTGTTTCCACTGAAGTCATGATGCCCTGGTAGGACAATGACTACAGGAGTGGGACTACATGAAGGTCTCTCTCAGATCTAAGAACTAAATTCAAGCTAAGCTTTACGTCAAAGCTAAAAAGAGATAAAGTAAAATGGTGGGCATTATACTTACTTTCAGACTGACTGGCTTGCACCTAGCTCAGTTAATGTTTGAACACAGGAAAGATCATACCTCAAAAACAAGGGTCTGAATTTGAAGAATGCTTTTATAACAAACAATGGAATGTTCTGGTTAAGATTTAATACTCAATGGGGCCCGCATGGTAGCCTAGCAGCTAAAGTCCTCGCCTTGCACTAGCAATTTCATATGGGCGCCTAGTTCTAACCCCAGCAGCCTTGCTTCCCATCCAGCTCCCTGCTTGTGGCCTGGGAAAGCAGTCTAGCATGGCCTAAAGCTTCTGGGCCCTGCACCCGTGTGGGAGACCCGGAAGAAGTTGTGAGCTCCTGGCTTCAGATCGACACAGCTTCAGCTGTTGTAGTCACTTGGGGAGTGAATCATCGGATGGAAGATCTTCCTCTCTGTCTCTCCGGCTCTCTGTATATCTGACTTTGTAATAAAAATAAATAAATGTTTTTAAAACTATTTATATTAAATGCCACTTCAAATTCATGTTTCGTGTATATAAAAGCAAATGTTAGTCATTACTTCTTGCTTAAATTATGAAAAGCACTGATACTTTTGTTCTAAACAATTGCTGAGAGAGAAGCACATTAAGTGTTTTGGGATTAGCAAAATACTTGGCAATAAAAATATAACAAATAAATATTTAAAATATGTTAATGTGGCAAGAGTCCCCAACAACATAAGCTTAAGAAAATCAACATGACAATATGAAAGTAAACTAATATTCCCATTTTTATGTCATTTACTTCCTGGGTAAACATGGTCTCAATGGCCAGAGCTAAGCCGATCCAAAGCCAGGAGCCAGAAACTTCCTCCAGGTCTCCCATACGGGTGCAAGGGTCCCAAGGCTTTGGGCTGTCTTCGACTGCTTTCCCAAGCCACAAGCAGGGAGCTGGATGAGAAGCGGGGTAGTTGGAATTAGAACCAGCGCCCTTATGGAATCCTGACGCGTTCAAGGCAAGGACTTTAGCCATGAGGGCTGGGCCCAACCCTTTTCTTTTAAAAGAATTTCTGCAACAAAATAAATGCTCTGCTATTTTCCCAGGAGACTGGCAGATAAGAGAATAGAATACGGAGCAATCAGGATTCAAACAGGTGCCCGCATAGGATGCTGGCACCACAGGAGTTTGACAAGTGAAACAATAAATGGAATAGGTCTCTCTAACTTTGTTTCTCCACCTCTATCACTCTGCCCTCTAAATAAGTAAGTAATCCCTTCCAAAGCCTATTTTTAAATTTCCAGGATGACTGGAACTTTGCAAATAGAAACTGCAAAATTACCAAGATAAGAAGAACACACTCAGCAGGTTCTAGAAGCATTAATCAGTCTAACTACAAAAGCACTTCTAAAGGTGGTAAATTCACTGACTCTCCAACTCTGCCTACCCTTATGTGCCTCAATCTAGGAACACTGGTAGTACTTAAAACAGAACAGAAAACATGCATTACTGTAATCCATGAAAACAATCAAGCATGGCATGCATTGTGCAAAATACCCCAGGATTCCTAAAGACTAGAGTGGGGCATTGAGTAAATATCCACTGCCCTTTCAGGTCAGCAGTACAAAGAACAGAGAAAGCCCAGTTACCCACACCAGCTCAAAGGGAATCAGAGACAGGAATCGCATCCACCTTCCAACGGCCCACTCATCTGCACACTCACTCCTTCAGTAACTGTGCCTTGATTGTCCTGCCCATCTTCATCATCATCTTCATCATCTGCTTCTCCTTTCTGAACAAACTCATTTCTTGTCCGAAGGTATAAATCCCAGAGTTTGCAAGCAGCTTTGTATTCCGGAGAATCCGGCTATACATCAGGACAAAGGAAAAAAAAAATAAACTTTATTATTTTACTATAAATTCATCACTACCTAACGGACACAGGTATTTTAAGACACAATTTTGAAAACTGTACTAGAAAAATTTAAAGTTCTTATTAGAGAACACAGGGCCTCAACCGTATTCTGAGAAAATAAGTGTATGTTTTAAAGGCATTCTTACATTCAAGTATTCATGCCTTATTACATTACAGAAAGATAAGGCAAAAGGTAACTGATTCGCTAAATTAAAGCTAAGATCAATACACTTGACACTTTTTTTTAAAAAAATTTTCTACTCTATTTGAAAAGCAGAGAGAGACACAGAGACAGACAGATTTTTCATTTGCTGGCTCATTCCTCAAATGCTGTTTATGCCCAGATGTGGGCCAGGCTAAAGCCAGAAGTCAGATACTCCCTCTGGGCCTTCCAGCCACGTGGCTGCATGGTACTCGAGTACTTGGGCCATCATCCACATGACCATCTCAGGTACATTAGTAGGATGCTGAACTGGAAGCAGAGCAGCTAAGACTCAAATCAGCACTTAAGACATGAGATACCCTAATCAGTAACTTGAGCTACCACTCTAAGAAACATCATTTAGAGCCTGGCTTGGTGGCCTAGCGGCTGAAGAAAAACAGGTGAAAGATCTCATACTTTACACAACAAAAATGGAATATATGTATGAACGTTCATCCTATTAGTAAGAAAAATACAAACTCAAGTCACAAAGAGAAAGCACTGATTGCCTGTCTGATCAACAGTTATCCAGCGTGCTGCCGCCTTACCTTATAATAGGCCTTTGCATTGTTGAAAAGCAGCTGAAAGTCAGCAGTGAGCAAATTCACATCATCATACTCTTCCATTTTCAGTTTCTGCTGGATTTTCATCAGGTCAATGGGCTGAGAAACCACTTCATAGTAGTCTGGCTGATTTCTGTTACATTTGCAAGAAACGGTATTAATCAGAAATCCATTAAAGTCCAACAGAATTTGCTGTCAGACTCACTCCACTAGAACAAGAAAGTCATAAAATCAAGACCCATTATGTGTCCTCTTTTCAAACTAAGTACTAGTATTAAAAAAAAAAACCTGAACTATCATCTGCAATCATCTTTAAACACTTAATAAGGTTTAGGATGATAGCTTTAACCCCTTTTCAATGGTACCATCTATAAAAATGACTTGTAAAAAATGGCTTCATAAATGTACAACACAGGTTATCTTTCTGCAGTCAGAAAGATTTTAGTTAGTGATTTTTCTTGTCAAGTACTACCCCAATTCTATTATGCATGCTGACTTTATATCAACTAAAAAGAAAATGATGAGTGGCTTGGCATAAGCAGCTTACAAAAGTAATAATAAAGGATAGAAAATGCATCTAATATATTCAAACAATTTCTTTAAAAAGGAATTAGAAACATAAAATTCAGGGGACCCGGCACAGAAGCCTAGCAGCTAAAATTCTTTCCTTGAATGCGTCAGGATCCCATAAGGGCGCCGGTTCTAATTCCAACTACCCCGCTTCCCATCCAGCTCCCTGTTTGTGGCTTGGGAAAGCAGTTGAAGACAGCCCAAACCCTGCACCCGTATGGGAGACCTGGAGGAAGTTTCTGGCTCCTGGCTTCAGATTGGCACAGTATCGGCTGTTGCGCTCACTTGGAGAGTGAATCATCGGATGGAAGATCTTCCTCTCTGCCTCTCCTCTCTGTATATATGACTTTGTAATAAAAATAAATAAATGTTATAAAAAAAATTTTAGGGCTGTGGTTCTATCTTGGAGGGGAGGGATATTGAGGGACATAAATAGGGCATTTCAAAGGTAACTGAAAATTTCTTAAGAAGCTCCTTTTTAGAATTTCTTAAGTAATTATATATAATACTTTCTTAAATTTCCAGGATTTCTTGGGTCTATGTCGGCTGGATGTTCATTATTCTTCCTGTCTTATTTTCAAACGGACCATTGTGAGACAAATAAACCCTGTGAAAAATAATGACTTCACACTTCTCCCAGGGAGGCAAGGTATGCAGGCCACCCAGGGCGCTGGAGGGGAAGGAAAGTCTCCAGCTTCGCCCAGAAATGTAAGTTACATGACAAGAAAAACCCACTGGACCACAAAGAAACTCACCCTACCTATGAGGATACTGCCATGACAGGTATGCTCTTCGGGCTGTCCTGATTTCAGCATGCTCCACTAACCCATGCTCACTCTAACTGCCCTGGTGAATTCTCTCATCACTCACAGTGCTGGCCTCAATCAGATGCTTCCAGTAACAGCAGGTATCTGGCTCCATTCTAGACTCCTAAAAGAAGAGCTATTCTCTACAAAGAACATCATGGCTATCTAGGCTTTCATCTGTTAGAAAGTTCAGCTGACGTGTACAGTCATCCTTTGAAGCATGTTTAATATATTTAAATGTTTTTCACATTTCATTCTTATATAACTGCAATAATACATCTCCTCTGACCCATTTGAAAAATTCTGTCATAATGTCCCATCACTCTTAATGGTTAGTATACATGTCCTAAAAACAAGGAGATCATTCAATCACTGAAAACAGAATATGAACTTTTAAAACATTTTTATTTTATTTGAAACACAGAAAAATAAAAACAGCAAGATAATTAGAGAGTGATCTTTCATCCTGTTTACTTTCCTAAATGTCCCCAATAGCCAGGACTGGGCCAGGTCCAAAATGGGAACTGGGAACTCAACCGGTCTCCCATGTAGTAGCAGGGATTCGAATACTGGAGGCCTCCCAGTGTATACATTAGCAAGAATGTGGGTCTGGGTCAGAAGTGGAATGCCTGGGACTGGAACTCTCATATAGGACACGGGGACCTAATCTGAATTTTAACCACAATGTCAAATGCCAGTTTCAAGAAATGAACTTTTGAGGGGCTGTTGTTATGGTATAGCACGTTAAGACTCGGTCTGTGGTTCTAGGTTCTCATTTGCAGACTGTTTCATGTCCCAGTTGCTGCATTTCTAATCCAGCTCCCTGTTAACATCCTGGGAAAGCAGTAAAGGGACAGCCCAACGCCTTGGGCCCCTGCACTCATATGGGAGATCTGGAAGAAACTACTAGCTTCTGGCTTCAGACCAGCCCAGCTCTGGCCACTGCAGCGATTTGGAGAGTAAACCAGTGGATGGAAGATCTCACTTTTTTTCTGTTTCTCTCTCTCTCCAACTCTTTCAAGTAAAATAAACATATACACTTATATTTTTAAATCTGCCTTTCAAATAAAAATAATCGGTTTTCTTTTCTTAAATGAGACAAACTCTGATATGGCACTACTGCTCAACTCTCAGGCCTACCATTAGGGCAGTGACTAAACAAACAACAGAACAAGTGTTGGTCAGGATGTAAAGAAAACCGGAACCTTTGTGCATTACTGGTATAAATGTCTGATGATACAAGCCGCTACTCAACACAGTGCGGCCATTCTTCAAAAAACCAGCAGCCTCATCACAAGATCCAGCAATCTCACTTTGGCAGAAATAGCCAAAGAAACTGAAAACAGGATCCTGAAGTTCTGTCTGCATACCAGTGACCAGTGAAGCATTATTCACGAGAGCCAAGTGGAAACAACTCAAACAACTCATCTCTCCACCAGCAGATGTATGGATAAACACAATGTGACACACATACAACAGCCTACATCCAGCCTTAGGAAGGCAGAAAATCCCATCACATGCCTCAACATCAATGAGTAATTTTCAGGGATTAAGTAAGCAAGACATAAACAGACAAAACCTATACAATTTCACTTAAAATAGAATGGAAGTTAGCAAGAGCTAGAAGGAGGGTTAAAGGAGTTATTCTGTTTCTGTTTTATAAATTAAGTAAGCTGCTCTAAAGCAGTATTAATACAATGTTTATTTAACTGTATACTTAAAATTGGTTAAGATAATTTTTACTAAGATTGCATTCTACACTTTTAAAAATTCTTAATTAAGAAAGTGTCAGCTTGTTTTGACAACTAAGACAAACTGGACTCTTTTGTCATTCATTTCTTCCAAGGGAAAAATCAATTAAGAAATACATGGGCCCTGGACCAAATCCCTCCCCCTGTACTCATATGCCTCCAACTCACCTTCGCTTGGGAGCCCTAATGAAGAGCTCACAAAGGAGTCTGCCCTGCTCATCCTTATAGTCTCGGATAGTGTTGTAGAGCTCATGGCACACAGCAATCTACACGTGGCACAGGAGAAACAGGAGAAACTTCAGAAAGATCAATAGACAGCTAGCATAGCAATAACGATTATCAAGCATTCTTCAATAAAAACATACCAATAAAAGGAAAACAGAAAAAGACAATAAAAAAAAAACCCTAAACAATCCCGAAATTATCCAATTATCCCGTGGAAGCTAAGTCTGAAGTACACTAGCAGTTTCTCTCCTATAAAGTAATCTAAGTTCCTACTATCTTTCATCAGATTTATGCTATCTGCTATTTTTATTTTAAGGGAGAACCAAAGAGGCTCCATGTTCCTGGCTTTGGATTGGCACAGCTCCAGCCGTTGTGCGGCTTGGGGAGCAAATCAATGGAAGGAAGATCTCCCTCTCCATCTCTCCTCTCCGCATACCTGACTTTGCGATTAAAAAAAAAAAAAAAAAGTTAAAAGTATCAAGCTACAAGGCAGGCATTTGCAGCACAATGGGTTAAGCCACTATTTGCAGTGCCAGCACTTCTGAAGTCCCAATTCTAATCCTGGCTACTCTTTCCTGCTAATGAACCTGGAAGGCAGTGAAAGACGGCTCAAGTACTTGGACTCCTGTCACGTATAGGGGTGACCCACAAGCAGTTCCTGGCTCTTGGCATCAGTCTTGCCCAGACTTGCCTTTTGCAGCCATCTGAGAAATGAACCAGTGAATTCAAAAAAACAAGGCTCATCAAGTAAAAGGTTCAAAGAAAAAAGCAGAGAAGCTGTGCGTCTCAAACACTTCACCATAAAAGCGTAGGTAACCTTGGGACGGGCAGATGCAAACCATGGGAGCCAGTCTACTCACAGGATCTACAGTTGGAAGGTTGGAGAGTCTTCTCCTCTTCCGGCTCGGGCCTGGTGTGGACACAGAATGGTGCCCGTCATCAAAGTCCCCACTGACACTGCTGGAAGGGGAGGTAGCTCTTCTTCTTTTGGAACCCATGGAATCCAACTTCTTCTACAAAAAGTAATTAGCCATGTTCTTATGTTTAAATTTAGACTCTGCCACCAACCCCTCAGTTGGTCACCTGCCACCAAATGTCTGGCTCACTTGGGGATATTTTAACCCTCGCAAGACAGTATGACTACTCTGGCATTTTATTTTAAGCTGTGGACCACTGTCCTTCTCACTTAACAGAATGCTACACTTTCAATGGTGATGGGACAAATTCAGCAGGAGTATGCTATTTGTTAACAATTTTGAATAACTCTCAAGGACTGGAGTTCCCCAACCCACATGGAATGGCACTTCAGTGGCTGAAGGTACTGAACCCTCAGCTCCTGGGAGCCAGGCAGGCCTTCGGCAGTCCACTGCCTCCTCCACTTTCCTGTGGGCCAGGACAAGGAAAAGGGTAGGAAGCTATGCCTAAGGCAAATGAACAGTGTCAAAAAAAGAAAAAGGAGGGGGTAAAGGGCAATTAACTGTACTGTTTTAAAATTCAAATCTGGAGAACAAATGCTTTCTATTCATTGAAGCAGAATCCACAAGATGTTCCCCCTGGAAACCACAGATCCTAACTTGCCCCATCTGGGCAGAAACGGCAGCTCTGTGCTTGCAGTGGTCTGCTACTCCAGACTGGCGCCCCTCTCGGTTGCCTGAGGTATGCCATCCTGGCAAGGCATCAGTTTCAGGAAGCAATTGGGAAGAACACCTCATAATGAGCATTTAGATTCTGCTTGAAGTTCAGAAACACATAAATATTTGCTTTCAATGCTGAATGGGCTGTTAAGTAATCATTCTTAACACAACTTTACAAATAAGTGTATTTGTCTATAATAACAATAATTAAAAAAAAACCCCACGCAACCAAAGGAACAATTTGCTACAGATAAGAAAAAAAAGGGGTTATATATCTCAGAAAACATTACATATAATTTTTACAACAGTATCAAGCAGCATATTAATAACTTGAAGGTCTTTTTCTAAAGCTAAGAGAAAAAAAAAAGATGCCAGTTTCACTCATCAACATTCAAATTGAAGAAATTAAGACACTAGCAGCTGAATGAAAAGGAACAGGAGAGCACTGGCCGCCAGCAGCGAGGAGCAAAGTCGGGGAGCCCCGGGGACCACAACAGAGCTCTGGTAAGAAACTAAGAAATGCTAGTTTCATATTTCTTCCTCCAAACTAAAACCCACATGGTGTTTAAAGCAGAACCTACCAAAACCATGTTCCTCCCTTTAAGGTTTGGCCGTTTACATGGTGTAACAGTTGGAAGCTGACTAAATTAAGTGGCCAAAAGCTTAAGGACAGCCAAGTTGCACTGATTTTTGCTTATTTTATAAAGGGCTGACCAAGTGGCCTCAATTTATTGGGCCTTTTAAAGGACCAACTGGGTTTTTTCAAGGACCAACCCCTTTGTAAGCAATCTATGACAAGGACACCCGTGGATTTGATGAGCAGGGTATCTTGATGGAAATGATTACAAAATGTAAGGAAGGTGGGAGGGAAAAGACAAGAAATGACAGAAAAGAGTGCAGACGGTCAGTAATTTACCAGCTTTACCAGAGCACAACCAGCTCCCCGAAAAGCCAGTCTCCTCATTGTGTCTGAAGGCCAAGGGCAGCCAGTGGGAGAAGGCAGGGCTTTAGAAGTGCTGATTCAGTGTTAGTGTTCAAAACTGAAAGAGAAGAACAAGGCAAGAGAGAAAGTGGGAAGAGAGAAGAAAGGTCAGGAGTCAAAATGCGCACAGACAGCCAGCACATTCAAACGGAACTGCTCAAGGAAGATAAGAGCACTGGAGCACAGAGGCCTCTCGCTCCTCGGGCACCTATCAGAGCCACACTGCTGCGAGGGCACGCTCCCAACGCTCCCACATGGCCTCCAGTTTAACACTAAACGCTTCTGCATACATAAAGAGGGCTCGCTGAGGGTCCCCTTTACTCACATGGAATGACTGTCAATTCCAGGAATGAAGCATGCCTGCCCAACTGCCCCCTAGTCAGTAAGAGCAGAGTTCAGTCACAGAGCTGGAATGGAGGGCGGGCACATGTGCGAGGCTCACACGTGACGCCAAGTGTTGGCAAGCTGGAACAAACCAAGAACGGCTCGGTGAGCGACAAGTCTGGCAAACTCCTCCCCCCAAAAAACTCAAGACAGACGTTTCTTCCCACAAGCCCTAGCTGCCCAGGAAAGACAAAGCATAGAAGTTTATAGCAAAGTTTAAAAAAAAAAAAAAAAAGAAAGAAAGAATTTAAAAAAGCATTCAACCAACCTTGGAAATTCAAAGTTACTTTCATAAATAAACTAAAAAAATCAAATGACAAAATTTACATAAATTAACTATGGCAGTGTGGGGAAATGGTGACTCATTTATTTATTTTGATAACAGGAAGGGTAATTCTCAAATATTTTCTTATCCAAATGACATATTTTAAAATGTAATTTGGCAGTTTGGCAAGACAGGCAATGTTGCCCAGCGCAAGGAACCACGGGAGCCACACTGAGGACCAGCAGAGGAGGCTGGGTCTCCCACTTCTAACTGGTCAGCCCGCTGGGGCATGGGCAGGGCCCTTCCCGCCAGCCCATGGCCAAACCACAGGCTTCCTGGGTACAGGAGCGGGTTGGCCCTCTCTATAGAGTAACACTTCCTACAGAATTGGTGCACAATATAATTTTAAGAAATGTATTGATAGTGTACTTAAAACAGGATCTTTAAGTTAAAAATCAAGTAGTTCATTTGTTAAGTTGAAAGACCTGAAATCAACCTTCAGCAATTTCATTCTAGGCAGAAGAAAAGGGATTCTAGAGTTCAACTCCAGGTTTTAAAGGGGACTGGCTCACAGTCACAAGTCCACCAGTCTGACTACGCAGGGTAACTCAGGGCAGACAGAACCGAGCACCTTACAGTACACAACTGGGAGAATATCTACTCCCTACAACCAAACAGTGTATTTCCACCATCTATAAACTTTTTTCCTACTTTTTTTTTGGCATTTAGTTCTCTAATACACACATTTTTAGGAAAAAGAAGCAAAAACAAAACCGGAATTTCCCAATCAAAATAAATAGAATCTACAATCCTATCACCCAGAATAAAATTACTCTTAAACTTGACATTCAGAGTGCTTTGCATTCATCTACGGTTTAATGACTATATATATATATACATATATATACACACACACAAACATATATACGAACATGTTATCAGCTAATTTTCTTTAGAATTATTTCATGGCTTCCGTTTTAATTTAGGGAAGCTATTTCCAAGTTAGCATTTATCCTCACGATGTTTAATGGTTTGAGAGCAGACCGTACACAATTTATATATCCAGGGGATTTGGGTAGAATTTTTATATTCGAGGTGCTTTGCACACTCCCAAAGTCACAGTCCCTCCATTTCCCCACAGGCAAGCATTTGTTACAGTTTTAATCTGAAACACTTCTTCAAACGATACTTTCCAACCTTCCATACAGGCTCTTAAAACTCCAGGTGAGCAATTCATTAACAAGTATCAAAAGCAAAGATCTTAAGATTCTTTCACTTGGGTATTCAGTACAGTTTGTTGCCAAATCAGATTTCGGAAAGAGCGCACTACTTGGACGAAAAACTTTAAAATGTAAAATCATTTTGAAGCGTTCTGGGGTGTGGGAAAACAAAATGTTTTACTCCAACACTTGCCGCTCTACATTATTTGTCATTTGTTTCCCAACATTTCTTCCTTATCCGTGCCACCACTCTTTCTTCCTCTTTACATTAAAAGTTCCTACCTTCTAGTAACATTACTACATTTCCCTTTCAGAAACTAAAAACTTCGATGGGGGAGGGGGGAGAATAATTTTTAAAACCAAAAGTAAAGCTTAAAAAAATCCCGATTCTTTGTATTGCAGCAAATGAGAAGCCGAAACCTTCGGGATTTTAGCCTTCAAATTTACAAGGCGCATTACCAAAAAAAAAAAAAAAAACTAGGTCTGAACAGTCGTACAAAAAAATAAGACAACACAGATCATCAGCAAGAGGTGTTTTTTTGTTTGTTTGTTTGTTTGCGTCGAGCAACAACCCCAACAGGCCCCGAAGCGACGGAGCAGCAGGAAGGACCTTCCCGACCTGTCACTGGGAGGGGGCACTAAGGCAAACGTTGACAGCTTGGAAGCTGCGGGGCGACGAGCGGGAAAGCAGCGCGCGGAGTCTCGGGGCCGCGCCGCGCCTTTGTCCCGGCCGGCAGGTGCGGCGAGGCTGCGGGGCCCGTCCCGAGGCCCGCCGCCGCCGTGTCCGCTCGGCCCGGGGCGGAGCCTCCGCCGCCGCCGCCCGCCCGCCCGCCCGGGGCCCACACAAAGGCCCGGCGGCCGGCTGAGGGGCGACCGCCCCGCCCGCCCCGGGCCCGGTCTTCTTACCCAGCCGCTCCGCCGCCTGCAGCCCCGGCCGCGGTCGCCGACCGCCACGCCCCGCCCCGCGGCCGCCACGGCTGCTGCTATTGCTCGTCCGGCCGCGGCCGCTGCCGTCGCTCCGGCACCCGCCGCCCTCACCGCCCTCACCCCTCCCAGGGCCGCCGCCGTAAAACCAGCCCGGCTGCCGCCAAGCGAGCCCGGCCGCGCGCGACACTGCGTGCGCGCTCACGCGGAGGCGAGGCGCCGCGCTTTACGGTAGTGACGTCACTGCCTGACGCCTGTTCGCGGGCCTCACTCCGCACGTGGCGCTCGGCCGAGGAGGTTGTGACTTCTTCCTCCTGTGCCCCCGCCGGCTTCTGCAGCCAACATGAAGAGACCCAGTGAGTGGGATCGGGGGCTGGGCATTTAGGAACCCCTTCTTCTGGGTGGTCTCTGAACCCACCCGGGGTACCTGCGAGCGTGGGGGGCCTGACGTTGTGCGCCCTGCCCTGGCCCGGCCTGTGCCGACTGAGTCGGACGTGGGTCGCACTGCGGAAGGGAGGTTGTGCCGGAGGGTGGAGAGCGAGCGAGCGAGCCCGGGTGTCAGGGCCGCGGTTTTCCGTTCTTTGGCCACGTGCAGTCGGCCCCACCGGGCGGGGAGCCATTTTCTAAGCACCAAGTGGCTGTCCTTCTGGGTCTCTGATCCAGTAACGGAGACGATTGGTGCGGGGGTTTCGTGCTCCGTTCTGATCTGTTGAGTCACAAAATCTCTGGGATTTGAGACCACCACGTATGCTCTAAGATTTATTTCTTTTTATTTCAAAGAGTTACAGAGGGAGAGATCTTCCATTCACTGATTACTGCCCAGATGGCGGCAACAGCCAGAGCTGGGCCTCCCACGTGGGTGCAGGTGCCCAAGCACTTGGGCCGTCCTCCCCTTCCTCTCCAGCCACTTGAGCAAGGAGCTGGGTTAGAAGTGGAGCAGCCAGGACACAAACCAGCACCTCCCGATGGAGAATTATTAGCCTACTACCCATAGCACCCTCCCATCCCCATATGATTGTTAGTTTTCACAGATCATGACTTAATAGACAAAGAAAGGTGGGACCCCACCCAAAAAGACCAAAACCTAAAGCAGTCCGTTTGTGATGTGTTTCTTTGCAGAGTTAAAGAAGGCGAGTAAACGCATGACCTGTCATAAGCGGTATAAAATCCAGAAAAAGGTAATATTGCGCTTGGAAGAGCTGTACTAAAGACATAGCTAACCTAATTTCTGCCTGGTCTCTTTACGAAAAAGTCTGGAGTAATGGTTTAGCTTTTGGGAAGGGCACTCCGATAGGCTGGCCGCAGGTGTGAGTTCCTGAGCAGCAAGAGTGCAGCTTTGTGTCTGGTGACAGTCTGGAAACTGACATGCTCGTGAGCACAGATCGCCCTTTGTTACTGTAGGATTCCAACTAAAGAGCCATGCCTCTTGGACATTGTACAGGATGCACTAGATTGAACCCATATTGATTTCTCCCTTGAATTATGTTTAGGAAGGTATCTTTCTGTAAGCTAATAGAATGCTTTGTCATAGATTCGAGAACATCATCGCAAATTGAGAAAAGAGGCGAAAAAACAAGGTCGCAAGAAGCCGAAGAGAAAAGACCCTGGAGTTCCAAACAGTGCTCCCTTTAAGGAGGCTCTTCTCCGGGAAGCTGAACTAAGGAAACAGCGGGTACGCACTGGGAGCCTGGGCTTGCCATAAAGGGGTGGCCCAGCTGTCACCGGCTCACCCGTGTCTTTTGTGACTTGGGCCCAGCTGGAAGAACTGAAACAGCAGCAGAAACTTGACAGGCAGAAGGAGCACGAGAAGAGAAGAAAGCTGGAAAGTGACATCAGTGCTCAGCCAGCGGACGGAGAAGCTGGGAAGGTGAGTGTGAGGGACGGGTAAGCTCTGATGTGAGGGTAATCACACGTGGGCAGGGGCTGTCTACCTCTGGGGAAGGCCAGAGCAAGGCACGTTCTGTCCTGCCTGTCTCAAATGGCAGCATGCCGCGCAGTGCCCATCAGTTCTGCAGGACAGAGGTGCACAACTGCAGTTTTTCTGATTCTTGGATCTGTCGCCCCTCCCCTCCATGTTTGTTTTCCAGGCACCTACGCAGTGCAAATCTAAGAACAAAGCCAAATCAGGCAAACAGAATCCGAAGAAAGTTCACTGCCAGGAGCTTAAAAAGGTATCTTAGTCTAGGTTAGTGCCTAAAAATGATGGTGATGTGTATTGACTTGGGAGTTTTGAAGTTTGAAGAAACTTGTATTTTGGTAAGTAATGTAAAAATACAGGTATCTAAAGTGATCTATTAGAACCTGAATGATGGGGATCAGGAAAGGGGGGTGTCTTGTTGGTGTGTTTTCTCCCCAGCACTCCATCCCTGTACCCATTTCCCCACAGTCACTTCCCTCCATGGTTAGAACCTGACCTGCCCTCGCAGTAGCTTCTGCTGAGGTCAAAAGCATTGGTCAGACATCCTGATGCACTTTGGGAGCTAAAACATTAGACAGCAGAAGATATTTCTATTTCTGAAACCTACATGGCTTGTCGGCCCATTTATGTTACTTCCTGGGTGAGAAATGATAAGCGTGTCAGTATTCTTCATGCCAAAGTGAAGACATGAGATCCAACTCTGAGCTCACCATATTGCCAAGTGGATGACGCATGTTCTGAGAGTCAGGAACGCTGTTCTGATGGCTTCTTCCTTGACAGGTGCTTGCAGCCTCAGATGTTGTGCTAGAGGTGCTAGACGCCAGAGATCCTCTGGGCTGCAGATGTCCTCAGGTCGAAGAGGCCATTGTCCGCAGTCACCAGAAAAGGCTGATTCTTGTATTGAATAAATCAGGTGAGCAAAGGGGGTGTCTTTGTCTCCCTCACGCACTAATGAGGTATGAGGAAAATATCGAACAGTCTGATTGTCATTGAAGACTGGTAAGATCCAACTCTGACCTCAGTAAAACTAGTGCGTGTGCCCTCCGATTGGTGGACAATGTGCTGGGAAGTGGAGTGCTCCTATATCCTGCCTGTTGTGTGGTATAACTTCATGCAGGAAGCAAAGTTGGTGGCAAATTCTCTCCTGCAATGCCAAGTGTTAGTTTTAGACAGATAATTTAGGATGTATGTGATGAAATAAATGGAGTACAGAATTAGATTCCTGGATGTGAGCAGAATAGAATTTTTTGAAACCCAAAGTGGGATGTCAGGGTCACAGCAAATGGTGCTAGCTGGGGGTAAGTTCTGAAAGCATAGCTCTTGGGTTTTTAGGGTTAGATTCCAGACCTTTTACTCGGTCCTAAAAGAATGAGCAATGTGAAAAGTGGAATGTAGAATCGTGAATCCTGAGCTCTGCTGGTTAAAATCCCTACATAGGAACTAGGAAAAGATAACTCATGAGATCTAATCTTAAGGCAGTTTTGCTAACTCATCTTGGTAGTTTTGTTAACTCATCTAAGTAAAACGACCAGGTTAGAGCTTCTGTCTTATCCCCATTTCCCATCAGATCTGGTTCCAAAGGAGAATTTGGAGAGCTGGCTCAATTACTTGAATCAAGAACTGCCAACAGTCGTGTTCAGAGCTTCAACCAATCTGAAGGACAAGGGGAAGATACCCGAGGTGCATACAATTTACCTTTGGTGGGAAGGGTGTTTCTTTCAGATTTTTGGTGGTTGAGATATGATGAGTATAGAGTCTTGATTTCAAAAAATGAAAAGATACAAGATCCAACTCTGATTTCACCCAAAGACCTGAAAGGCAATAAATAGAAGCTGATCTTTAAGACTCAGGGAGTTAGATTGCTTGGGTTTTTATCTGTTATGTGATAAGAATAGTTTAACTAGTTTTAATTTTAACATGTGAAGGCAAAGAAGAAAGCTGCTGCATTCAAAAGTACAGTCTGTATTGGGAAAGATGGCCTTTGGAAACTTCTTGAAGATTTTCAGAAGACTCAAGGCAAAGCTATTCAGGTTGGAGTAGTTGGTAAGTTTTGGTTTCAAACCTCTGCTTCTACCCCCACCTCCCAAAAACAATTTAAAGGGGAAAAATATATAAGTACTTGCTGACAAATTTTGTCCTTTGCCAGACTGATCTCTGAAGGGTTCTAAAAGCTCCCGAGTTCAGTTTTTTCCTTCCCTTTCATTACTTGTACAAGAAATGAAGAAGCGACAATTGATCTTAGTGTTGATGTGAAGACGCTCAGATCCAACTCTGATCTTGCTCCAGACACTGGACATACAACGAGGCAGCACATACTGCATGTTACACCTGTCATTTCCCATTTGTTGTAGGTTTCCCAAATGTGGGGAAAAGTAGCATCGTTAATAGCCTAAAACAAGAACAAGTGTGTAATGTTGGCGTATCCATGGGGCTTACAAGGTAAATAAATTGAACTGTTTCGTATTTTATAGATTAAATACTGTTTTAATTTGGTTATTTTAGGAACTTGATCTCCTACTTAAACCTGTCAGTAAAAAGAGAATGAGGCCAGCATTTAGGGAAGGAACTGGTCAGAACGGGACAACTGTCTACTGTTGAGTCTGGAAGGAGGGACACTGCCTCAGAACCTGGCATTGGGAATTGAGCAGAAATTGGTCGGGTAGAAGGAGGGCTAATATACTGCTTCTCTTAAAAAAGGCTGGGTACACTGGATCTTACGTAAACATGAAGCAAATGATGATACACTGGATCTGACTGTCTGTGCTGAGCTTGTTCAATCCAACCCTGAGCTTCATGTTCTGTCTTGTACCCTCCTGAGAGGCCATCCCTGTCGCCTGCACTGCCAGAATTCCTCTCTTGTTTCAGGATCATGCAGGCTGTCCCCTTAGACAAACACATGACAGTCATCGATAGCCCAAGCCTCATCGTGTCTCCCCTCAACTCCCCCGCTGCCCTGGCTCTGCGAACTCCAGCAAGTATTGAAACTGTGAAGCACATGGAGGCTGCTGATGCCATCCTGGCCCAGACTGACACGCGGCAGGTACAAGAGTCCTTCCCTGAGCACTGCTGAGTCACTCATTGTATGAGTTTTTTAAATTGTAAAATTGTTAAGATTTTTAAAAACCAAATAAAAGTTCCTGTTTTGGTTTTTTTAAGGTAGTGTTGAGATACACTGTCCCCGACTACAAGACTTCTCTGGAATTTCTGACTGCGCTTGCTCAACGAAGAGGTCTGCACCAGAAGGGTGGGAGTCCAAATGTTGAAGGTGCGGCCAGGCTGCTGTGGGCCGAGTGGACAGGGTGAGGCTTCGCTCCACTGCTATTTTGGTGATCACACACAATAACTGATTTTTGACACACTGTACTTTTAATACCAGGGCCTCCTTTGGTTACTACTGCCAAACTCCTACATCCTGGGTGACTCCTCCCTATTTTAATGAGAGCACTGTGGCAGACATGAAGACAGACTTGAATCTGGAAGAACTTGAAAAGCACAATGCACGCAGTATACAAGGTGGGTGTTTCACTGCTGGCATCACTTGACAGGTTGATTTGTCTTAACAGTGTTTACATTGGCTTGGTTTCTGTCCTAGCCATCAGGGGCCCCCGTTTGGCCAGCAGTGTCCTCTTCCAGTCTACGGGCATGACAAATGGAGTACTAGAGGAAAGCGAAGTATCTGAACCGTCTGCGAAACGCAAGAGGAAGGAGAGGGTGGAAGAGGAAAGCATGGACAGTGACCAAGAAAGCGCTGATGGTAGAGGAAATGTAAGTGTGTTCTCTGAGTTATTTAAAGCTGAAGTGAGTCTTCCGGCATTATAATCTGAGGAGTGGCTGGCTATGGGTACAAATTATTTTGTAATTGACTGGAAGAAGCCCCATACAATTGAGGTGTTTGATTCAGTAACCTTGACCAAGGCGCTAGTTAAGCCTACCAAGAGTTAACATACACCACTAACTGGATCACTGAGATGGAAGGGGCCACTGATTGGGTGCCACTCTTCGTGTCTTACAGGAAGAGCTCTCAGACAGACCCCCTGTGGAAGAGAAGGAAGTGCTGCCCGAGGAGTCCACAGCAGGTGGGTATGGGGCAGAAGGGTTGCCAATGGGTCAGCATGCTGTGGGGTTGCTGTTACTAATTGTAGTATAAAACTTTGCTTGCTTTCTTTTCCTTCCAACAGATAAAGAGTCTACAGGATCTGTTATTTTGGATAAAGCAACTGAAGATGACGATGCGTATGACTTCAGTACAGATTATGTGTGACAGAATCCTGTCATTTTGTGAGGGATTCTGTGTATATCATGTGTGGTTATGTTATAACATTGTAAATTTTGTGAATATGTATCACAATGTGTGCAATAAACTTTATAATACTCCACTCATCCGATATATGATGTGGTAGGTTTATCTGGAAACAAAAAAGTCACATTTAAACTGAAAAATAACTTTTATTTACACATAAGAAGCAAGCTCTGTCAGCCGCCTCAGTCGCAGTGCTGGTCACTCAGCAGTGGTAAGGCAGGAGCAGCGTATCCAAAGTCCGTCTGGAAGCTGACTGCCAGATTTGTTGCCTTCCCCAACTGCACTGTCTGAACAGCTGCTATACAGCTATGCAGAAGCCAGCAACTGTTAACTTCCCACACAAAATAGTCTTCTAGGGATTCTTGAGAAATGTTTCTAATTTTTAAATCTCTACTTTATGTTTGAGATCTCTGTATGTCTTCGGATGAGGTTGAACTTGCCTGTTGGATCGGGAACATACCATTTTTCCCAGATGTCGGTGTAGGAAGCAGTTCTTCCCCAGGGCTTAAAGTGTCCATTCCAGTGGAGTAACTTGGCAGCCTTTACAAACTGGGGTGAATATCGTTTTCCAGCACTGGAGCCTTATTAAGAAAAAGAACCAAACGGCTGTCAACAGTCACGCAAGATGATGCCACACCACAAATGAGCCTATCCCATCCCCAAGAATAGTTCTTTAGACACCAGTTCTCGGTTAGCCATGCTTACCTAGGTGGCGGACGTTCCACATGGGGTCAATGGTGGAGTGCTGCTGGTAAAACACGATGAGCAGAGGAGGTGTGGTAATGCTGCCAGCCAGCGTTCTGCTGTACAGCCCCTCTCTTGGAGGGACAAATAACACATCAGTCACGAGTACTATACAGTGGACACAGGAGTCTGCTAGGTCAGGAACCTACTTACTCTACATTGAGTCTCATCCACTTTTCCAACTGGCTCGTTATGTTTTGACGTTTCCATTCGGTCATATTTGCAACAAAAACTCCAGGATTGAATGAGCAGGTGCTGGCTTTCATGGACAGTTTACGAATTCTTTCCTTTTTATAATCAAGATAGCCAATGTAGTTGTACTGAAAACACAAAAGGGATGTGTATGTTTACTGCTTGAAATGGAATAGTTTTGCAGCTGGTGAAAGCCAGAGTGGACATCTGGACTGGTGGTTAAGGTGCTGGCTAGGATGTGCATTTCCAGTTTTTGGTTTCAGCTTTCTGTAATTGCACACCCTGCCTGCAAGGTAGCCAGTATTAAATCAAGCTGGGGCCCTGCCACCCATGTGAAAGACACGGAAGGAATTCCTGGCTTCCAGGTTTGCCCTGGCCCAACTCTAGCCATTAGAGCATTTGAGAAGCAAACCAACATAAAACTCTGCCTTTCAGGAAAATCACTTAAAAATTTGAGATTTTAATTTTTATTGGGAAAGCACAGCGGAGGAGAGATGGAGAGGAAGATCTTCCATCCACTGGTTCACTATCCAAGTGACCACAATGGCCAGAGCTGAACTGAGGCTTGGGCCGTCCTTGACTGCTTTCCCAGGCCACAAGCAGGGAGCTGGATGGGAAGCAGGGCTGCAGGGACATAAAATGGTGCCTATATGGGATCCTGGCACATGCAAGGTGAGGACTTAAGCCACTAGGCTACCATCCCAGGCCCCAGTTAAAATTTTTTAAAAATAAAGTTGGATTGTAAAACTATGGCTTCCAAGTTAAGATAGAAAACCTGCATTTTTAAATAAGAGACCAGATGTTAGAGAATTAGGTTGGCGAGTTCTAAATACCTACAGAAAAGTAGGCTTGAGTTTTGAATTGTGAGTTTGCCACTTCCCATCGAACCCTTGCAGCGTGCAGGGCATCTCCTAAGTGACCTACCTGGTTCCCTGCTCCACGGATGACAACTTTAGTAGAGACTGAATCACAGTCTTCTGAGAATGCAGCTGCATGCCCTGGCTTTAGGGGTGTGTTGTACAGGGCAAGAATATCACCTGAGATAAACAAGCACTGAGGATTAACATTTCCATTAGGAGATTAATGGACAGCAAACAGCATGCATGGTAATAGTACATTATTTGGTACCTTGCACGATCACATCATCATCCATATAAATGGCCTTCTTTGCACTGGGAACCAGAATTGGCAAGTAGAACCTTGCAAAAGTTAACTGGAAAAGGAAAGAAGCACTGGCATAGGAAATTGTAGTAGCTGTATTCATATCTACACAGAAACTGCTAGAATGTTCTCAGTATCCTTGAAGATAGCCAAAAGACTCAGTCTAGGCTTGTTCCCCTGGAAACTGCATTGTGCCCGGTTGTCTAGGAATTCCATTGATTCCCCAACACTCCAAGTACAAACAAGGATGTCTGGAACTCACAGGTTTCATGGATTCCCCCTGGTTAGGATCCTCCTTTACTTTCCCATCCAAGAGTGAAGTATCAAAGTTCACAATTTTGTACCTGATGTTTTTCAAGGAACCACTGTTGAGCCAGGACCTAATGAAGATGAAATACCAGATTTCAGTTCCGCATAATCATGCTTCCAAGCCACAGCCTTATCTTTGTCCCTTCCTAGCACAGGCATAAAGCAACGTAACAAGCGCCGTGGGTCAAGCAGGTGTCTCCCAGTTCTGCTCAATCATGGACCCTTCCTCAACAAGATGCTATGGCAATGCTCTTCTCACATGAAAACTTGCTATGGAACTGGGAACATCTCACCATCACGTGGGCCATTCAATTCACTCTCCAAATACACATGGGTGAAGAAAATCAGTCAAAACAGTAGGAAAAGCTTATCTGTTACCTACCAATTGTTCTAACTCACCCAGTCTGAGACACTGGTTTTAACAAAAGCCAGTATTTGCACAGACGTACTGCACATCTCTTCTAAACCTGCTTCAGATCAGCATTTTGTAGACACCTGATATATAATCAATGCAGTGTTCCTATTTTGGCTAAGTTCTGAGTTTTTGCATTGTGGGAAAATCATATTGACTTCTATAAATAAGAACCATGGAGAAAGTCCTAAGGACACAATGTTTTAAAGCTTTTACAACTGTAAGTCTGTCAGACAAGCTGTTTTTTCAAAGAATATGCGCTAAGTCTTCATTCATTTTCAAAACAAAGTATCCATCAGATGTTTAATTACAGTTGAATAAGGATCATTCACAGGTGACTGCTCCGTGAGGTGTATTTCTGCCCTATGCTGAGATGTGGCAGCTGGTTACCCAGCATCTGGATCAGGTGTGTTCACATCTACACATGACCTTGCTGCTGTTTCCAACACCCTTCCTGCTCCAGCCAGACTTGTCAGAGCATGTCCATGAGACAGGAAATTTGTGACTTATAAATTAACATCTTGCTTGCTTCAGTAAGAAAGTGTTATGACCAACCAACTGAGCATCAGATGAAATATGGTGCACAGTGACAGCTGACCTACCTCCTGGAATAAGCTCCCTTCAGCATATCCACTATTATGAAGGAGGGCCATGTTTATGATATAATCACCCTGGAAAGTGTAGCAGCTTATTTGTCTAAAATACACAGTTCAATTGTCTAAAATACACAGGTGCATAAGTACTTCAGGAATTCCTATGGTGAAGTGGAATTAAAAGATAATGTACCACTTTCCATCAACTGTTTTTGTTTTTAGTGCATTTTTTGCTTGTTTTGATTTTGGTTGGTGGGTTGTTTTGAGAGGCAGAAAATAAGCCTCCATCCACTAGTTCATTTGTCTGCAGTGACTCAGGCAGGTGGGAGGTCAGCCCAGGTCTCCACAGGGGCTGCAGGACTAAGTACTCCCATCACAGCTGCCTACCCAGGTCTGCACCAGCAGGAAGCTGGACTCCAATGAAGACTCCATCTGCAACACCGACATCCTATATTTGTGCTGGGATCATGTCCCAGCTACTCTACTTCCCATCCAGCTCTCTGCTGATGCTCTGGGAGAGCAGTGGAAGATGGCTCAGGTCCTTGGGCCCCTGCACCCCATAAGAGACCCAGAAGCTGCTACTGGCTGCTAACTTTGGATCGGCTCAGCTCCAGCCACTGTGACCATTTGTGGAGAGAACTAGTAGATGAAAAATCTCACTGGCTCTCCGTAAAATTGCCTCTCAAAATAACTGGGGAAAAAAAAGAGCCTGGAGTAATGGCCCAATAGTTAAATCCTCTCTTTGCAAGCGCTGGGATCCCATATGGGTGCTAGTTTGTGTCCCAGCTGCTCCACTTTCCATTGGCCTGGGAAAGCCATAAGAGGGAGCCCATAATGGTTCAAGGTCTTGGGATCCTGCATTCATGTTGGGGACCCAGAAGAGGCTCCTGGTTCCTGGCTCAGCTCTGTCTGAGGCAGCTGTTTAGGGCATGAACCAATGGATGCAAGAACTTTGTCTCTTCTTTCTGTAAATATGATCTGCCCTTTCCAATAAAAAAAAAAAAAGAAAGCTTTAGCAAAAGGAAAAAAATATAGTTCCTGGATCAGTAGCTGGCCTGCTCTACACCATCCACCCGAGGCAGGATGTGGGCAAAGAGAGCTCACCGCAGGTGGTCAGCTGTGTTATTGAGCGTAACAATGTAGAAAATCACATTGGAGCGGGTGTTGTGCCGAATGCTGTTTATGGCTGCGATGGCCCCTCCCAGCCTGTCTTCAGATGCTGCAATGACCACAGGGATCTCCTCTTGTCCCTCATCTCCCTCACTCCAGGGAGCATTTGGAGCAAAGTCTATAGGCTTAAGTCCCAGAATTCCTGAATCTGAAACGAACACACACAGAAGACACTGTAACAAACACAATCTCGTGAGTTATTTTTATCTATATATATATATGCTATTAGTTATTGGAGGGCTGACACTGCAGACTAAGCTGTGGCTGCCAATGCTGGCACCCTATATATCAGTCCCATTTTGAGACCCAGCTGCTCCACTTCTAATCCAACTTCCTGCTAATTTGCTTGAAAAGACAGCAAAAAGAAATGAATACTAAACTAAACACCTGGGTCTCTAAACCCCCCGGGTGGGAGGATGGAGCTCCTGAGCCCTGGCTGCAGTCTGGCCC